TCGCAATAAGACAGCAAACAAGAAAAATGGAGTCAGACTTGTAAGAAGAGGATCTATAAAGAGCACATGCAAGTGCACCAGACAGGCAGGCGGCGACAATCACGGCCACACAAAGAAATGTGCGATGAGTCCATCTCTGAATCCACCAGGTTTGGCTCTGATCCCGGCTTCGGATTGGCGAATCAAGTTCTGATGGTGATCCAGGCACGTCCGTCACGTCCACATCGCCTGCAGCAGCTTTCACTGGTCCGTCCAGTGCACACCTGACACGCCCAAGCAGAACAGGCCCAGCCGACGACATGGCACACGGCCACCCTGAAAAGCTGACAGCGGGTGAGAGCCGGAGTGATGCTCTGTTCAGACCCCGGCTTCAACAGAGAAAGTTGATTTTAGAAAAAAAACTGGATTTTCCTCAGTTTTGCTGGTGCTTTGTTTTTTTTTTTGTTTCTTCTTTTGTTTTTGTTTTTTATTTTTTCTATGAAACCCTATATTCTCTGTGCTGTTGGGCTCATAACTCTGTTGGGCCAAAATTCTACACACACACATAGTATATCACACACAATATCACACACCTTGTGTGTTTGATCCGCTCTTTTGAATGAGTTGTCTTGGAGTGCCAGCTCGTGTAAACTTCAGTCTGAAGAGCGTAGGTGTTCGTCTCAGGAGCCTAATTATAGACTCCAAAGGTTTCTTCAATTCATAGATGCACTTTCTCGCCCCGAGCGAAGGTGAATCTATGTGAATCTAAAGTTCCTCTCAGTTGTCACAAGTTGTCACAGCAAGATCCTGTCCCAAATTCAACTCCTGCAGGATCTTACGTGACACAGTTGAGGTTATCCCAGCAATTTTGGAGACGATTTTTATTTTACAACTATACCCAATCTATAAAATCTATAAATGGGAAAACCATCCTTACTATCATATCTATTCATATCTTACCATCATATCTAACATGATCCAACCATTTTATCACTGAACTAACCAACCACTTTCCATTCGTGATCCAGCCCCGTTCCCAGGCCTTTGCTGCTGCGACCTTGGACCTTGTAAGGCATGAGAACTTCAAACTTCCGAACTTCTCAGACACTGCAGATTTCCGGAAACTCTCGGAAAACTCTCGGAAAACTCTCGGAAAACTCTCGGAAAATTCTGAAAATGGAATTGGTATGAATTGGTGTGTTCACTTCCAAATTTCGACTCCGAAACGGTGTCGTACAACGGGTCTGAGTCTAGGACGGCGGCGGCCAGAACAAAGAGCGCAGGTCGGCCATATTCTGCCAATCAACGGCAAAGGCCTTGGCTCAGTGTTTGCACAGTAATTCAGCCTTGGCCAAATGCCGAGTTGAAGCTGAGCTGGCAACAATTAAGGGATTCAGCAACCATCGGAATGAGTCTCAGCAACGCGGTCTTCAGAGTATTTGCTGTTGTGCATTTGCCTGTAACGATCTGGACACGGAGAACCCTTTTAGGAAAGAACAGTTTGCATTCCCAGGTATCCAGATATACTGCCAAGATTTTGTCATTCCAGTGGGACTCCAAAGATTCTTCAAAAACTGAATGAGTGCACACACTGACACGATTTGGTCGGCTTTTTGCCTCCTCCAAGTTTGGAACCTCTCCTTCCACCTCTTTTGCTTGGATCATGTTTGCGGTGATGCCGGCACCATACACTGCCGTGCTCAGCAAAACGAAGAAGCCCAAACCCAAACGTAGCATGTGGGATGGACGAGAGCGGCTTGGTTTTTTCGGGTCCCTCCTGTGGCTGGTGTTCGACTTGTTGACAAAGGCCTCAAACACACCAAGAAGGGCATCAGCGAGTCCGTGTGTAAAACAGCAAAAGCACTTGCAGAACTTCTCCACGCGTCGTTGCCATTTGTCTTGGGGCTTTTCGGGCTCCTCGGGTGGCTCTTCGGGCTCTCCCTGCTCTTCAGGCTCTTCTCCGGATTGTCTGTCAAGATTGCCAAGGCAGTCAAGGCATTTGTCAAGGCCTTTCATGGCGACAATGAAGAAGAATACCACTCCCACGAAGAAACCCCAAGCTCCGAGACTGAAGACATCAACCAGAACCAGAACTTCCAAGATCTCCAGTCTTCTGACGCAAAGAAATTACACTTGCTTTTGGATACCATGAAGACTGGAGAGGTGTACAACTCGATCATGAAGGTCATTGCTTGCCTCCGATGGGTCAAGGCGAATGCCCCAGAGCACAAGTCCACATAACCCATTCCTGTTGCGAAGGCACACAAATCAAAGTTGGTGGTACTAGTAGGCCTTTCAGACCATTCCTTCAGAAATCTTCCCTTGTACTCTTCAAAAGCCTTCGTGAGGTTGTAGTCAATAAAGTATTGGTCGATGCCCTCCTCACCCCTTCTGATGACTGTATGGTCAATTCTAACTTGGGACTGGTTGAGCTCATCTAGCGCCCTTTCCCAAAACTCTGCTACGCGACCTTGGCAGTTCCGGTTTTGCGAGTATTTATCGTATCTGCGGCATTCGGTGTTTCCCAAGTAGCCTCGTACCAAACCGCTCTCCGGGTGCAAGACCCGGAGGGAATCATTCTGCAGAAATGCGGCCAGCGACTTTTGGAAAAACACGGCAGTCCCTTGTCGCAGGTTCCCACAGGTTGCATAAGAATAGGGGCCCAACACACCCCAGTCCCAGTCCACACTGCAATTTTGTGGGTTGACATAGCACCACGATGTTTTGCACCAAGGTGATTCAGAGAATTGGTTGCATTCAAGCTGTGCTGCTGCATCGCTCTCGTAAATATGAACAGCACAGGAAGCACTTATGTTGTGGGTGTTGCAGCCAATCCCAAATTGTTCATGACATGATCCGGTCCAGTTTTGACACCGCCCACTCGGAGGAATGCTTTGCTATGCATGGGCATCTGTCTGGATGGGATCCAAGTGTGGTGTGGGGAAGTGCCAGCCAGGGTGCCAAAGCCGCAAAAGCAAAGAATCTCATGGCTTCGACTGATGCTACTTCCAAGTTCTCAGCGCTCTCCACTTAAACTTAAGCCATTCACGTTGCGGGTTTGAAAAATTGACCCACGTCCACGGGTCCACGTCAGGATAATTCAGCAAAGAATCCGATAAAATTCAGTGCAACCAAACAGACTGGTACGTCGTATGTGATAAAAACATAATGCATGATATCATCCCGCGATCAACCATCAGACTCCGGCTTTCTTCACTTCACCGTCCAGCTTTGCATCAGCTGAGACAAGGATTCCAGGTAGCAATCGACCTGATCGAACTTCGTCCAAATTGCTCAATTTGGGCTGTTTGTGTGGTCTTGAAATGTCTCGTGAAGCTGATCATAAACCAGTTTTTTTCCTTTCACATCCTTTCACCATATTTCACCCGTCCATGTTGCAGATCAAATGAATTTTGAACCACGCCCATCTTATCCAACAGAGAATCGAGATCGGACCATGTCGGCAACTCGAGCCTGTTGTGCCCGGCGTGGATTAAAGCGTGAAGGCAGCAGCCATCAAGTCGTCTGTGGACAACCTCAGCTGTCAGAGCATGGCAGAAACATCTCGTACCGCGTCAAGACTTGATTAACCAAGCAATGAGCATCCACCGATCCATCCATGATCCATCCACTCATTCATCAATTCATTTATTCAGTCAGGCGTCAATCCATCCCTGGATCCGACATCATCCAGCATCATCCATCAAACATCATCGAACCATGATGAACCATGGATTCATCCATTGATCACTGCATTTCTCCTTGCTGCAACCTCATGATTTTCCGGTTCGTTTTGGAACTTCAATTGGAGCCAAGCCGCCTTCGAAGCCCAGCGTCGTGTCCCAGCATCATTCCGATGGGACGTGGCACCTGGAACCACCCCGCCAAGACCACCCGAGATCCCGCGAGTTTCGGGTGGAAGTGGAGATGTGGGAACTGTGGGAACATCAACACCGCCAAAATTGCCACCGTAGCTGACCTTTTGAATATAATTACCAAAGCAACTTGAAGTACTGGCCACAAAGATCAAATCCGGGTGGGTCCAGTGGACACCAGGTCACCACGTATGTTCATCTTGGAACCTCAAACGTCCATCGTGGTTGTTTGACACCGAGAGCTTTGAGCCCCACCCAAAGCAATGCACCCGTTTCGGTTAGCAGCTGAATTCAGATCTGGTATGTTCGAAAATGATCCAAATAAACATGAAACATCATGAAACACACTCATGTCATCTCATGTCCATCCCCGAACATTCCATGTGATGTATGTGCCACTCCCAATGATACCTCAGCGACTCAGCGTTGCCATGCGCCGAAGAATGTAAAGCTGCACCTGGGCTCAGTCCATCTGCCAACATCGACAGTCCAAGGTTCAAACAAAGCACAATGCGACAACATTCACAACTATCATCAACTATCCCATGATCCGGAACTGCCCGTCATATCCAGCTGCTTTTCATACCTCAAATGATTCAAATTGTACATCCCACCAGTCACATCACTTGGTTTCCCGCATAATTTTGCATCTCGAGCCTTGGCAACATGCTGGACTGCATTGAAATTCAATGCCCACAATCAAAACATGACAAGTTATGACAAGTTGACTTTGTTTATCTTTCAAGAAACTTCTGCCAAAGAAATGGAGAAGCAAAAACTTCCACACAATTCCACAAGTGCATTGCTTGATCAGGCGAGTTCCTAGCATGAATATTTGCCTCAAGCAACGGAATCGCCATGCCATGCACAGCTTACAGCACCCACAGTTCGACAAACTGATGCCATTTGACAATTTCTTGAAATCATGACATTAGTTCTAGTAGCCGGACATTGGGCTGAGCGGACTGACGGCAGGAAAAACCTCTTTAAGAGGGAAAAAAACCTGCCAGTGGTGATACTCTCCTTTAGGGAGCAAACCTTGACAAACATTATCCATGACAATCATGGAAAGCAGCCAAACCTGCGTTTTCATGTGCCCTCTTCGGGGCGAGCGGCAACCTGCTCTTGAGGTTGTCCCTGCGTCGGTCAGCTTGAGCTGCAGATCCATCTGCGCCAAATGAGTGCTCCGCCGTCTGTGCTCTCCGAAAGCCTTGCCCATTTCAACACATAAGAGAGGTCTTCCATTTGTTCCAGCACGTCTGCCTTCTTGCGAGCAGCCAATAGCCCTACTTGCCCATCGAAAATCAATTCTTGCAGCTTCTCATTGAATGCCTTCTTGTCTGGGATCTTTTCTAGAATTTGTTGCACATCTTCAGGACGACTGGCTTTCATATCTTCCACCCTGATGTCTTGCAAGGTGCTTTGCCTCGTCATCAAGGTAGCAGTGTTCCTGAGCATCAGGTTCTGCGCCATGCCCATGCGATGAGCTTCAAACAATTCCGCCACACACCAGGCACGCCCAAATAGGTCCAGGTTGGCATCCACAGCAATGACCTCTGTTAAATTTGGATCTTTTCGTGCCAGAAATGCCATCATGTCATCAAATTTGTTCATCTCACACTTGATGCTCTCACCATGCTCATTCAATGGTGGGTCCTTATTGAAGAACTTTGGAGCGTTGCAAGTGCATATGGGATGTGGGATTTTTGTGACTGGATCGACGTCTCCGTTGGGGTTTCCTCCACAAATTGAAGCGTGCTGATTGACTGAAAACGCACAGATCCAGTAGGTTTCCTGAAGACGCTCTTGAACCTGGAGAATTTGCTCCACAACCTCAACCCCTTCCTTGTCGGATAACAACTTCGCAATCAGCTCGAAGTTGTGTTCTCCCAGAGCATCAGCAATGACGCTAGCTAGCAGGTCACGGAAGAGATTTTGCCAGTTGTGCGTGACCATTTTCTTAGGAATCACCTTCTTGCCATTGTTCACAAACTCAGCATAGGAGCTACCAGCGGAAGAAGTTCGTGGAATGATTCCAAGTCTAACCACATCGTTGGTGGTGTGAACATCTGGCTGGAAGGACGGCATAATGCCGAAGCCCAAATTGCTGTAAAATTCCAATAGGTCTGACAAAGAGATCCCACGGCTGGCCAGTTCTTCAGTCTTTGCTTCCCAATCTGACCCCTTTATCATGCCAGTGTCAGTGTCACTGTCATGGCGTAAGTGAGAGCGGGGACACACTTGGCAGCCAAATCTGGATGGAGTCCATGAGAGGGCGGGGGGCCTTGCAGATCCAGGCAGTCGAAAAAGTCTGTATGCTTTCGATAAGAGGATAACCCCGGCCACGTTCACCACACTGTTGATACACTGAGCTACAGCAAAAGAGAAGCTGGGGATGTGCAAGCCCCAATAATGTCCAGGATCATCATCAGGAGTCTCGAACTCGAAAGCCTCACTAAAAATAACCTTAAAGAGACTAAAGCTTGTTGCGAAACTGGCAAGGAAGCCAATTCCTTGCCAAAAGCTCCGTCTCCTACAAGCAATAAGGCGCTGCACAGCAGTGGAATTCTCTTCTTTTCGAGCCATCTGCAAGGTTCGACGAAGCATCAAGACTACACGGCACAACGTGGTGGCAACGCCAAGGACCCACATCACGAACACAAGCATTACAAGGAGTGCTGCAGTGGATAATATTACCACAAGGATCAAATCGAAATTAACCCTCGGCACCACCAAAAACTCCGTCGGATAAAGAAATGACAGGAGTGCAAATTCAAGCCAAAAGGCTCGCCCAAGGCATGCTCCCCATCGTGGGGAGTTCAAAGCTGGCCAAATACTCTTCAAACGATCTTGGGCGAGATATTGCAGCCCCAGAAGTTCAAAAATCAAGACAACCAGCCTGAACCTTAGTAGAAACAGGGAGCATAATCCTCCAAGCCAGTTGAGAATCAAAAAGCGTGCTGCCAGAAGCAGGTGTTGCGTTGGGGCAATGAGCCACAGCAAGACAGCTGCTGCCCCAGCTAGCGCATTGCTCGCAATAAGACAGCAAACAAGAAAAATGGAGTCGGACTTGTAAGAAGAGGAATCATGAAGAGCATATACAAGTGCACCAGACAGGCAGGCGGCGACAATCACGGCCACACAAAGAAATGTGCGATGAGTCCATCTCTGAATCCACCAGGTTTGGCTCTGATCCCGGCTTCGGATTGGCGAATCAAGTTCTGATGGTGATCCAGGCACGTCCGTCACGTCCACATCGCCTGCAGCAGCTTTCACTGGTCCGTCCAGTGCACACCTGACATGCCCAAGCAGAACAGGCCCAGCCGACGACATGGCATACGGCCACCCTGAAAAGCTGACAGCGGGTGAGAGCCGGAGTGATGCTCTGTTCAGACCCCGGCTTCAACAGAGAAAATTGATTTTAGAAAAAAAACTGGATTTTCCTCAGTTTTGCTGGTGCTTTGTTTTTTTTGTTTCTTGTTTTGTTTTTGTTTTTTATTTTTTCTATGAAACCCTATATTCTCTGTGCTGTTGGGCTCATAACTCTGTTGGGCCAAAATTCTACACACACACACAGTATTTCACACACAATATCACACACCTTGTGTGTTTGATCCGCTCTTTTGAATGAGTTGTCTTGAAGTGCCAGCTCGTGCAAACTTCAGTCTGAAGAGCGTAGGTGTTCGTCTCAGGAGCCTAGTTATAGACTCCAAAGGTTTCTTCAATTCATAGATGCACTTTCTCGCCCCGAGCGAAGGTGAATCTATGTGAATCTAAAGTTCCTCTCAGTTGTCACAAGTTGTCACAGCAAGATCCTGTCCCAAATTCAACTCCTGCAGGATCTTACGTGACACAATTGAGGTTATCCCAGCAATTTTGGAGACGATTTTTATTTTACAACTTACAACTATACCCAATCTATAAAATCTATAAATGGGATAACCATCCTTACTATCATATCTATTCATATCTTACCATCATATCTAACATGATCCAACCATTTTATCACTGAACTAACCAACCACTTTCCATTCGTGATCCAGCCCCGTTGCCAGGCCTTTGCTGCTGCGACCTTGGACCTTGTAAGGCATGAGAACTTCAAACTTCCGAACTTCTCAGACACTGCATATTTCCGGAAACTCTCGGAAAACTCTCTGAAAATATCTGAAAATGGAATTGGATAGAATTGGTATGAACTGGTGTTTTCACTTCCAAATTTCGACTCCGAAACGGTGTCGTGCAACGGGTCTGAGTCTAGGACGGCGGCGGCCAGAACAAAGAGCGCAGGTCGGCCATATTCTGCCAATCAACGGCAAAGGCCTTGGCTCAGTGCTTGCCCAGAAATTCAGCCTTGGCCAAATGCCGAGTTGAAGCTGTGCTTGCAACAATGAAGGGATTCAGCCAGCTTTCACTTCTTGGAGAAGAAACAGCAACCATCGGAATGAGTCTCGGCAACGCGACATGGTTCTTCAGAGTATTTGCTGTTGAAATGTCTCGTGAAGCTAATCATAAACCAGTTTTTTTCCTTTCACCATATTTCACCCGTCCATGTTGCAGATCAAATGAATTTTGAACCACGCCCATCTTATCCAACAGAGAATCGAGATCGGACCGTGCCGGCAACTCGAGCCTGTTGCGCCCAGCGTGGATTAAAGCGTGAAGGCAGCCATCAAGTCGTCTGTGGACAACCTCAGCCGCTATCAGAGCATGGCCTTAAGAAAAATCTCGTACCGCGTCAAGACTTGATTAACGAAGCAATGAGCATCCACCGATCCATCCATGATCCATCCACTCATTCATCAATTCATTTATTCAGTCAGGCGTCAATCCATCCCTGGATCCGACATCATCCAGCATCATCCATCAAACATCATCGAACCACGGATTCATCCATTGATCACTGCATTTCTCCTTGCTGCAACCTCATGATTTTCCGGTTCGTTTTGGAACTTCAATTGGAGCCAAGCCGCCTTCGAAGTCCAGCGTCGTGTCCCAGCATCATTCCGATGTGACGCGGCACCTGGAACCACCCCGCCAAGACCCGAGATCCCTCGAGTTTCGGGTGGAAGTGGAGATGTGGGAACTGTGGGAACATCAACGCCGCCAAAAATTCCGGGTGGGTCCAGTGGACACCAGGTCACCACGTATGTTCATCTTGGAACCTCCAACGTCCATCTGGTTGTTTGACACCAAGAGCTTTGAGCCCCACCCAAAGCAATGCACCCGTTTTGGTTAGCAGCTGGATTCAGATCTGGTATGTTCGAAAATGATCCAAATAAACATGAAACATCATGAAACACACTCATGTCATCTCATGTCCATCCCCGAACGTTCCATGTGATGTATGTGCCACTCCCAATGATACCTCAGCGACTCAGCGTTGCCATGCGCCGAAGAATGTAAAGCTGCACCTGGGCTCAGTCCATCTGCCAACATCGACAGTCCAAGGTTCAAACAAAGCACAATGCGACAACATTCACAACTATCATCAACTATCCCATGATCCGGAACTGCCCGTTATATCCAGCTGCTTTTCATACCTCAAATTGTACATCCCACCAGTCACATCACTTGGTTTCCCGCATAATTTTGCATCTCGAGCCTTGGCAACATGCTGGACTGCATTGAAATTCAATGCCCACAATCAAAACATGACAAGTTATGACAAGTTGACTTTGTTTATCTTTCAAGAAACTTCTGCCAAAGAAATGGAGAAGCAAAAACTTCCACACAATTCCACAAGTGCATTGCTTGATCAGGCGAGTTCCTAGCATGAATATTTGCCTCAAGCAACGGAATCGCCATGCCATGCACAGCTTACAGCACCCACAGTTCGACAAACTGATGCCATTTGACAATTTCTTGAAATCATGACATTAGTTCTAGTAGCCGGGCATTGGGCTGAGCGGACTGACGGCAGGAAAAACCTCTTTAAGAGGGGGAAAAACCTGCCAGTGGTGATACTCTCCTTTAGGGAGCAAACCTTGACAAACATTATCCATGACAATCATGGAAAGCAGCCAAACCTGCGTTTTCATGTGCCCTCTTCGGGGCGAGCGGCAACCTGCTCTTGAGGTTGTCCCTGCGTCGGTCAGCTTGAGCTGCAGATCCATCTGCGCCAAATGAGTGCTCCGCCGTCTGTGCTCTCCGAAAGCCTTGCCCATTTCAACACATAAGAGAGGTCTTCCATTTGTTCCAGCACGTCTGCCTTCTTGCGAGCAGCCAATAGCCCTACTTGCCCATCGAAAATCAATTCTTGCAGCTTCTCATTGAATGCCTTCTTGTCTGGGATCTTTTCTAGAATTTGTTGCACATCTTCAGGACGACTGGCTTTCATATCTTCCACCCTGATGTCTTGCAAGGTGCTTTGCCTCGTCATCAAGGTAGCAGTGTTCCTGAGCATCAGGTTCTGCGCCATGCCCATGCGATGAGCTTCAAACAATTCCGCCACACACCACGCACGCCCAAATAGGTCCAGGTTGGCATCCACAGCAATGACCTCTGTAAAATTTGGATCTTTTCGTGCCAGAAATGCCATCATGTCATCAAATTTGTTCATCTCACACGTGATGCTCTCACCATGCTCATTCAATGGTGGGTCCTTATTGAAGAACTTTGGAGCGTTGCAAGTGCATATGGGATGTGGGATTTTTGTGACTGGATCGACGTCTCCGTTGGGGTTTCCTCCACAAATTGAAGCGTGCTGATTGACTGAAAACGCACAGATCCAGTAGGTTTCCTGAAGACGCTCTTGAACCTGGAGAATTTGCTCCACAACCTCAACCCCTTCCTTGTCGGATAACAACTTCGCAATCAGCTCGAAGTTGTGTTCTCCCAGAGCATCAGCAATGACGCTAGCTAGCAGGTCACGGAAGAGATTTTGCCAGTTGTGCGTGACCATTTTCTTAGGAATCACCTTCTTGCCATTGTTCACAAACTCAGCATAGGAGCTACCAGCGGAAGAAGTTCGTGGAATGATTCCAAGTCTAACCACATCGTTGGTGGTGTGAACATCTGGCTGGAAGGACGGCATAATGCCGAAGCCCAAATTGCTGTAAAATTCCAATATGTCTGACAAAGAGATCCCACGGCTGGCCAGTTCTTCAGTCTTTGCTTCCCAATCTGACCCCTTTATCATGCCAGTGTCAGTGTCACTGTCATGGCGTAAGTGAGAGCGGGGACACACTTGGCAGCCAAATCTGGATGGAGTCCATGAGAGGGCGGGGGGCCTTGCAGATCCAGGCAGTCGAAAAAGTCTGTATGCTTTCGATAAGAGGATAACCCCGGCCACGTTCACCACGCTGTTGATACACTGAGCTACAGCAAAAGAGAAGCTGGGGATGTGCAAGCCCCAATAATGTCCAGGATCATCATCAGGAGTCTCGAACTCGAAAGCCTCACTAAAAGTAACCTTAAAGAGACTAAAGCTTGTTGCGAAACTGGCAAGGAAGCCAATTCCTTGCCAAAAGCTCCGTCTCCTACAAGCAATAAGGCGCTGCACAGCAGTGGAATTCTCTTCTTTTCGAGCCATCTGCAAGGTTCGACGAAGCATCAAGACTACACGGCACAACGTGGTGGCAACGCCAAGGACCCACATCACGAACACAAGCTTTACAAGGTCTGCTGCAGTGGATAATATTACCACAAGGATCAAATCGAAATTAACCCCCCGCACCACCAAAAACTCCGTCGGATAAAGAAATGACAGGAGTGCAAATTCAAGCCAATAGGCTCGCCCAAGGAATGCTCCCCATCGTGGGGAGTTCAAAGCTGGCCAAATACTCTTCAAACGATCTTGGGCGAGATATTGCAGCCCCAGAAGTTCAAAAATCAAGACAACCAGCTAGAAACAGGGAGCATAATCCTCCAAGCCAGTTGAGAATCAAAAAGCGTGCTGCCAGAAGCAGGTGTTGCGTTGGGGCAATGAGCCACAGCAAGACAGCTGCTCCCCCAGCTAGCGCATTGCTCGCAATAAGACAGCAAACAAGAAAAATGGAGTCGGACTTGTAAGAAGAGGATCTATAAAGCTCACATGCAAGTGCACCAGACAGGCAGGCGGCGACAATCACGGCCACACAAAGAAATGTGCGATGAGTCCATCTCTGAATCCACCAGGTTTGGCTCTGATCCCGGCTTCGGATTGGCGAATCAAGTTCTGATGGTGATCCAGGCACGTCCGTCACGTCCACATCGCCTGCAGCAGCTTTCACTGGTCCGTCCAGTGCACACCTGACACGCCCAAGCAGAACAGGCCCAGCCGACGACATGGCACACGGATGCACACGGCCACCCTGAAGAGCTGACAGCGGGTGAGAGCCGGAGTGATGCTCTGTTCAGACCCCGGCTTCAACAGAGAAAGTTGATTTTAGAAAAAAAAACTGGATTTTCCTCAGTTTTGCTGGTGCTTTGTTTTTTTTTTGTTTCTTCTTTTGTTTTTGTTTTTTATTTTTTCTATGAAACCCTATATTCTCTGTGCTGTTGGGCTCATAACTTTGTTGGGCCAAAATTCTACACACACACACAGTATATCACACACAATATCACACACCTTGTGTGTTTGATCCGCTCTTTTGAATGAGTTGTCTTGGAGTGCCAGCTCGTGTAAACTTCAGTCTGAAGAGCGTAGGTGTTCGTCTCAGGAGCCTAGTTATAGACTCCAAAGGTTTCTTCAATTCATAGATGCACTTTCTCGCCCCGAGCGAAGGTGAATCTATGTGAATCTAAAGTTCCTCTCAGTTGTCACAAGTTGTCACAGCAAGATCCTGTCCCAAATTCAACTCCTGCAGGATCTTACGTGACACAATTGAGGTTATCCCAGCAATTTTGGAGACGATTTTTATTTTACAACTATACCCAATCTATAAAATCTATAAATGGGAAAACCATCCTTACTATCATATCTATTCATATCTTACCATCATATCTTGCTTTCCGGCACTCATACTTTGAACCGAAAAACGGCCAAACGGATTCATTCCACCGTCAAGCAAACAGTCGAAACGACTCACAAACATGATCCAACCATTTTATCACTGAACTAACCAACCACTTTCTATTCGTGATCCAGCCCCGTTCCCAGGCCTTTGCTGCTGCGACCTTGGACCTTGTAAGGCATGAGAACTTCAAACTTCCGAACTTCTCAGACACTGCAGATTTCCGGAAACTCTCGGAAAACTCTCGGAAAACTCTCGGAAAACTCTCGGAAAATTCTGAAAATGGAATTGGTATGAATTGGTGTGTTCACTTCCAAATTTCGACTCCGAAACGGTGTCGTACAACGGGTCTGAGTCTAGGACGGCGGCGGCCAGAACAAAGAGCGCAGGTCGGCCATATTCTGCCAATCAACGGCAAAGGCCTTGGCTCAGTGTTTGCACAGTAATTCAGCCTTGGCCAAATGCCGAGTTGAAGCTGAGCTGGCAACAATTAAGGGATTCAGCAACCATCGGAATGAGTCTCAGCAACGCGGTCTTCAGAGTATTTGCTGTTGTGCATTTGCCTGTAACGATCTGGACACGGAGAACCCTTTTAGGAAAGAACAGTTTGCATTCCCAGGTATCCAGATATACTGCCAAGATTTTGTCATTCCAGTGGGACTCCAAAGATTCTTCAAAAACTGAATGAGTGCACACACTGACACGATTTGGTCGGCTTTTTGCCTCCTCCAAGTTTGGAACCTCTCCTTCCACCTCTTTTGCTTGGATCATGTTTGCGGTGATGCCGGCACCATACACTGCCGTGCTCAGCAAAACGAAGAAGCCCAAACCCAAACGTAGCATGTGGGATGGACGAGAGCGGCTTGGTTTTTTCGGGTCCCTCCTGTGGCTGGTGTTCGACTTGTTGACAAAGGCCTCAAACACACCAAGAAGGGCATCAGCGAGTCCGTGTGTAAAACAGCAAAAGCACTTGCAGAACTTCTCCACGCGTCGTTGCCATTTGTCTTGGGGCTTTTCGGGCTCCTCGGGTGGCTCTTCGGGCTCTCCCTGCTCTTCAGGCTCTTCTCCGGATTGTCTGTCAAGATTGCCAAGGCAGTCAAGGCATTTGTCAAGGCCTTTCATGGCGACAATGAAGAAGAATACCACTCCCACGAAGAAACCCCAAGCTCCGAGACTGAAGACATCAACCCACCAGAACCAGAACTTCCAAGATCCCCAGTCTTCTGACGCAAAGAAATTACACTTGCTTTTGGATACCATGAAGACTGGAGAGGTGTACAACTCGATCATGAAGGTCATTGCTTGCCTCCGATGGGTCAAGGCGAATGCCCCAGAGCACAAGTCCACATAACCCATTCCTGTTGAAGGCACACAAATCAAAGTTGGTGGTACTAGTAGGCCTTTCAGACCATTCCTTCGGAAATCTTCCCTTGTACTCTTCAAAAGCCTTCGTGAGGTTGTAGTCAATAAAGTATTGGTCGATGCCCTCCTCACCCCTTCTGATGACTGTATGGTCAATTCTAACTTGGGACTGGTTGAGCTCATCTAGCGCCCTTTCCCAAAACTCTGCTACGCGACCTTGGCAGTTCCGGTTTTGCGAGTATTTATCGTATCTGCGGCATTCGGTGTTTCCCAAGTAGCCTCGTACCAAACCGCTCTCCGGGTGCAAGACCCGGAGGGAATCATTCTGCAGAAATGCGGCCAGCGACTTTTGGAAAAACACGGCAGTCCCTTGTCGCAGGTTCCCACAGGTTGCATAAGAATAGGGGCCCAACACACCCCAGTCCCAGTCCACACTGCAATTTTGTGGGTTGACATAGCACCACGATGTTTTGCACCAAGGTGATTCAGAGAATTGGTTGCATTCAAGCTGTGCTGCTGCATCGCTCTCGTAAATATGAACAGCACAGGAAGCACTTATGTTGTGGGTGTTGCAGCCAATCCCAAATTGTTCATGACATGATCCGGTCCAGTTTTGACACCGCCCACTCGGAGGAATGCTTTGCTATGCATGGGCATCTGTCTGGATGGGATCCAAGTGTGATGTGGGGAAGTGCCAGCCAGGGTGCCAAAGCCGCAAAAGCAAAGAATCTCATGGCTTCGACTGATGCTACTTCCAAGTTCTCAGCGCTCTCCACTTAAACTTAAGCCATTCACGTTGCGGGTTTGAAAAATTGACCCACGTCCACGGGTCCACGTCAGGATAATTCAGCAAAGAATCCGATAAAATTCAGTGCAACCAAACAGACTGGTACGTCGTATGTGATAAAAACATAATGCATGATATCATCCCGCGATCAACCATCAGACTCCGGCTTTCTTCACTTCACCGTCCAGCTTTGCATCAGCTGAGACAAGGATTCCAGGTAGCAATCGACCTGATCGAACTTCGTCCAAATTGCTCAATTTGGGCTGTATGTGCGGTCTTGAAATGTCTCGTGAAGCTGATCATAAACCAGTTTTTTCCTTTCACATCCTTTCACCATATTTCACCCGTCCATGTTGCAGATCAAATGAATTTTGAACCACGCCCATCTTATCCAACAGAGAATCGAGATCGGACCATGTCGGCAACTCGAGCCTGTTGTGCCCGGCGTGGATTAAAGCGTGAAGGCAGCAGCCATCAAGTCGTCTGTGGACAACCTCAGCTGTCAGAGCATGGCAGAAACATCTCGTACCGCGTCAAGACTTGATTAACCAAGCAATGAGCATCCACCGATCCATCCATGATCCATCCACTCATTCATCAATTCATTTATTCAGTCAGGCGTCAATCCATCCCTGGATCCGACATCATCCAGCATCATCCATCAAACATCATCGAACCATGATGAACCATGGATTCATCCATTGATCACTGCATTTCTCCTTGCTGCAACCTCATGATTTTCCGGTTCGTTTTGGAACTTCAATTGGAGCCAAGCCGCCTTCGAAGCCCAGCGTCGTGTCCCAGCATCATTCCGATGGGACGTGGCACCTGGAACCACCCCGCCAAGACCACCCGAGATCCCGCGAGTTTCGGGTGGAAGTGGAGATGTGGGAACTGTGGGAACATCAACACCGCCAAAATTGCCACCGTAGCTGACCTTTTGAATATAATTACCAAAGCATCCAACTTGAAGTACTGGCCACAAAGATCAATTCCGGGTGGGTCCAGTGGTCACCACGTATGTTCATCTTGGAACCTCAAACGTCCATCGTGGTTGTTTGACACCGAGAGTTTTGAGCCCCACCCAAAGCAATGCACCTGTCTCGGTCAGCAGCTGAATTCAGATCTGGTATGTTCGAAAATGATCCAAATAAACATGAAACATCATGAAACACACTCATGTCATCTAATGTCCATCCCCGAACATTCCATGTGATGTATGTGCCACTCCCAATGATACCTCAGCGACTCAGCGTTGCCATGCGCCGAAGAATGTAAAGCTGCACCTGGGCTCAGTCCATCTGCCAACTTCGACAGTCCAATCAAGGTTCAAACAAAGCACAATGCGACAACATTCACAACCATCATCAACTATCCCATGATCCGGAACTGCCGGTCATATCCAGCTGCTTTTCATACCTCAAATTGTACATCCCACCAGTCACATCACTTGGGTTCCCGCATACTGCATCTCGAGCCTTGGCAACATGCTGGACTGCATTGAAATTCAATGCCCACAATCAAAACATGACAAGTTATGACAAGTTGACTTTGTTTATCTTTGAAGAAACTTCTGCCAAAGAAATGGAGAAGCAAAAACTTCCACACAATTCCACAAGTGCATTGCTTGATCACGCATGATCAGGCAAGTTCCTAGCATGAATATTTGCCTCAAGCAACGGAATCGCCATGCCATGCACAGCTTACAGCACCCACAGTTCGACAAACTGATGCCATTTGACAATTTCTTGAAATCATGACATTAGTTCTAGTAGCCGGACATTGGGCTGAGCGGACTGACGGCAGGAAAAACCTCTTTAAGAGGGAAAAAAACCTGCCAGTGGTGATACTCTCCTTTAGGGAGCAAACCTTGACAAACATTATCCATGACAATCATGGAAAGCAGCCAAACCTGCGTTTTCATGTGCCCTCTTCGGGGCGAGCGGCAACCTGCTCTTGAGGTTGTCCCTGCGTCGGTCAGCTTGAGCTGCAGATCCATCTGCGCCAAATGAGTGCTCCGCCGTCTGTGCTCTCCGAAAGCCTTGCCCATTTCAACACATAAGAGAGGTCTTCCATTTGTTCCAGCACGTCTGCCTTCTTGCGAGCAGCCAATAGCCCTACTTGCCCATCGAAAATCAATTCTTGCAGCTTCTCATTGAATGCCTTCTTGTCTGGGATCTTTTCTAGAATTTGTTGCACATCTTCAGGACGACTGGCTTTCATATCTTCCACCCTGATGTCTTGCAAGGTGCTTTGCCTCGTCATCAAGGTAGCAGTGTTCCTGAGCATCGGGTTCTGCGCCATGCCCATGCGATGAGCTTCAAACAATTCCGCCACACACCAGGCACGCCCAAATAGGTCCAGGTTGGCATCCACAGCAATGACCTCTGTAAAATTTGGATCTTTTCGTGCCAGAAATGCCATCATGTCATCAAATTTGTTCATCTCACACTTGATGCTCTCACCATGCTCATTCAATGGTGGGTCCTTATTGAAGAACTTTGGAGCATTGCAAGTGCATATGGGATGTGGGATTTTTGTGACTGGATCGACGTCTCCGTTGGGGTTTCCTCCACAAATTGAAGCGTGCTGATTGACTGAAAACGCACAGATCCAGTAGGTTTCCTGAAGACGCTCTTGAACCTGGAGAATTTGCTCCACAACCTCAACCCCTTCCTTGTCGGATAACAACTTCGCAATCAGCTCGAAGTTGTGTTCTCCCAGAGCATCAGCAATGACGCTAGCTAGCAGGTCACGGAAGAGATTTTGCCAGTTGTGCGTGACCATTTTCTTAGGAATCACCTTCTTGCCATTGTTCACAAACTCAGCATAGGAGCTACCAGCGGAAGAAGTTCGTGGAATGATTCCAAGTCTAACCACATCGTTGGTGGTGTGAACATCTGGCTGGAAGGACGGCATAATGCCGAAGCCCAAATTGCTGTAAAATTCCAATATGTCTGACAAAGAGATCCCACGGCTGGCCAGTTCTTCAGTCTTTGCTTCCCAATCTGACCCCTTTATCATGCCAGTGTCAGTGTCACTGTCATGGCGTAAGTGAGAGCGGGGACACACTTGGCAGCCAAATCTGGATGGAGTCCATGCGAGGGCGGGGGGCCTTGCAGATCCAGGCAGTCGAAAAAGTCTGTATGCTTTCGATAAGAGGATAACCCCGGCCACGTTCACCACGCTGTTGATACACTGAGCTACAGCAAAAGAGAAGCTGGGGATGTGCAAGCCCCAATAATGTCCAGGATCATCATCAGGAGTCTCGAACTCGAAAGCCTCACTAAAAGCAACTTGAAAGAGAATAACGCTTGTTGCGAAACTGGCAAGGAAGCCAATTCCTTGCCAAAAGCTCCGTCTCCTACAAGCAATAAGGCGCTGCACAGCAGTGGAATTCTCTTCTTTTCGAGCCATCTGCAAGGTTCGACGAAGCATCAAGACTACACGGCACAACGTGGTGGCAACGCCAAGGACCCACATCACGAACACAAGCATTACAAGGTCTGCTGCAGTGGATAATATTACCACAAGGATCAAATCGAAATTAACCCCCCGCACCACCAAAAACTGCGTCGGATAAAGAAATGACAGGAGTGCAAATTCAAGCCAAAAGGCTCACCCAAGGCATACTCCCCATCGTGGGGAGTTCAAAGCTGGCCAAATACTCTTCAAACGATCTTGGGCGAGATATTGCAGCCCCAGAAATTCAAAAATCAAGACAGTCGGCCTGAACGCTAGTAGAAACAGGGAGCATAATCCTCCAAGCCAGTTGAGAATCAAAAAGCGTGCTGCCAGAAGCAGGTGTTGCGTTGGGGCAATGAGCCACAGCAAGACAGCTGCTGCCCCAGCTAGCGCATTGCTCGCAATAAGAAAGCAAACAAGAAAAATGGAGTCAGACTTGTAAGAAGAGGAATCATAAAGAGCATATGCAAGTGCACCAGACAGGCAGGCGGCGACAATCACGGCCACACAAAGAAATGTGCGATGAGTCCATCTCTGAATCCACCAGGTTTGGCTCTGATCCCGGCTTCGGATTGGCGAATCAAGTTCTGATGGTGATCCAGGCACGTCCGTCACGTCCACATCGCCTGCAGCAGCTTTCACTGGTCCGTCCAGTGCACACCTGACACGCCCAAGCAGAACAGGCCCAGCCGACGACATGGCACACGGCCACCCTGAAAAGCTGACAGCGGGTGAGAGCCGGAGTGATGCTCTGTTCAGACCCCGGCTTCAACAGAGAAAGTTGATTTTAGAAAAAAACTGGATTTTCCTCAGTTTTGCTGGTGCTTTGTTTTTTTTTGTTTGTTTCTTGTGTTGTTTTTGTTTTTTGTCTTTTCTATGAAACCCTATATTCTCTGTGCTGTTGGGCTCATAACTCTGTTGGGCCAAAATTCTACACACACACACACAGAGTATATCACAGTATCACACACCTTGTGTGTTTGATCCGTTGTTTTGAATGATTTGTCTTGGAGTGCCAGGTCGTGTAAACTTCAGTCTGAAGAGCGTAGGTGTTCGTCTCAGGAACCTAATTATAGACTCCAAAAGTTTCTTCAATTCATAGATGCACTTTCTCGCCCCGAGCGAAGGTGAATCTAAAGTTCCTCTCAGTTGTCACATCAGCAAGATCCTGTCCCAAATTCAACTCCACCTGCAGGATCATCTTACGTGACACAATTGAGGTTATCCCAGCAATTTTGGACACTATTTGTATTTTACAACTATACCCAATCTATAAAATCTATAAATGGGATAACCATCCTTACTATCATATCTATTCATATCTTACCATCATATCTAACATGATCCAACCATTTTATCACTGAACTAACCAACCACTTTCCATTCGTGATCCAGCCCCGTTCCCAGGCCTTTGCTGCCGCGACCTTGATGGACCTTGTAAGGCATGAGAACTTCAAACTTCCGAACTTCTCAGACACTGCAGATTTCCGGAAATTCTCGGAAAACTCTGGGAAAACTCTGGAAAATATCTGAAAATGGAATTGGATAGAACTGGTGTTTTCACTTCCAAATTTCGACTCCGAAACGGTGTCGTACAACGGGTCTGAGTTTAGGACGGCGGCGGACAAAACAAAGAGCGCAGGTCGGCCATTCTGCCAATCAACGGCAAAGGCCTTGGGTTGAAGCTGAGCTGGCTGCTGCGGTATTCAGCCAGCTTTCACTTCTTGGAGAAGAAACAGCAACCATCGGGCAGAAGAGTCTCAGCAACGCGACATGGTTCTTCAGAGTATTTGCTGTTGAAATGTCTCGTGAAGCTGATCATAAACCAGTTTTTTCTTTTCACCATATTTCACCCGTCCATGTTGCAGATCAAATGAATTTTGAACCACGCCCATCTTATCCAACAGAGAATCGAGATTGGATCATGCCGGCAACTCGAGCCTGTTGCGCCCGGCGTGGATTAAAGCGTGAAGGCAGCAGCCATCAAGTCGTGGACAACCTCAGCTGTCAGAGCATGGCCTTAAGATCTCGTACCGCGTCAAGACTTGATGAAACCAAGCAATGAGCATCCACCGATCCATCCATGATCCATCCACTCATTCATCAATTCATTTATTCAGTCAGTCAGGCATCAATCCATCCCTGAATCCGACATCATCCAGCATCATCCATCAAACATCATCGAACCATGATGAACCATGGATTCATCCATTGATCACTGCATTTCTCCTTGCTGCAACCTACTGATTTTCCGGTTCGTTTTGGAACTTCAATTGGAGCCAAGCCGCCTTCGAAGTCCAGCGTCGTGTCCTAGCATCATTCCGATGTGACGCGGCACCTGGAACCACCCCGCCAAGACCCGAGATCCCTCGAGTTTCGGGTGGAAGTGGAGATGTGGGAACTGTGGGAACATCAACACCGCCAAAATTGCCACCGTAGCTGACCTTTTGAATATAATTACCAAAGCATCCCACTTGAAGTACTGGCCACAAAGATCAATTCCGGGTGGGTCCAGTGGTCACCACGTATGTTCATCTTGGAACCTCAAACGTCCATGTGGTTGTTTGACACCGAGAGTTTTGAGCCCCACCCAAAGCAATGCACCCGTTTCGGTTAGCAGCTGGATTCAGATCTGGTATGTTCGAAAATGATCCAAATAAACATGAACCATCATGAAACACACTCATGTCATCTCATGTCCATCCCCGAACGTTCCATGTGATGTATGTGCCACTCCCAATGATACCTCAGCGACTCAGCGTTGCCATGCGCCGAAGAATGTAAAGCTGCACCTGGGCTCAGTCCATCTGCCAACATCGACAGTCCAATCAAGGTTCAAACAAAGCACCATGCGACAACATTCACAACTATCATCAACTATCCCATGATCCGGAACTGCCCGTCATATCCAGCTGCTTTTCATACCTCAAATTGTACATCCCACCAGTCACATCACTTGGGTTCCCGCATAATTTTGCATCTCGAGCCTTGGCAACATGCTGGACTGCATTGAAATTCAATGCCCACAAATCAAAACATGACAAGTTATGACAAGTTGACTTTGTTTATCTTTGAAGAAACTTCTGCCAAAGAAATGGAGAAGCAAAAACTTCCACACAATTCCACAAGTGCATGGCTTGATCACGCATGATCAGGCAAGTTCCTAGCATGAATATTTGCCTCAAGCAACGGAATCGCCATGCCATGCACAGCTTACAGCACCCACAGTTCGACAAACTGATGCCATTTCCCGGACAGAAACACACACATTTTTGAATTAAGAAGACTTGAAATCATGACAATCATGGAAAGCAGCCAAACCTGCGTTTTCATGTGCCCTCTTCGGGGCGAGGGGCAACCTGCTCTTGAGGTTGTCCCTGCGTCGGTCAGCTTGAGCTGCAGATCCATCTGCGCCAAATGAGTGCTCCGCCATCTGTGCTCTCCGAAAGCCTTGCCCATTTCAACACATAAGAGAGGTCTTCCATTTGTTCTAGCACGTCTGCCTTCTTGCGAGCAGCCAATAGCCCTACTTGCCCATCGAAAATCAATTCTTGCAGCTTCTCATTGAATGCCTTCGTGTCTGGGATCTTTGCTAGAATTTGTTGTACATCTTCAGGACGGCTGGCTTTCATATCTTCCACCCTGATGTCTTGCAAGGTGCGTTGCCTCGTCATCAAGGTAGCAGTGTTCCTCAGCATCAGGTTCTGCGCCATGCCTATGCGATGAGCTTCAAACAATTCCGCCACACACCAGGCACGCCCAAATAGGTCCAGGTTGGCATCCACAGCAATGACCTCTGTAAAATTTGGATCTTTTCGTGCCAGAAATGCCATCATGTCATCAAATTTGTTCATCTCACACTTGATGCTCTCACCATGCTCATTCAATGGTGGGTCCTTATTGAAGAACTTTGGAGCGTTGCAAGTGCATATGGGATGTGGGATTTTTGTGACTGGATAGACGTCTCCGTTGGGGTTTCCTCCACAAATTGAAGCGTGCTGATTGACTGAAAAGGCACAGATCCAGTAGGTTTCCTGAAGACGCTCTTGAACCTGGAGAATTTGCTCCACAACCTCAACCCCTTCCTTGTCGGACAACAACTTCGCAATCAGCTCGAAGTTGTGTTCTCCCAGAGCATCAGCAATGACGCTAGCTAGCAGGTCACGGAAGAGATTTTGCCAGTTGTGCGTGACCATTTTCTTCGGGATCACCTTCTTGCCATCGTTCACGAACTCAGCATAGGAGCTACAAGCGGAAGAAGTTCGTGGAATGATTCCAAGTCTAACCACATCGTTGGTGGTGTGAACATCTGGCTGGAAGGACGGCATAATGCCGACGCCCAAATTGCTGTAAAATTCCAATAGGTCTGACAAAGAGATCCCACGACAGGCCAGTTCTTCAGTCTTTGCTTCCCAATCTGACCCCTTTATCATGCCAGTGTCAGTGTCACTGTCATAGCGTAAGTGAGAGCGGGGACACACTTGGCAGCCAAATCTGGATGGAGTCCATGAGAGGGCGGGGGGCCTTGCAGATTCAGGCAGTCTAAAAAGTCTATATGCTTTTGATAAGAGGATAACCCCGGCCACGTTCACCACGCTGTTGATACACTGAGCAACAGCAAAAGAGAAGCTGGGCATGTGCAAGCCCCCATAATAAAATTCAGGATCATCAAGAGTCTCGATAATCTCACTAACAGAAACCTTAAAGAGAATAGAGGTTGTTGCCAAACTGGCAAGGAAGCCAATTCCTTGCCAAAAGGTCCGTCTCCTACAAGCAAGAAGGCGTTGCACAGCAGCGGAATTCTCTTCTTTTCGAGCCATCTGCACGGTTCGACGAAGCATCAAGACAACGCGGCACAACGTGGTGGCAACGCCAAGGACCCACATCACGAACACAAGCGCAGCAAGGAGTTGTGCAGTAAATGCTACCACAGGGATCAAATCGAAATTAACCCTCGGCACCACCAAAATCATCGGCGTCAGATAAAGAAATGACAGGAGTGCAAATTCAAGCCAAAAGGCTCGCCCAAGGCATGCTCCCCATCGTGGGGAGTTCAAAGCTGGCCAAATCCGCCCACACCGCTTTGGCGGTGAAGGCGTGCTTATTGGGGGGCAACAGCAACACTAAATGCTCAATGACATTTGTTAATATAGCAGTCGCTATATCAGCTTTAGCTGGGGGGGGGGGGGCCCAAAAACGGTTTCGCACCGAGACCAGACCCCAAAAACGGTTTCGCACCGAGACCAGAATACGGTGGTGTTTTCGACATTTTTCGAGGATTTTTGGGTGTCTGAGCGCAAGAGGGTATTGAAATGGAATTTTTGGTCATTTTGGTAGCTTTCCGGCAATGGAAAAACGGCCAAAAATGAAAAAAACATTGTACATAGCAAGATTTTGCAGGGTTTTTGGATGCCAGAGCATTGAAAACACTGCAAAAACAAGTGTTTTGGACTGACGTTATAGCAAAAAACGTGTAAATTACCGTATGCTTGACTGGAAACATTACAAAAACACTGTCAAAAGCAATGTTTTGGAAGGATTTATTGCCTTTATGGCAAAAAACGTGTAAATTACCGTCTGTTTGACTGGAAACATTGGAAAAACACTGTCAAAAACAATGTTTTGGAAGGATTTCTTATTGAAACTTCTTAGCTTGAAGAGCCCCCACGGGGGAAAACCACCCTTAGCCCCTCTCACGGACCGAAATAAACCTGCGGTGTGGGCGGCCACCCCACGCGAAGCGGGGTGAATACTCTTCAAACGATCTTGGGCGAGATATTGCAGCCCCAGAAGTTCACAAACCAAGACAAGCGGCCTGAACCCTAGTAGAAACAGGGAGCATAATCCTCCAAGCCAGTTGAGCATCAAAAAGCGTGCTGCCAGAAGCAGGTGTTGCGTTGTGGCAATGAGCCACAGCAAGACAGCTGCTGCCCCAGCTAGCGCATTGCTCGCAATAAGAAAGCCAGCAAGAAAAATGGAGTCAGACTTGTAAGAAGAGGAATCATAAAGAGCATATGCAAGTGCACCAGACAGGCAGGCGGCGACAATCACGGCCACACAAAGAAATGTGCGATGAGTCCAGCTCTGAATCCACCAGGTTTGGCTCTGATCCCGGCTTCGGATTGGCGAATCAAGTTCTGATGGTGATCCAGGCACGTCCGTCACGTCCACATCGCCTACAGCAGCTTTCACTGGTCCGGCCAGTGCACACCTGACACGCCCAAGCAGAACAGGCCCAGCCGACGACATGGCACACGGCCACCCTGAAGAGCTGACAGCGGGTGAGAGCCGGAGTGATGCTCTGTTCAGACCCCGGCTTCAACAGAGAAAGTTGATTTTAGAAAAAAAACTGGATTTTCCTCAGTTTTGCTGGTGCTTTGTTTTTTTTGTTTGTTTCTTGTGTTGTTTTTGTTTTTTTTCTATGAAACCCTATATTCTCTGTTCTGTTGGGCTCATAACTCTGTTGGGCCAAAATTCTACACACACACAATATCACACACCTTGTGTGTTTGATCCGCTCTTTGAATGATTTGTCTTGGAGTGCCAGCTTGTGTAAACTTCAGTCTGAAGAGCGTAGGTGTTCGTCTCAGGAAACAACTATAGACTCCAAAGGTTTCTTCAATTCATAGATGCACTTTCTCGCCCCGAGCGAAGGTGAATCTAAAGTTCCTCTCAGTTGTCACATCAGCGAGATCCTGTCCCAAATTCAACTCCACCTGCAGGATCATCTTACGTGACACAATTGAGGTTATCCCAGCAATTTTGGAGACTATGTTTATTTTACAACTATACCCAATCTATAAATGGGACAACCATCCTTACCATAATAGCTAACATGATCCAACCATTTTATCACTGAACTAACCAACCACTCCATTCGTGACCCAGCCCCGTTCCCAGGCCTTTGCTGCCGCGACCTTGATGGACCTTGTAAGGCATGAGAACTTCAAACTTCCGAACTTCTCAGACACTGCAGATCTCCGGAATTCTCGGAAAACTCTGGGAAAACTCTGGGAAAACTCTGAAAATATCTGAAAATGGAATTGGTATGAACTGGTGTTTTCACTTCCAAATTTCGACTCCGAAACGGTGTCGTACAACGGGTCTGAGTCTAGGACGGCGGGGGCCAAAACAAAGAGCGCAGGTCGGCGGGCCATTCTGCCAATCAACGGCAAAGGCCTTGGCTCAGTGTTTGCCCAGTAATTCAGCCTTGGCCAAATGCCGAGTTGAAGCTGCGCTTGCAACAATTAAGGGATTCAGCCAGCTTTCACTTCTTGGAGAAGAAACAGCAACCATCGGGCAGAATGAGTCTCAGCAACGCGACATGGTTCTTCAGAGTATTTGCTGGTGTGTGTATGTGCATTTGCATGTAATGATCTGGACACGGAGAACCCTTTAAGGAAAGAACGATTTGCAGACCAAAATGCCCATAAAAATAGGCAACAGCACCCAAAAGCACTAGATGACTATAGTATCATCAACAATTGCTCAATTTGGGCTGTTTGTGTGGTCTTGAAATGTCTCGTGAAGCTGATCATAAACCAGTTTTTTTCCTTTCACCATATTTCACCCGTCCATGTTGCAGATCAAATGAATTTTGAACCACGCCCATCTTATCCAACAGAGAATCGAGATCGGACCATGCCGGCAACTCGAGCCTGTTGCGCCCAGCGTGGATTAAAGCGTGAAGGCAGCAGCCATCAAGTCGTCTGTGGACAACCTCAGCTGTCAGAGCATGGCAGAAACATCTCGTACCGCGTCAAGACTTGAACCAAGCAATGAGCATCCACCGATCCATCCATGATCCATCCACTCATTCAATTCATTTATTCAGTCAGGCATCAATCCATCCCTGGATCCGACATCATCCAGCATCACCCATCAAACATCATCGAACCACGGATTCATCCATTGATCACTGCATTTCTCCTTGCTGCAACCTCATGATTTTCCGGTTCGTTTTGGAACTTCAATTAGGAGCCAAGCCGCCTTCGAAGTCCAGCGTCGTGTCCCAGCATCATTCCGATGGGACGCGGCACCTGGAACCACCCCGCCAAGACCACCCGAGATCCCTCGAGTTTCGGGTGGAAGTGGAGATGTGGGAACTGTGGGAACATCAACACCGCCAAAATTGCCACCGTAGCTGACCTTTTGAATATAATTACCAAAGCAACTTGAAGTACTGGCCACAAAGATCAAATCCGGGTGGGTCCAGTGGACACCAGGTCACCACGTATGTTCATCTTGGAACCTCAAACGTCCATCGTGGTTGTTTGACACCGAGAGCTTTGAGCTGCACCTGGGCTCAGTCCATCTGCCAACATCGACAGTCCAAGGTTCAAACAAAGCACCATGCGACAACATTCACAACTATCATCAACTATCCCATGATCCGGAACTGCCCGTCATATCCAGCTGCTTTTCATACCTCAAATTGTACATCCCACCAGTCACATCACTTGGGTTCCCGCATAATTTTGCATCTCGAGCCTTGGCAACATGCTGGACTGCATTGAAATTCAATGCCCACAAATCAAAACATGACAAGTTATGACAAGTTGACTTTGTTTATCTTTGAAGAAACTTCTGCCAAAGAAATGGAGAAGCAAAAACTTCCACACAATTCCACAAGTGCATGGCTTGATCACGCATGATCAGGCAAGTTCCTAGCATGAATATTTGCCTCAAGCAACGGAATCGCCATGCCATGCACAGCTTACAGCACCCACAGTTCGACAAACTGATGCCATTTCCCGGACAGAAACACACACATTTTTGAATTAAGAAGACTTGAAATCATGACAATCATGGAAAGCAGCCAAACCTGCGTTTTCATGTGCCCTCTTCGGGGCGAGGGGCAACCTGCTCTTGAGGTTGTCCCTGCGTCGGTCAGCTTGAGCTGCAGATCCATCTGCGCCAAATGAGTGCTCCGCCATCTGTGCTCTCCGAAAGCCTTGCCCATTTCAACACATAAGAGAGGTCTTCCATTTGTTCTAGCACGTCTGCCTTCTTGCGAGCAGCCAATAGCCCTACTTGCCCATCGAAAATCAATTCTTGCAGCTTCTCATTGAATGCCTTCGTGTCTGGGATCTTTGCTAGAATTTGTTGTACATCTTCAGGACGGCTGGCTTTCATATCTTCCACCCTGATGTCTTGCAAGGTGCGTTGCCTCGTCATCAAGGTAGCAGTGTTCCTCAGCATCAGGTTCTGCGCCATGCCTATGCGATGAGCTTCAAACAATTCCGCCACACACCAGGCACGCCCAAATAGGTCCAGGTTGGCATCCACAGCAATGACCTCTGTAAAATTTGGATCTTTTCGTGCCAGAAATGCCATCATGTCATCAAATTTGTTCATCTCACACTTGATGCTCTCACCATGCTCATTCAATGGTGGGTCCTTATTGAAGAACTTTGGAGCGTTGCAAGTGCATATGGGATGTGGGATTTTTGTGACTGGATCGACGTCTCCGTTGGGGTTTCCTCCACAAATTGAAGCGTGCTGATTGACTGAAAACGCACAGATCCAGTAGGTTTCCTGAAGACGCTCTTGAACCTGGAGAATTTGCTCCACAACCTCAACCCCTTCCTTGTCGGATAACAACTTCGCAATCAGCTCGAAGTTGTGTTCTCCCAGAGCATCAGCAATGACGCTAGCTAGCAGGTCACGGAAGAGATTTTGCCAGTTGTGCGTGACCATTTTCTTAGGGATCACCTTCTTGCCATTGTTCACAAACTCAGCATAGGAGCTACCAGCGGAAGAAGTTCGTGGAATGATTCCAAGTCTAACCACATCGTTGGTGGTGTGAACATCTGGCTGGAAGGACGGCATAATGCCGAAGCCCAAATTGCTGTAAAATTCCAATATGTCTGACAAAGAGATCCCACGGCTGGCCAGTTCTTCAGTCTTTGCTTCCCAATCTGACCCCTTTATCATGCCAGTGTCAGTGTCACTGTCATGGCGTAAGTGAGAGCGGGGACACACTTGGCAGCCAAATCTGGATGGAGTCCATGAGAGGGCGGGGGGCCTTGCAGATCCAGGCAGTCTAAAAAGTCTATATGCTTTTGACAAGAGGATAACCCCGGCCACGTTCACCACGCTGTTGATACACTGAGCGACGGCAAAAGAGAAGCTGGGGATGTGCAAGCCCCAATAATGTCCAGGATCATCAAGAGGAGTCTCGAAAACCTCACTGTCAGTAACCTTAAAGAGACTAAAGGTTGTTGCCAAACTGGCAAGGAAGCCAATTCCTTGCCAAAAGCTCCGTCTCCTACAAGCAATAAGGCGTTGCACAGCAGCGGAATTCTCTTCTTTTCGAGCCATCTGCACGGCTCGACGAAGCATCAAGACTACGCGGCACAACGTGGTGGCAACGCCAAGGACCCACATCACGAACACAAGCGCAGCAAGGAGTTGTGCAGTAAATGCTACCACAGGGATCAAATCGAAATTAACCCTCGGCACCACCAAAATCATCAGCGTCAGATAAAGAAGAAATGACAGGAGTGCAAATTCAAGCCAAAAGGCTCGCCCAAGGCATGCTCCCCATCGTGGGGAGTTCAAAGCTGGCCAAATACTCTTCAAACGATCTTGGGCGAGATATTGCAGCCCCAGAAATTCAAAAACCAAGACAAGCGGCCTGAAGCCTAGTAGAAACAGGGAGCATAATCCTCCAAGCCAGTTGAGCATCAAAAAGCGTGCTGCCAGAAGCAGGTGTTGCGTTGGGGCAATGAGCCACAGAAAGACAGCTGCTGCCCCAGCTAGCGCATTGCTCGCAATAAGAAAGCAAACAAGAAAAATGGAGTCAGACTTGTAAGAAGAGGAATCATGAAGAGCATATACAAGTGCACCAGACAGGCAGGCGGCGACAATCACGGCCACACAAAGAAATGTGCGATGAGTCCATCTCTGAATCCACCAGGTTTGGCTCTGATCCCGGCGTCGGATTGGCGAATCAAGTTCTGATGGTGATCCAGGCACCTCCGTCACGTCCACATCGCCTGCAGCAGCTTTCACTGGTCCGTCCAGTGCACACCTGACACGCCCAAGCAGAACAGGCCCAGCCGACGACATGGCACACGGCCACCCTGAAAAGCTGACAGCGGGTGAGAGCCGGAGTGATGCTCTGTTCAGACCCCGGCTTCAACAGATAAAGTTGATTTTAGAAAAAAAATGGATTTTCCTCAGTTTTGCTGGTGCTTTTTTTTTTTTTGTTTCTTCTTTTGTTTTTGTTTTTTTTGTTTTTTATTTTTTCTATGAAACCCTATATTCTCTGTGCTGTTGGGCTCATAACTTTGTTGGGCCAAAATTCTACACACACACACAATATCACACGTTTGATCCGCTCTTTTGAATGATTTGGTGTTTTCACTTCAAATTTCGACTCCGAAACGGTGTCGTACAATGGGTCTGAGTCTAGGACGGCGGCGGCCAGAACAAAGAGCGCGGATCGGCCATTCTGCCAATCAACGGCAAAGGCCTTGGCTCAGTGTTTGCCCAGGAATTCAGCCTTGGCCAAATGCCGAGTTGAAGCTGAGCTTGCAACAATGAAGGGATTCAGCCAGCTTTCACTTCTTGGAGAAGAAACAGCAACCATCGGAATGAGTCTCAGCAACGCGACATGGTTCTTCAGAGTACTTGCTGGTGTGTGTATGTGCATTTGCATGTAATGATCTGGACACGGAGAACCCTTTAAGGAAAGAACGATTTGCAGACCAAAATGCCCATAAAAATGTGCAACAGCACCCAAAAGCACTAGATGACTATAGTATCATCAACAATAAAAGCCATGCTTGCAAGCAGATGCTCTCTTGCACACAAACAACCATACAAACGATTTTCTATCGCAGTAATTCTCGGGACAGTCACAAGCCACAGACTGGTGCAAGATGGCCTGCTAATGTTTCCCAGTGTTTCCTTTGTTGGTTTTCTGATTTTTCTGTGCAGGGCACAGGGAATTGACAGGTTGTCAATAATTTGAATTTCATCGGTTTGGGTCGACGAAATTTCGGCCAGCAACCAAAAACGCGTGGAGCGTGGAGCGTCGGCGTCATTCAGCTCCAGGCAGCTGGGTGTGCTTCTGCACCCAGTCTGCTGCTAGGCATAGCTCGGCCGTGAATTCTGATGAATTCTGACCCCTTCTGAGTCGAAGATGCATCTGTGCGCGTTAAGTCGAATTAAGATCAAAGAATGATCATTACTCACAAATTTGAAAAGCGTGGAGTCAGCTGAGCCCTGTGAATGCTCAAGAACATGAACTTCCTTGGAATCGGTTGTTTGGTGGGCATCGATGCCTCCGGGCAAATGTTCGTGGGTTTGTTGGGAGGTGTGGTGCTGGAGCTTCCACTGCCGGTCGACCTCGCAGATGATTCCACGTCATCTTGTACAGCATTGGAGCCTGCTGCATCTGATTGGGGTCGAAGGTTGGATTGCTTGAGGACTTGGGAAGATTGGCCGAATTCAAGGTCTACTAAAAGGCTCTCAATCTTGGCCATGTTTGCCTTGTTCATTTCCTCATCCTTCATGTTCTTCTTCCTATCCTCTTCAAGGACTTTGGACATTTTGCCGAATCCGTCTAAAAGACTCTGAATCTTTGTCATGTTTGCCTTGTTCATTTCCTCATCCTTCGTCTTCTTCTCCTTCTCCTCTTCAGTCTGCTTGTTCTCCTCATCTTGCCTTACAAAGTGATGGTGAGCAACGCCAATCAAGCTACACACCCCGCATCCGGCTGCCACCACGAAAAGGCTGAAAAGCGTATACCATGGCACGCCCTCGTCCTTGATTTTGGCGCAAACAGTATCTGGTGAGTTTGAAGGGCAAGCATTTGGGAGCACCGGTGACTTGTCAAAGAAGAATGCAGTTTTAGAGGCAGCAAATCGGAAGGTTTCGAGAGTCCGATAAGCTCGCTTGGATACGACGGCTCCTGTAGGCACATAAAGCTCTGCTGTTGGTTCTTTGTGATAGCCACAAAGCTGTTTGCGGCTTCGAAATGTGTTCCAAGCCTCATCATCCAAAAGTGCAGCAGAACATTTTTTACCATTCAAGTTCTTCAAAACATCTTCCCACCTTTTTGAGAATGTTGTCAAGTTGGCAACTTGGAAGGGCCGCAGAGGTTCTTCATAAACTACGTGGGTGCATAGAGGAATTTTCCGTTGTGATGCCTCTTCCAGGCTTGGAACCTCTCCTTTTATCTCTTTTGCTGAGACCATCTCAGCAGTGACGCCGCCACCATACACTGCCGTGCTCAGCAAAATGAAGAAGCCCAGGCCCAAACGTAGCATGTGGGATGGACGAGCGCGGCTTGGTTTGTTCGAGTCCCTCCTGTGGCTGGTTTTCGACTTGTTGACAAAGGCCTCACACACACCAAGAAGGGCATCACCAAGTCCGTGTGTGAAACAGCAAAAGCACTCGCGGAACTTCTGCATGCATCGCGCTTCCTCATCTTTCTTTGGAGGTGGCCCGGGTAGTTTGTCAAGGCATCCTTCCGGATGACCTGCACTAGCATGCGCTGCTCCTGCCTCCGCTGCGGCTGCTACCGAAGCAGGAGCAGCTGCCCCTGCACGTGCTGGTCTGGATGGTGTGTCAAGCCAGTCAAGCCAATGGTCAAGTCCTTTCATGGCGACAATGAAGAAGAATACCACTCCCACGAAGAAACCCCAAGCTTCAGGACTGAAGATAGAGATCCACCACCCCCAGTACTTCTTTCCTGAATCTGACGCAAAGAAATCACACTTGCTTTTGGATACCATGAAGAGTGGAGCGGTGTACAACTCGATGACATAGGTCATTGCTTGCCTGCGATGAGTCAAGGCGAATGCCCCAGTGCACAAGTCCGCATAACCCATTCCTGTTGCGAAGGCACACAGATCAAAGTTGGTGGTAGCTCTCGAAATCTTGCCTTGTACTCTTCAAAAGCTTTGCTGAGGTTGTAGTCAATGAAATACTGGTCGATGCCATTCTCGATGCCCTCCTCAACCCTTTTGATGACTCTATGGTCAATTTGAACTTTGGACTGGTTGAGCTCATCCAGTGACCCTTCCCAAAACTTTGCTACGCGACCTCCGCAATGCCGGTTTTGCGAGTATTTATAGACTTTGCTGCAACCGGTATTTCCCAAGTAGCCCCCTTCCAAAGTGCTCTCTGCGTGGAAGACCCGGAGAGAATCACCCTCCAGAAATACGGCCAGCGACTTTTGGAAAAACTCGGCAGTCCCTTGTCGCAGGTTCCCACAGGTGGCATAGGAATAGGCCTGCCCCAACACACCCCATTCAAAATCCAAATTGCAATTTTGTGGGTCGACATAGCACCACTCCGTTTCGCACCAAGGTGATTCCCCTGAATTGGAGGGACCGCATTTGAGCTGTGCTGCAGTTTCACTCTCATAAATATGAACTGCACAGGAAGCATTTATGTCGTGAGTGTTGCAGCCAAGGCCAAATCGGTTAGGACACAATCCGTTGTGCTCCAGAGTTTTCACTGCCTTCTCGGAGGAATGGTTTCCTATGCATGGGCATCTGTCTGAATGGGATCCAAGTGTGATGTGGGGAAGTGCCAACAGGAGTGCCGCAAAAGCGAAGAATCTCATGGCTTCGACTGATGCTACTTCCAAGTTCTCAGCCCTCTCCACTTAAACTTAAGCCATTCAGTTGCGGGTTCGATAATCTTGACATATCTTGACCATGTCCATTCAGTGAGAAATCCTGTAGAATCCGTTGATACCAAGCGACAGACCGCATGGATCGAGTTTCCAATGAGAATCTGGAGGAAAATACTGGTGTTTATCTCCAAATATGTGTGCAGTCTTTAATTTTTCCTCAAACCCAATTCTGAGACAGAGATTGTCCAAAACAATCAAAAAAAACGCAAAGAGCTACAGCCTTTTGCAACTTCGCCGGTTTGTCCAGCGCGGCAGGCTTGACCAGGGGGGCGCAACAAGCGAAAATGTGAAGCGAGCAACTTTCATTGAAAGGGTCGCCCTGCACCCAATCTACGGAAAAGTTGGTTGGTTTTATATCTGTAATTAAAACATATTAAAACAGCCTATATAGTATAGATTGTGGATTCATATGATTATAGACTGTCATATTCACGTACAACCTACAGGGAAAGCAAAACTTGGGTTGGCAACCTCCCACAATCTGCCTCTGTAAGAATTCATTCACCTGTTGAAAAAGGTCATTGTCGCAAGTCGCCATAGCTCCCCTAGTCGCCAGATTGAAAAGATGTCGAACATTGTCGAACTGCAATTTGGATTGCCCGCAGTTCGTAAGAACTCAGCCTTCAAATGTCTGACTTGGTCTTTCTAAACGATCGCTGTGCCTGGGAATTTTGGCAGTTGCCAGCTACAGAGGTCACATCGTCAAGGAGCACGTCTTTTGCGATGTGGATGTTCACACCGTCCTGCCACTGCGGCAACCCGGCAACATGCGGCAAAACACATCTCATAAAAAACCCAATGCATGTGCTTCGCTGTTTTTCTCAGCATTGGTCCACAGTGACAATCGAACTGCAGAGATTGTGTGATTTGTCCTGCTACAGCAATTTGGCTTAGATCTTCATTCGGATTGAGGCATGCAGGGATCAAACGCCACCTGAGTGTAGGCTATATTGGACAGCACCACAGCTTCAGTTGAGAAAGCACCACAGCTTCAGTCAGAGAAAGAAGTCACTCAGCACACGACCCAGAGTCTTGACTTTGACAAGTCGCTATCCTCAGTTTCAGCCAGTGTCCATCTACCAATGCCAACGCATCCAGTGGCTGTTTCTTGAGACAACCACAGAGCCAGGAAGAGGGTGCAGGTTGTGTGCCGCAACCTGGCACCAATCACAATGAGATCCAGGAAAACAAACCCTGAAACAACCCTTGACAAATTTGGGTTTCCTAGAGTGGGGGTACCCCCCTTTTAAATCCATGTTATTTTCGGATTGTCCATGGTTGTGTACTATCCATAAATGGCGGTATCCTGGTATCCTCATTGATGGTTGGGCCATGGAAACGCCTCCTGCATTTGCCCCGCGCGGATCTCTGACAGCGGGAAAGCAGCGTGGGCCACCAAATCGTCCGTGGACAACCTCAAATCAACCGAGTGCGTCTGATGCACTTCCAGGCCCACACTCACAACTGTTCAGCCATTTCAGCCCAGATCATTTCATGATTTGAGACCTGGTTGAACTTGATGATCTTGATGACACTGAGCACATTGCGAATCGTAATCCCACAAGAGCACATGCACCCACAGCTCCTACGAACCGTTGAGACTGCCGGCGGCTTCAAGGAAACATCCGAAAGGATGCGAGACACAGCAGGTCTGTTAAGCCATCTTGCCCACCTAACGCTGTCTAGGTACGAATTTATCAGATTTGATGTCGGGATATCCTCTCTTGTCCCACAATCATCTTGCCCATATATCGACAAACGAAGGAATAAAATGGAATAAACATCCCCCCCATCCCCCTGACGCTGCAAATTGCAACCACTGGACTGTCCTCAATTGGCACATCTTCAAACTTCTTTGGGAAGGCCAACGCAATCGACTCGTTCCACATAGGATTGGAATCCTGCAGGCGCTCACGGGAAACTCCACGGAATCATCTCTACAATGGCTTTGTCCAAACATAGGGTGCCCCCAAATCCAAGGGTTCATCATGGTCCATCATCATTTTTCCACTACAATTGGAGAATTTCATTGCCACAAATTGGGAGATTCCCCTAGTATCCCCTAGTCCTACACAAAGTCCCAGCCCCTGAGTCGCTGCACTCCTCTAGGACTGTGAGAGACTTGGCGAATCGGCGGACAGCGGCCTCTCTGCTGAAAAAAAACAGGAAAGTTGGCTTGGCACCAAAAGAATGCAGTTTCAGCGGAGTTTCAACATGTTTCAACATTGTGAATCTGCAAGTTACTAGTTCTTTTCGACAGCGAGTTCTGCAGGCCTTTCGATCTTTGTTTCTGCTTCGCATCACACGTTGCTCCACCTGCATCGCTCTGGCCGATTCACATGGGCGCAATATGTGGGAAATTGCTCTGAGTCCTAAACCCCTGGCTGTTGCTTCAATGGATTGCCACCTGAGGATGATAAAGAAAGCAGTGCCGTGGCAACTTTGGCAACTGTTTTTTGTAATCTAATCAAAGATGTCTGAAATAATGAGAGACGCACGCGCAATGCTGAAGGTGATGTACGGATCGATGAACTTTCGCTTTTGAGCCTTGGACCACTGACACTGAGCAAAATCAGGGCACTGGGCCCTTTGCAACTGCAAAATGACATCTGAACATCCATTCATGTTCCAAAATATCCAACATCATGTTTCAACACTGGAGTCAGTCTCCATTTGATTGGTTCTTCTAAACCGAACAGGGTGAGACAATCAGTGACATCCACCCAAAATCTCCAGTCTCCAACCTGTTCCAACCTTTTCCAACCTGTTTAGGCGGAGACGGGGCCGGAGCGACTTGGAAGATTCTCCGCCTTCACCAAGTTGCACATCACAGCGCCACGGTCCAGTTCCGCCGCCTGGCGCAGGTGATGCACTGGGGGGCCGGGGGGATCATCTAGGACTGCTTGGGGGGGGAAGTGTTCCTATATATATTATATATATATGATGATTCTATGATGATCTATGTATCATAGATAGACAGCTAGGTAGATTAGGTAGATAGATGGATCAGTAGGTAGATAGAATATCCTCTGATGAACAAGTCAACCTTGATGAAACATGGACTCAATGAACTGGCAAAGCTTCGCGGGCTTCGTGCCTGCATGGCAGCCTTCGATTGCATCTTATGCCGCGTCAGGGCCAAAACCTGATCCAGCAGTGATCCAGCTATCCAGCCATCAGCCATGAAATGTTCATGAAAATGTGATCAGGGTTCCAGCATTTCATGAAAAATCTTCCAGCAGGACTCAAATTTCGGAAAATCATCAGGGAATCAATCACTGATCCATCAGTTCCCTTTGTTTAATCACTGCCTTTGTCTCTTTGCTGGAAAAAAAATGGAAAAAATCTGGGAAAAACCTGGGAAAAACCTGGAAAAAAATATGGGGAAAATGGGGGAAAGTCGAGGCACCCTTCGAAGGCCGGCGTCAGGTCCTTCCAGCATCATTCCGATGTGATGAGCCACCTGGAGCACCCCAGAACCACTGGTTTTGTCTTGGTGGAAGTTAAAACGGAGCAACCAACAAAAATTAAAACATAGTCAATGTGTATATCATGTATATATATATATATATACACATTATATTATTATATTATATATGTGTATATATATGTATTATATATAATATAATAATAATAGTCAATAACATCTCAAAACCCTCCAAACCTCCGTGACATAGTCAATGTCCTCTTGGGTAAACTTGGTGCCTGTGCAGCTGCGCTATGGCTGTGGTAGGTCCTACTAGGTCACTGTCTCTTGGCATGGCTTGGCATGGCTTGGCATGGCTTGGCATGGCTTCACCCGGCCTTCCTGTTTGTTGATGCACTTGATGGCACCTGTTGCAGCACCAAGGTGCAGCCAGTTGCAGCTCTGCCACGGCTGTGGACCATTGTGGACCTGTGGAGCCTGTGACACATCGCGGCACCTAGGCATTTTCGCGAGGTGTCGAACAAGGGCACCACCAACTCAGAACCTGGGACCCGAGGTGAAGGAATGAAGAATCTGGGATGAAAATGATGAAATAGTGTGAACATACTTTATTTTTGACTTCTTGGAGCATGACATTGTCCACTTGGAGTCATGACAGCATTTTTCACTTCTCAAATCTGCGTGGCTGCCAACATCTCGGATCATCTTCTGGGCATCTTCTGGGCATCTTCTGGGTGCTCCAACGGACTTCCAGACCACTGCCCTGGTAGTTCTTGTGTCGTTCTTGGAACCAGCCTGTGTTGGGGCAGACAGATCCAGCCATTGGGGGATTGGTTGATGGCATGGGATGGGATCCAGCCTGAGTGCTCTGTGTCAGCAATATCCACATTCATCACATGGCCCACTTGAACGGCCTGGCCGACCACCAGCAACATGGTTTTGGGAGAGACACCACTAGGAAACTAATGGAAACTAGAGATATCTATAGAATTCTATAGATATTCCAGCTATGAGTGTGGGATCTTTATGGATCTTTGTACCAGAAACAGATAACTGCGTTAGGCTTAGCATATACATCCCTATCTGCAGCAGTTCCTTCCCAGCACGCCTCACCAGCCACGCCTACGCCTGACAAAAACCCAAAAGTCAGCGCAAGACTTGATCAGCTGCACACATCTCCATGGACATCAAGGACCAGGCAAGTCAGAAAGTTCAGCCTTCAATCAACTCCTCCTTCCCAATCTTTCACAAAATTTCCCCTTGGCCTACAGGTGTTCTGTGGTGCGGCAATGGCCCATCAATGACCTCACTGGACATCGGTCCCAGGTTTGCGGGTTGGTCGGGGTATACACGGTCACCAAAAATGGCCATGTTTCAGAGGGAAAATGATGATATAGCTTAGGGTTAGGTTTAAGGATAGATTCTCATGATTTCTCCTGGTTAAGCATACCGCATACCGTTTGATAGGGGGAAAATGATTTGATCTTCACCAGTTTTGGTGTCCCAAGCACTGGCCACCTGGCCGCTCGCCTCTGAGAATAATTCCTGCGTCTCTTGATCCAACAGCATCAGGGTTGTGGCCTCCAAACTGATGGGCTGGGGTCTAAAATCTGGAAATTGGTGGTTGAACATGTTTGAACATGTTTGAACATGTTTGAACATGTTTGAACATGTTTCAGCCATTGAATCCGGGGATATCATGAACTTAAAATATCTTAAAATCATTGGGATGCTGAAGATCAAATGACCAACCAGATGGATAGTTGAGTCTCATTTAAGTTCCAAGTGCCCCATCACTCCAACGTCCAAAAAAAACACACCACGCTTCAGGTCTGAGGAGTCGCAGAAAATATGAGTTGGTCTCGATTTCGAGTGGTGAATTGGTGATCAGCTGTGATAAGAGATACACCAAAGTAGCCAGTTTCAGATACCTGGGAAAAAACCAATGGAAAACCGATGGAAAATCAATGGAAAATGACAATGTTGATATCAAAACCCCATGGAAAACCAATGGAAAACGACAACCCATTGAACTTTGGGTACCCAAATTCCCCATGTCAGGTCTCCCCCCAGTGTCCTCAGCGCCCAGGACCGTTCTGATTCCCTCCAGAGCTGGGACAAAAAGAGTCGCCTCGGAAACGGCGGAAAACACTGTGGTTGTTGACCAAATGAAAGCTGACACTGAGACCTTTCTCGTACTTCAATTTGATATAATGTCATCATAGACTTTATTTTTTGAAGGAAAAAAATGTGAGGAGTAGTGGTCAGGGTGGCACCCCTGATGCAAATAAGACGGCCAATTACTGGTGGACCGCTCTTTCGCTGTTTCATTTCCTGAGCCCCGACCATACGTTGCGAGGCAGCTGAAGTGAATTCTGGGGAGCCTGGACAACTTGGATTTCTTGGAGCTCCAAGAATCTTTCGAAAGCCAACTTAGATCAACTTAATATAGCACCCCAGACCTTGGATTCAGATGATTTAGATTTACCATCTGGTTATTTGACAGTTAGCCATGGAAAATCCCCATTTTCAATAGGTAAACCATCTATTTCTATGGGTCATCTATACCATGGCTATGTTAAATAACCAGAGGGTAACTTATCCAAAATGAGGTAATTTAGTGTGGCTACATCTCTTGAAACTCCCCAGAGATCATCAACTACCACCAACTACCACCGAGGGGCCACCAGGCCTGTAGTGCGCATGGACTTCTCGCATTGCTCGATGACCTCCCAACAAAACTGGCTGTGGTATCTGTGCAGCATGACAGGAGGGACGTTACCATGGATTGAAAAATCGTGAAAATGATTCATGAAAAGGTCTGAAGGATCGAATCTTCCCACATTTGCGACCTCATTGAAGCTCTGCTTGTCATCCCCAACAGCAACAGAGATGTGAGAACCTCCAGTGGTGCCAGCTTTCAGCGGTGCAGTGCAAGGGGCAATAAACGACACACTGAGCCGTGGACAAATGGCAGACAGCACGTCTTCATCTTTCTGGGTGAAGGTGCCGTGGTTCGATTTCCTGGGATGGCCATGACCACATCACTGCAATCTGCGGCTGTGGCCATCGGCACTGGGGGCACCAGCTTGTTGATGACAGAGACAACTCCATGTACTTCTCCACCTTTAAAAATGGGCATGCCTGGGCTGCTGGCTGTGTTGGGATCCAGTCCCTCTGGGCTTTTTTCCAAGGCGGCGGCACAAGATGCTTTGCACCGCGATGCCAGTGTTGAGGTAATTGTCATGGAGTTTGGGATCGTAAAGCGACTCATCCTGGGCAACTTGGGCAACTTCCAAGCTGGTTCCCCCAATGGTATCATGAATCACCTCTGAAAATCATACGTCCCCCGATGGCCCCGATGGATCCGATTCGGTCCTTGATTTCAGCAATGTTGATGAAATTTCCGGTGTTTGCCACATGACCTCACAGACATCAACGAAAAATGTGTCACAGATGTGTCAGGGGGGTCCTGAAAGGCCTGAAAGGCCCTGGCCTATCACACCCTGGTCGAGTCCCCAGTGGAAGGACGCAGGCAAATTTGAAGTTTGATGAGACGCGATGAGCTCGTTCCGCTCCTGAATAGCACTGCTTCTGATGTGAGCTGAAACTATCTATGCAAGACAGGAGTTGTGCCCATCTTGTTGCAGGGCTTATGTTACATATATATATATAAGTGGCAAATCATGGCAGAAAATCATGGCAGAACATGGTGAGTTTCCATGGCAATTCACCAGCCGCGCCTTGTTCAGGAGCAGAAGGCCAACGGCTTCGGCTTGCAGAATCTCCTGCACCTGTGAAACTGGTGAAACTGGACCCAGGAGGGAAGCGTAGGAAGCGGTCACCCACAATTCACCCAGGATTTGTCACCGGATGTCACCGGATGTCACCGGATGTCAGGCCTTGCTGATCGCACTCTCAAAGGCTTCCTCCCGTTCTTTATCCTTTCGATGCTGCACGGCAGCATTAGGATCCATCCTGGCGCTGCGCGTCTGGTATCGTCTGGGAGTTTGATGGGGATGAACCATCGGACCACAAAAGATCGGATTCACCATGAAACATATGGATTCAACATGATTCAACCATCAAAGATATATTGGATGATCCTCTGATCATTTAGGACCTTTAGGATAGCTGGAAAATCATCATGTTGTACCGGCAAATGATCTTTTCAGCAGGATTTTTTTACTAACTTCCACGTCATTGAAACATGGGATTTGGATGGATTTGGCAGATCCATGCAGATTCTTGTGGTATCAGATGTTCAACGAGCTGCTACAACTTGCAAGGGATCAAAGCCCTAAGGCCCCTATAAGGACCGCACACGAGAAGAGGGCAGCATCCCAAGATACAGCCAATGGTAATGCCAATGAACTGACCTGGCGGCGAAACTGAGTCAATGATCCAACCAGAAATGAGGTTCAACTACTCTTGGAATTCTTGGAAAGGACACCAAGTTGAAAAACTATGGTAAATCATCATGAAGATCAATATCCCTATGGTAACCATCATGGTAAAACATATGGTAAGTTTAGAATGATCATCATATGGGAAATCATGATTGGTTCACGCATCACCTCAACAAAGTTCACGGAACGCCCAATCACACAGGTCCATATCCCTGCAAAACATCCAGAGAAACTCCATGTTACATAGGCATGTCACAGTATCTTCGAAATTCTAAGGGACCTTGGCTCAGTTGCTTACCACTTTCCAGGTCTGAAAGGCCAAGCAGTTTGGCTATGATCAAGAGTAGTATCAGTTCATATCAGGATCAGCTTGCGACTTTCGTAGGCATTGTGTGTCAAGACAAAAAGGCGCGCCCTCAGAAACATTCTGAGGGTTATGAGCCCAAAACAACGTTCTTTTTGACTTCAATTCGCAATGGAACCAATTCGCAGATCTTCATCACTGCCTCCACCTGAGCAACCCAATCCTTTTTGGAGTGAGAGAATCCAAGATGACCACCATTTGGAACAACGACGTCCCAAAGAGCTAGGTGGTGTCAATGAGCCTATTCCCTTAGATGATGACTTGGATAGATCACCTCAACCCTCGGGGTCAAGCGGCCTTGTGAAAGGTGAAGAGTCCACGTCTTTCAGGACACCTGCTGTAGAACATGCTCCCAGTGAGAAGCCTCAACTTGAGGAGTGGACGGAGAAGGAGATGGATGATTCTTTTCCGCCGGTGACCAATGGTGTCTCTGGGAAGCGTTCAGAGAGGGCATGGAGACGTAGACGTGTGGTGGGTGATAGGCAGTATGATGGGGAGCATGGGGTTCCGACAGAAAAAATGGAGAAGAAGTTAGAAGATGAGTTGGGGGATCAGATGTTTTTTCATTTCCAACAAGAGGCAGCTGCACTTCGTAGTCAAAACGAAGAATTGACACGTGAGCTTCAAAAAATGAAAGATGAAAAAGAGCTTCAAAAGAAGTTGGTAGTTCCTCAGACATGGAATGTGAACAAGCGATCTGTGACGCCACCTCCAAAAGTGGCCCCCTCAACTCAAGATTCACAAATGTGGGCATCACCTGAAACCTATAGATGCACACCAAATGGTACCAGAATTCCTAGCGGTCCTCCGCCTGATTCACCGGTGCCGCCGCTGCCTATCTGGCCGCCTGAGCTGGCGAATTACGAGATGGAGCCTCCCAGAAAGGTGCGGTCGGTGATGGGTGATCGGGCATATCGAGTGGGAGAAACATGCTCTCCTAGGACGGCAAGAAACTTCTGGTTAGAGCGGGAAGTGATGTCTCTGAAGGAAAGGCTTGATCAAGAGGCTGCAAGGTCCAGAGTGTTTCAAAGTGGCTATTGGTCTAGACCTTTTCAAACAGACGTGCAAAAACACAGAGAGGCAGTGGAATCAGTAGAACGTATGAAACGGAATGCTGGTGTGTCTGTTGCTGGTTTGGGTGATTCTCTGAACGCGCATGGAGAAGTATCTCAACAAGCTCGGGCTGAGCACTGGCATGAGCATGGACATCAGCGTCTTCAAGATCGGGCTAGCGCTGCATTTGAGCTTGGTGATCATCGTGGAGGCGCTCGGGCTAGCGCTGCAACAGAGCTTGGTGATCATCGTGGAGGCGCTCGGGCTAGCGCTGCATCTGAGTTTGGCGATCATCGTGGAGGCGCTCGGGCTAGCACTGCATCTGAGCTTGGTGAACAGCGTGGAGACGATCGGGCTTGCTTTGCATTTGAGCTTGGCGATCTACGTGGTGACCGTCGGGCTGGCAGGAGCATGGAGCGTGGTGAACATCTTGGCCGCGATCGGGCTAGCACATCTGCGGAGCGGTATCTTGGAGAAGCTGCTCTACGTGATCGGGCTAGTTTGCAAGGTGGACATCCACATCAGCGAGCCCTACGTCAAGATCGGGAGGTGGTGGAGGATGGAGACTTGAAAAGCATACCCATTCAACTACCACAGCTGCCGTCCCCAGAGGGAAGAGATGCGAGCTTGGAAGCAGGTGACTGGCTGATACAGTTGGAGCCTTTGATTGGAGATCTTTCCAAAAATGCAGTCGCATGGTGGAGGAGGGTCATGGAGGCAACTACATCGAAGTATGCACAATGGCTTCATGCAGATCCCCTCACGAGGCTTCGAATCACGGCGCCCGAGAATGCAGTTTTGTCAACGGGCTATGAGAGATTGGATCAAAGGGTGACAAGTCTCTTGCTGCAAAGTGCGCCAAAGTCCACAAAGGACGAGATCATTGCTGCTCGCGAGTTGACAACAACTGGCATCCTCTTTCGTGTTCTTCGCACATTCCAACCGGGTGGCCTAGTGGAGAAGAGCCGACTTTTGGAAGATCTCACAACACCACAACCAATGAAATCGGTGACAGAAGCAGTGACGGCGTTGAGATTGTGGAAAAGGAAGGCCAGTCGAGCTGCGGAACTGTGTACGCAGCTCCCGGACCCGCTTTTGTTGGTCCGTACATTGGACAGCATTGCTCGTCCAATTGTGGAGGCATCATCTCAGGCCAGTTTTCGAATTGCCACTTTTCGGATGAATCACAACTTGGATGTTCGACCTTCTTTGGACAATGGCTTTTTCATGACCTTTTGCTGGCGGAGGGTGATGTGGCAATTCACTCTGCAACTACTGCGATGACCACCAATGAACCAAAGACACCTACAAAACCCACTGTGAAGGTCATGCAGACGCCTTCAACTGGTGGTAGATCCTCTACTTCATCTACAACCTCTTGGCCTTGCAAATTTTGGCTCACTGATGCAGGCTGTCGACAGGGACAGCGATGCCGCTGGCCACATCCCTGGGAAGAAGCTTCTGACAAAATCTCCCGCTGTTGGAACTGCAGCTCCACTCAACATCTACAACCAAGCTGCCCGTACAAAGCACAGGTGAAGCCACCTGTGGGGGGAGAAGGCGATGGTAGCAGCAAAGATGAGGTTGGAGGGGGTGGATTGAAACAGGGAGACAAGGAGAAAGCAAAAGGAAAAGGGAAGAGTGGTGGAAAAGGCAAGAACAAAAACGACAGTGCAAAAGGAGCTAGCAAGGAAAATGCTCAGACAGAGGGCAAGAAGGAGGAGGCAGTTACCAGAACTGCTGCAACAGGAGATGAAGACAACAAAAATGAGACAACATCAAATGGGAATGGAGCTGGAGGTGGAAAGAAGGCAGAAGGTGGTGGAAGCAGCACCAACGAGCTCTTGCAGGAAGCCACCAAGTTGCTGAAGTCCCTGCACCTTCCCAGCGTCAAGATGATCAAGCTGCAGGAGATTGGGGATCTACAAAAAGGCCCTGCTGACATGATGCTGCTGGACAGTGGGGCGACACACTCACTGAGGAGGGCAAGATCATGGGCGGAATGGGAAGATGCGTCTCCAACTATTGTGGCATTGGCACAGGGAACAACATCAAGTTTGAGAATCAAAACGGGCACCAATACTTTGATGGCAAAGCCTGAGGATGACAGCTTTGGCAACGGCATTTTGCCTATGGGTGCCTTGACGCGCTATGGGTTTGAGGTTTCTTGGATCGGGGGAGAGTGTAAAAAGAAGAGCCCTGCAGGTGAGGACATAGATGTCCGGGTGATCAGTGGCTGTCCTATGATTGATTGTCAACTGGGCATGAACATGATGAAGCAGCTCGAGGATGACAGCCAGCGCACTGCAGCGAGATCAGCGCTGGTGCGAGCCATTCTTCAGCGGCCCAACCTGCTGAGTGATCTACCTGCTTTGGACTCTGAGACACTGCTCACCCTCATGTTGCGAAAAGAGTTCCCTGATCTTCCAGAATCGATCTGTCAAAAGATCGTGCCAAAAGTAGCTGAAGTTCGAGGTGATCAACTGCCGTGGAATCGACGACAGCGTCGAAGAATTCTTCGAGCTCGCAGAGTGATCTTGCATCTCTACAGTGGCAAGGACCAGAAAACATGGCAGCAACTGGAAGATCCGCACACTGTGGTCATTTGTGTGGATCGTCTCATCAACCCGAAGATGGATATGATGAACGACAATCTGATGCTGTTTCTTTTGAAGATTGCTGCCAGTGGAACGTTGCATGCGGTGATTGGGGGTCCACCATGTCGAAGTGTATCGGCATGTAGGTATGCAGAAGATGATGGGCCAAAACCAGTTCGAAGTGAACAGGAACCATATGGTTTTTCCACCCTCACCGAGCAACAACGTGCGTGGGTGGAAGAGGACGTGGCCTTGATGTTCCGCATGAAGTTGCTCTATATGACTGCCGAGCACTACAAACCGAGCTGGTGCAAAAAGATCATCTTCGCTATGGAACAGCCACAAGACCCCAAAGAATATAGATCAGCTGAGGATGTGAAGAAATTTCAGTTCATGAGCGTGTGGAGGACTGAAGCATGGAAACGATTTCAAACTAGATATGCCTTGAAATTGACCTCATTTGAGCAGGGAGCTTTTGGACATGCGAAGCCCAAACCCACAACGTTTGGACACAACATGACGGGGCTTGAACAACTTGAGGGGGCGAAGTCTCCACGTGAAGTTCATCAGCAATCTCCCTGGCTTGAGCGACCACTTCAAGAGCGTCTGGCATCATCTTCCACATGGTCGGAATGGGCAGTGGGGCTGAAAGCAGCCTTGATTGAGGGCTTGAGGAGGAATCTGTCGTCACTTGAGGATGGGCGTCGTCACACTGGGGCACCGGGCTCTGCGGAGGAGGCATCTCGGGACTCTGGTGATGATGACAATAAGCCCCCTCTAGATTCCCCTCAGCTTTGCCCACTGTCTGAGATTGCCCTTTCCAAATGGAAGGCACACATCCTTAATGATCATCAACCTATGAGGAGAGATTGCAAAGTTTGTGTGGAAGCCGCAGGTCAGTCCCGACATCACCGACGAATCCAACATCCAAGTGCCTACTGTCTTTCAGTAGACTTGGCAGGCAAGTTGAAGCGTGGCAAGGATCAATTTGGCACTGTTGGCACGTACATCCTGATCGGCTGTTACACTTTTCCAACCACATTGGATGATGTTCCTCTATGTGGACCAGGTCAACATCGACCACCGGAGGATGCTCCGCTACCAAGTTTGGATGAGGTGTTGGACGAAGATGGGTTGGATGGCAATGTGGAGGACGGAGAGCTTCCACGTTTTGAAGCTGAGGTGGAGGAACAACAGGATGATCAGGATGATGCTGCAACGAAACGGGCAAAGATAGCATACGACAGTTGGATGAAATTGGTGGAGGATCACAAGCAAGTGAAGGTGAAGACACTGACATTTGCGGAGGTCATCACATCTAGAGCTACTGGCCATGTTTTGGAGGGCTTAGCAAGAATCTATGCCAGGATCAGAGGCTTGGCGCTCCCAGTCCTACGCCTACATGCTGACCGTGCAAGAGAGCTGACATCAAAAGCCGTTCCGTCGTGGTGTCACAGTAGGGATATGGTAGCAACCTACACCTCTGGTTCTGATTGGAAGAGCAATGGACGGGCGGAGAATGAGATTGGCATTGTAAAGCGGCATGCAAAAATCTTGATGAGGGCACACAACGTTGATGAACAGCGATGGCCCATTTTGGTGAAGCATGCTGCAGAACGACGTTTGCGATGGCAGCTCCAACAAGTTGGCTATCCAGTGCCGGATCTCTTGCCCTTCTACACCAAGGTCCTTGTCAAGCGCAAGTCCTGGAATCAACGATATGCTGCATGGAGGTGGGAACGTACCCCTGGTCGAGTTTGTGGTCCTGACCCATGGTCATCATTAACATCAGGTGGGTACTGTGTGCAGCTGGAGGACGGGACATACCTTGCATCCACTGATGTGGTGGTCGAACAATCAGAGCTTGGGGAGGGATTGCAACTGGACCTTGTGGTACAAGAACAATTTCAAACTCCAGGTGGTCAACAAATTGCTGAAGTTCCTCGGCGCCGATTGCGCTACAAGCAAGGTGTCCCTCAGGTAGCAAGATTAGAGTTGGCATCCAACTCGGGGGAGAATGTGATGGTGCAGGTGAGTGATAGTAGCGATGAAGTGGAGAGAAAAAGGCTTCTTCAAATGCACCACGCGACCTCCACAATTTTGTCTGAGGAGTGCATCTTGATTGATGACATGGATCCAATGCATGCGGCATGTGTTCCAGCGTTGGCTATGCTGGCTCATCAGAAGTTTGATCTGGAAATCCAACTGCGAGCAATAGACGTTGAGCGTCAAAAGGTTGCGGAGGAGGACAATTTCCTGGTCACAAAAACTATTCCAACGGAGCAGGTGTATCAAGAATGGGATGAATGGAAAGAAGCAATGATGAGCGAGTATCAGTCAATTGTTCTGGACAAGAAAGCCGTGAGACAGGTGCCACGAAATGAGGCATTGGAGATGGCAAAGGTGGATGGCAGAAAGTATGAGGAGCTTCCTAGCAAAGTGGTCTTCACCAGGAAAATGGGTGGAAAAAGAAAGGTGAGAGCTTGCATCTGTGGCAACTATGAGGATGAAGTTGCTACTTCAACATATGCGGGTGGCTGCGATGCTTCGCAAATTCGAAGCGTGGTGAGGCATGCTAGCCTCAAACAATGGGCCATACACTGCACCGACATCAAGTGTGCCTTTTTGAATGCTGAGAGGAAGGACCGCACCAAATTGATCGGGATGTCCATCCCCAACATCTACGTCAAATTGGGTGTGGCGTCTCATCAGGATATTTGGCTGGTAGATGCTGCGATGTACGGGTTAGTCTCCAGCCCAAGAGACTGGTCTGATCATCGTGATAGTGTGATCCCCTCCATGGTTTGGCACAGAGAAGAGGCTGAGAAGAAATGGAAGGGCAGTTTCCATCGAGCTGCTGATCAACATTTGTGGCATCTACGTGAAACATGCTTGGAAACGGGGGAGGTGAAAAATTGTGGTATCATGGCGATCTATGTTGATGACGTTTTATTAGCTGCTGAACATCGGGTTGCAACCAGTGCCCTGGAAGCCATTGCATCGATCTGGGAGTGTTCAAAGCCTGAAGAAGCGACCCTTCAACGATCGGTGACTTTTTGTGGCTTCGAGATTCAGCAGAACAACCGAGAAGATGGAGGAGGGTACCGACTTCACCAACAGAGCTATGAGGCAGAACTCACCAAAAAGTGGGAGGTTGAAGAAGTCCGACAGCAACTGGATTTCAAGTTACCTTCTCCAGAGGAAGAAGGCCTTTTTCAGAAAAGTGAAGACCAAGATCTCATCAGAAAAGCACAAGCCTGCACTGGGGCCTTGCTATGGTTAGCAACTCGCACACGTCCTGAACTTTGTGTTGGTGTGGCGGCGATGTCAAGATTGTGTACAAAAGCTCCTGATCTTGCAATCTCCATTGGTCTGAAGATGATGGCATATCTTCGAAGACCTACCTTGGGAATGATCTATGCTGAAAGTCCTGGTCCCATCAATGGAGCTCGAGGACAACTCAGCCTGCCTCGATGTGAAAGAACTGTGGAAGCTTTTTCAGACATCTCCTACGCTTCCACCAAGGGTTACAAGTCGTTGCAGGGTCAAGTCTACTATTATGCTGGAGCACCAGTGATGTGGAGCACAAACCGCCAACCATTTCCAACACAATCAACTGCAGAGAGCGAGCTGGTGAGCCTTTGTGAAGCACTTGTTGGGGGCCGTGCAACAGCATCTCTAGTTGCAGCAGTCCGAGATGAACCTGAGGAGAAGCTGATCAAGCGTCTTTGGGGCGACAATGCAGCTGCCATTGCATTGGCCACTGGAGAGGGACAAGGAAGCTGGCGCACACGTCACTTGCGCATTAGAGCAGCCATCCTACGATCAGCACTTCATCACAATGAATGGCATCTTGGACACCTGGCTGGCCGTGAGCTTGTAGCTGATTCCTTTACAAAGGTGGTATCTGGTTTGGCTTTTGAGCGAGCTTTGCAAGACTTGTGCATTCAGGCAAAGGTGAACAAAACAACAAATGGCGGAGGAATCCGAAAGGATCAAGAACATGCGAAAGTAGCGATGTTGGTTGGTGCCACTTTGCTTTCTAGCGCTGCTGCTACAGGTGATGATGATGAAGGAGGTGATGAGCTGTCCTGGCTTTGGACGATTGGCTTAATCCTGATGTGCGTGGGTGCAGTCTACGTGGGCAACAAAGCTGTCCGAAGTGGCATGTGGCTCTACAAGCGACTGCTGGGAACATCGGGCGGCTCTGAAGTTCAACCAGTCAAAGGGCGTGAAGACCTTCCACATCTTAGGATGTTGCAGTGCAGCAGCAGTGAGGAGGAAAGGGAGCATAGACGTGGTGTCAATCAACACATGGCCACCTATGCATCATCAGTTGACATGGAGGATCTTCAAACTATGGTTGCGCAAGGTCACGCAGCTCAGCGTGATCCTTACAACAAGATGCATGTGCGCAGTCTGGAGTCGTGGAGTGATGAGGAGGAAGAACCAAGTCGTCCTGTTCGGCTCCATACTGGAGATCAGCTTCCACGTCGGAGAAAGAAAAAGAACAAAGACAAGAAAAGTCGTCAAGTGTGTGTGAATGAGGATGAGATGATGGCAAAAGCGTGGGAAAACATGATGAACACTACGCGCAATTTGAATGCAGCATCTTCATCAATGCAGAGGATGCCACAGTCGGGCTTGCGCAGTACTGCTCAGGATCCTTCATCATTGCGAATTCCATCACGTTCGGGCTTGCATGGCACAGCTGAGCTCCATTCATTGCAATCCTCTTCACGATCGGGCTTGCATGGCACAGCTGAGCTCCATTCATTGCAATCCTCTTCACGATCGGGCTTGCACGGTGCAATGAACGAATCTTCATCACCGAATGTTCCATCACGTTCGGGCTCTCATGCTGCTGCGGCTGGCACTTCAACCATGCGAATGCCAACACGATCGGGCTATGGTGATGATGCCGCGGAAGCTAGCGCATTGGGTATGTCCACACGATCGGGCACCGTGGTGAGTGCAGCTGCTGGTGAGAGTTGCAATAGCGTTTCACAAATGAACTCTTGGAACCAGTTCCAAAAGGAACATGCTGGAAAGGGCTGGGGCTCTGAAAAGATGAGAGCTGAATATTGGCGACAAAAAGCCACCGGCCGTAGTCCAAAGTAGGGCGCAACGCAATGCCTTGGGCCTGCGAAAGTTTTTCCCCTGGAAAAAGGGGGAGTCTGAAAGGCCAAGCAGTTTGGCTATGATCAAGAGTAGTATCAGTTCATATCAGGATCAGCTTGCGACTTTCGTAGGCATTGTGTGTCAAGACAAAAAGGCGCGCCCTCAGAAACATTCTGAGCCAGGGAACTGTAGGGACTAACATCCCCCGGTTGCGCCTACGTTGCGCCAACGAATCGTCACAGGAAGCTCTTGCTGGGCATCGGTCAGCTTCGGCTCCTCTGGGCCATCAACATCCATCAACAAATCAATCAAGCCATTGATGCCATAGATGATCAATGAAATACTGGTGGTTAATGGTGATTGGTTAATGATGGTTAATGGTGATTAATGATGGTTAATGATGGTAAATGATGATTAATTATCTGGTTGGTGGTTTGTTTCTACCCCTCTGAAAAATATGAAAGTCACTTGGGATGATGAAATTCCCAACTGAATGGAAAAATAAGAAACCAGAATATCAATGGAATATTCAAATAAGATGATCAATGGATGTGGATACTTTAGCTATGAAATATCTGGATATTTCTCTGGACCATCTGACCATGACCATCAAGGAATCCAGCTGCGATTGATCTGTGGAGTGATCTGTGGAGTGCTGCATCCGATCCTCGAAGCCAAGCACTTTGCATTTGGACTCCAGCCACTGACCAGACCAAATGCCAGCGCCATCGCTGATGGTGTTGCCAATGGCAGCCCTTGGAAAGTTCCAAAGGGACGGGCAAAGGGCAAAGAGCGGTTGATTTCTGGGGCGTTCTGGGACGGGAAAAGTCGCAACTCCTTTGGAAGATGATCATGAGATATCATGAGAATGGTTAGTGGCAGTGGCATTCCAGCCATATCCAGCCATACTCTCAACATCTCTCAACCAACCCAAAGATCCAACTGAGCTCCCTGCGCGGCCATGGTGCTGAAATTCAAAGCAACCTCATCTGCTCGCATTCCAATGGACCCACAAGAAAAATGGGTCATGTTGATCGATAAACCCTCCAGAAAGATGGGGATGTGATGGGATATGCATAGAGCCATCCCGCAAGATGGGAACACAGCTGCCAAGCTGCACATAAAGTGCTGTCAATCAGATCACCAAAAACGATCATCAGGAAGTTGTCAAGAAAGCCAAACCTGGCATCGCTGCGCATGCACCGTTTCTTTCTTTTTTCCCGAGAGCGTCTGAGCGCAGGGTTCTTCCAATAGTGGGGGTCTGTAAAACATCTTCTCATCTTCACATCCTCTCATCTTCACATCCTCTCATCTTCACATCTGCTCATCTTCACACCTTCCCATCTTCACATCTTCTCATCTTCACATCTGCTCATCTTCACATCTTCTCATCTTCACATCTGCTCATCTTCACATCTGCTCATGTTCACACCTTCCCATCTTCACATCTTCTCATCTTCACATCTGCTCATCTTCACATCTTCTCATCTTCACATCTGCTCATCTTCACATCTGCTCATCTTCACATCTGCTCATCTTCACATCTTCTCATCTTCACATCTGCTCATCTTCACATCTGCTCATCTTCACATCTGCTCATCTTCACATCTTCTTATCTTCACACATCTGCTCATCTTCACATCTGCTCATCTTCACATCTTCTCTTCACGCACATCTCTCTCACATCTGCTCATCTTCACATCTTCTCTCACATCTGCTCATCTTCACATCTCATCTTCACATCTGCTCATCTTCATCTCTCACATCTGCTCATCTTCACATCTGCTCATCTTCACATCTTCTTCACATCTGCTCATCTTCACATCTTCTCTCCTTTCTCTCTCCCTTTTCTCTCTCTCGCCTTCTTTATCTTTCTCTCTTAAGGCCGAGGGTGGTGCCGGCGGCGAGTCACGAAACGTCAACCCTTTCGCACGAAATGAGGGTCGATCGGCAAAAACTGAGGTAAAAGTGCGATTTTACTTGTCCTGGAGCAACCCTTTCGCACGAAATGAGGTCGATCGGCAAAAACTGAGGTAAAACTGCGATTTTACTTGCCCCGGAGCAACCCTTTCGCGCGAAATGAGGGTCGATCGGCAAAAACTGAGGTAAAAGTGCAATTTTACTTGTGCCGTTCTTGTCTGTGTGTAAAAGCGCCTGTGTGTAAAAAGCGTCTGTGTGTAAAAGCTCTGTGTGTAAAAGTGATTGTGTGTCAAAGCGTCTGTGTGCTTGTGTGTAAAGCCGTCTGTGTGTAAAAGCGTCTGTGTGTCAAAGTGTTTCTGCGTAAAAGTGTTTGTGTGTAAAAGCTTCTGTGTGTACAAGCGTCTGCGTGTAAAAGCGTCTGTGTGTAAAAGTGTTTGTGTGTAAAAGTGTTTGTGTGTAAAAGTGTTTGTGTGTAAAAGTGCCTGTGTGTAAAAGCGTCTATGTGTAAAAGCTTCTGTGTGTCAAAGCGTTTGTGTGTAAAAGCAGCTCCTGTCTGTAAAAAGGTCTGTGTGTAAAAGTGTCTGTGTGTAAACATGTCTGTGTGTAAAAGTGTCCGTGTAAAAGCGTCTGTGTGTCAAAGCGTCTGTGTGTAAAAGCGTCTGTGTGTAAAAGTGTTTGTGTGTAAAAGTGTTTGTGTGTAAAAGCCTCTGTGTGTAAAAGCGTCTGTGTGTAAAAGCGTCTGCGCGTAAAAGCGTCTGTGTGTAAAAGTGTTTCTGTGTAAAAGTGTTTGTGTGTAAAAGTGCCTGTGTGTAAAAGCGTCTATGTGTAAAAGCTTCTGTGTGTACAAGCATTTGTGTGTAAAAGCAACTCCTTTGTGTAAAAGGGTCTGTGTGTAAAAGTGTCTGTGTGTAAACGTGTCTGTGTAAAAGCTTCTGTATGTAAAAGCTTCTGTGGGTAAAAGCTTTCTGTGTAAAAGTGTCTGTGTAAAAGCTACTGTGTGTAAAAGCTTCTCACTATTTGGTCTTGATACTCCTCTTCTCGACTGCCTATAACACATCTTTCATACATCGTTTCTAAAATTGCGTCTCCATACTAAGAAGAGAAGACCCTGCTCCTCTACGCTCTCGGGCCATCCGTCGTCTAGTAAGTCTTTTCAAGTCTTTTCAAGTCGATTCAGATTTGTTCAGTGGAGATTGAATCTATCTTAAAACCAACTATATCCGACTATTGAATTTCTGGAAGCTATCCATTTACCTCCACCATCTCATCCTTGACGAAGGTCCAATTAATCAAACACGACGGCGCTGCCCGATGAACGGCACGGCAGCGGCTTGGAGGCACCTCCAAACGTGCGGAAAACAGCATCCCGAACATGGGCTGCTCCAACCGTTCGTTGTTTCACGGTGTTTCACGAAAAAAACGTCCAAAATTGGATATTATATTACATAATTACATAATTAGTATATGATCTTACAGATTCAATGATATTACTAGTACATACTAGTACCATAGTAAATATTCGTCAATTGGGATGATCCCAGGATAGAACTTTGGATTCACATGCCACTGCTTTGCCTCAGACTGCATGAAAAATATCTGGAACCGCCAACCGGTTGGGGATTTGAAGATGATCCTGGTGATCAAATCGCGGGAGTTGGGCTTTGATGAGAGAAATTTCTGGGATGCCTCAGTAGATGAGATAGGCTCATATGTTGGACCAAGCATTACAACTCAAAACAAACTAAAACCAACTACAATCAACCATATATACTAATAATTATTATAGTACAAGTTTATCTAAAACATTGCAGCTCAACCAAACCTCTTCACCAAAACAAATAGCTTCACCAAAGCATCCAACCCTGCAACCCTGCGACCCTGCGCCCCCACCAGGGCCTGTGTAGCTGCTCCCTGGTGGGTGGCTCAACGCGCTCACTCTCCTCGACGGCGGAGGAGAAGGATTGCTGTCGCGGAAGCGCCTGAACCTGCCACGGCCCCATGGCCGGGAGGCTGGATGGGTTGATGGATTGATGGATTGGTTGATGAATTGATGAGATTAGATGATTAGATAATGACTTAGATATGACTTCGATGCTTCGGTGGTTGATTTCACGAGGCTTTGATGGGAATCCCAGAGGAGATTGGAAGATCCTCAAGGATAGCCTCCCCAAAGACGCGACCCATTCTCTACCCTGCAACCCTGCCTTTGCATGGCAGCTATGACCTCGGCCCAGCACTAAATACATAGGCCTCAAAAGCTTTTTGGTTGAAAACCTGTGTCGAAAATTAAAAGGTTTCGGAAGGCAACCTGTGGTTATTTGATATGATTTTGGGATGCCAATCACCTACCTTTTGCAGCTTCACTTAGATTTTGGACACTGACGGTTTCCAACTTCAAAAGCCAAGCAGCTTGGAATCAATCGTGCTGCCAATCCGAAATGAGGCTCTGGCCTTCAAAGAGAAAGACGGTGCATTTCTGCATTTCTAGCTGTTTTTTGACGGTTACACGGTTACATCGTCTAGGCCCAGGTATCTTCATCTCCCTGAAGTTCACCACTGCCAGATGATTACCATTGCACGGCCAATCTTCAGAAAGTGTCAACCATTCCAATTGTGGATGTTGAGGCCACAACGATGCAAAAATCAAAACTGAAGAATCGTGAAAGAACGGGTTTCGAATCCAGGAACGTGATTTTCCAGACCATGGATTCATGGATGATTTTGGGATGATTTTGGGATGATTTGTGATGATTTTGGGATGATTTTGTGATGATTTTGTGATGATTTTGGCATGATTTGTGATGATTTTGGGATGATTTTGTGATGATTTTGTGATGATTTTGGGATGATTTGTGAAGATTTTGTGATGATTTTGTGATGATTTTGTGATGATTTTGGGATGATTTTGGGATGATTTTGGGATGATTTTGGGATGATTTGTGATGATAATAAGCTAAAACAATCTCAGAAAAACGCCGCCAAAAATCGCCGGGCCTCAAAGCTTTTCGGCCCAAGTCTCTGGCCAGGCCTGGCGGTGTTTTCCTGGCCTGGTTCCCCCCTGTTTGGGGTCCATTTGGGGATGGGTCAAGGCGTCCCAACAAACCCACCATCGATGAAAATCTATGGGTTTTGTAATCAGAAAATGTTGCAACATGTCTCAAATTCTGTTCGAATGTGGTGGGTTTTTGATGTTTTTGGGATGAACCCATCCACATTTGGGGATGAAAATCGTGATCCATACCTGACCTTTTATCCATTTCTGGTGATCGGTGAGGAACCACATCCGCTGTCCAAGCCTGCGCTCCTAGAGAAGCGCGCTGGCAACATGGCGGTCCTACCAATGATTGCACTCCTCCAAATCAGAGTTCTCTTCACCAAACAAAGTCTTTCTGGAAAGTGGGAAAAGGTTACTCAGCTGATGATTTGTGACCCCCCTTGGAAGGGCAACTTGCGTTGGCTCGGGTTCATCGCATGTTCTTTCTTGGCTTTTCTTGGAATTTAGGGAAGCTCAAAAGTCACAATGGTTCTGCAAAGTTGGCATTGCCTATGGTTGGGATGCTGCTTCTCTCTTGGGCTGCTTTCGGACTGACCATGTTTAGCGACTTGAGCCAGATTTGGTTGAGAAGATTCTGCACAAAAATACCATGCTTCAGCAATCCAACTGGTTCAGAGTTCAAGCTCTCAAGTCTGCGGAAGTATGTTTTTAGTCATTTCACACAGCTTCACGTGCTGGACTCAGTTTCGCATCGCAGACGTTTTCAGCGTGTCATCGTGGCGTCTCGGCATTCACATCCTCCGCGGAGTTCGCAAAGCAACGACGCATGCCCGGCAGGCACTTGAAAGCCTGGGCAAAACAGCGAAAAACGGTGGAACAGTTTGTACATTATACCAGTTTGTGGACAACTTCCTATGATGTATATGTATATATATATATTATCATATGCAAATGCAACTGTACTTTATATATATATAATATGCAATTATATGATATTATATAGAATATTACAAGTAGAATCATACTGAACTGTATACTCCAGTATGGATCAGTATGGATCATATCTGGCATATCTAAAGCCCAAATCCCTCTACAACTGGACCATCCAAGCAGCTGATGTCAGCCATCCTTGAGCTTCTGGGGCTTGAACCACCTGGTGACATGATCCGGATCCAATCCACAAAGCAACCCATTTTGGGGATCATTTTGGAGGGGCATTGATGTAACCATATCTAAAAATATCCCCTATGGACATCAATGCCCCTGGTTACATATGTTACATATCTATTTGGGGATCATTTAGGGATGTAACCTCAAGATTTCTCCATTCCCTCAAAAATCTAAATCTCCCTAAGTCTTGTTCTGAGCTCCACACCTGTGGAGTGCCGGACACAACGCGTTCGCACAACATCTGGACTTCACGGAAGTAGTCCTTCTTCCCGAGCAGTCGCAGGTCGTTATGACCCGCTCGGGGGTACCTCAAGGGATGGGGTCAGACCGGGCGTCACTTTTCTTCAGGTCACTGAAATGTCTCACTGAAAAATGATTCAAAAGACAAGAGGTATGGTCAAACTTCTAAGGCAATTTGGAATTTCCGAATTGATGGGATGTTCTCCAAAAGTTCTGCAACATACCAAGTCAGAACATCATCACTGAGCTAAGTTTGCTGCCGTACAAGTTTCTTCTCCTTGGACCGGTGGAAGTGGCATGTGGGACATCCAATGCAATAGACTCACATGTCACGCAAGAGGTGCTTGGAGAAACCAATATGATGCTATAGGATGTAAGCCATTTAATTTGATAATATATTATGTCACCCACTCATAGATGGGCTATTTCTCATTGCCATGTGTCATTACAGAAGGGTATGAATTCATTTTTGTCAAATAGTGTTTCTTGAAGGGTTTTGGACATGCTATGACATGCTACAGATGGAAACAGCCAGGTACTAGCCCATATTGCCGGCAGTGTCCAGCTTGGGGCACCAAACGCTACTTCCACATGCTCGATGGGCTGCCAGAGCTTGCTCAATGGGGCTCATCTGCACAGATGTTACTGGCGTGGTAGATTAGATGTGGTTGCGTTTCAGGGACTTGGCCATGGCTCAAAAATTGGTATTGCCAGTGGATAATACTCCATAGGTGGGGATATATTTGGGAATGCAATTGTGGAGCATTAGCAATCGATACAAACGCATACAAATGAAGACAAATGGATACAAGTGATTGCTGACCATCCATGGCTGCATCATTTGAACCATCCCCAGCCTCATCCAAATCTCCATGAATTACAAGAGTGGGAATCTTCACCTGCCAAGTCAACTTCCAATCCTGGAAGTTGTCTAATAAGACCTCAAAGCATCAACAAGCAAGGTCCGAAGTCAACCTCCAACCTGGGTCCTATGATGGCATAATTAGAATAATATGGCATAGGTATATCATGGTACATCATGGTATATCACAAACCCAGTTGTCAGGCGCGCAGCCCCTCTTTTTCTGCACCGCAGCTTGTTGGGGTCTAGAGTTTCTGCTTGGCACCTCTTCTCCGTCGGATTTTTGTTCAGATTGGGCCAGCTGGTCATCCAACCGCCTACTTTTTTCTGATCCAAGGCTACTACCAACGACAGATGGGAAGATGGTTTTTTTTAACCCCCAGTGTGGTGCATCCATTTTTCATACAAACATACGTATCCAAAATATATGATGTACATCTATTCTAGATTCATATTTTTCCAACAAGTGGCCAGGATGTCCAAAAAGGTCCTAAGAACTTCAAGGATGTCATGGAATATCTCAGGTATCAGCAGCTGACTGCCAGGAGGCACACCCAGCCCCTCGGCCGGCGTTGGAAAATTCGGGATGAAACTCAGGCGACGTGACGGGACCGGGCCGAGGACCTTAGGTCCAGACTCCCCGTTGCGACAACGGGGGAGCCGATTTAGTACTGTAGGTAGGGATAGAAACCAATTCAATAGTGGGATGATTGAAGAATTCCATGGGTGAAAAAATATATGGATCAAATCAAAGGTAGTTTCAAAACCAAGACCAGCATCCAGCGGTTGTGAGAGCGCCCTGATTTTGGGGGGGACCCCAAAACCGTTCAAAAAAATTGTCCATCTTTTGGCATCATGCCCTTTTGGTTCCTATCTATTGGACATGCCACACCACGCTGCAAAAACATGGGTTTGTAGATCATAATGATCATATTCCGATATGCCCCAATCAAATTGCAAAACTTAGGGTGTAGGGTTGGACAAACCTGTGTTTTCCCAGTGTGATGACCGCCTTCGCCTTTTTCCTCCGAAGTCAGGCAAGGGAGACAGGGCATGAGTCTCTTGATCATCTGCGGCAGCATGCTCTCCTTGGCATGTCATCCATGTGTCACGAGTTGCGAACAGTTGGATGGATTCAGCTATCCTAAGAAAATAATACAACAAACTACAGTAATCATAATGATGATACAGTATAATCATATATTATATAAACTATATATATATATGTATATATTATAGCTTTTCCTATGACAATGGCCATACAATGAGGTATCCAGCATCTTTGGACGAACCCAGCTGCTTCAACGGCAAGTGCATGACATTTTTTTGGGCCGAGATGCTTGTGGTTGCAAAGCTCCTCAAGAAAGCGGGGCTGGGTGACGACTGGGACTTTGCAGCTTCAACCAGTGCAGCTTGCAGATGCGTGCTTTGGTCGGCAAGTGGATCGAAACGAAGTTCAAATATGTTCAAATATTCCCTCATGATTTCGTTGATGTTAACCATTGTTAGCCTTTATTTTCTATCCACAGGGGCTCCATGATGATTTTGGTGCTCCTGCATCGGCTTTTTCCCCCAGCATGCGACTGGCTGCCGCTTTGGCCTCCTTGGTATACTCCCGCTGAGCCTGACAGCGAGGATCGAGGATCAGCGGAGAAAGGCGGTTTACCACGGATTTCTCAATTGGCAAATTTGGGATCGCTGATTTATCATCATTTACCACTGATTTTCATAGATGTTCACATTCATAACATTGCCAATCTATGCCAACCCTGCAAAAAATATCAAATTTTTAGCTGGTTAAGTAGTATAGATATTCCATGATATTCCTATACCAAAGGATTAAAGGATTAGTTTCTGCCCCAGTTGGTTCACCTCGATGTGGATCCCATGCCCTGCGGATCCCTGCGGCCCTGCCTCGCGAAGCTGCTCAACCATGGCCCGGGCTTCACCTGGGATCGAGCATCGAGTGCTGGAGTGCTTGGTACTCGATGCTTGTGGCATCTAAAATGGCATCTAATATATCTAATAAATATACAGCTAAGCCATCCATTTTTGAAGTTTTGATGATTTTGACACATAGCTGAAACGGTTTCGACCAAAAAAAAGGTCCAAGTTACTGTTGTTGGGTTGCACCTTCAGCAATGCGGTGAGGTCTTTCATGGCCGCCGCAAAGTTTGAGAGTTGAAATTCCGCCGACCTGAACAATCCGTGGCCTTGAGACGACTTGTGACAGCTGCCCTGCCACTGACTTTGTTGGTCTGGTCTGGGTCTGGGTATCCCCGAACTTTCGGTGACTTCAACAAGTCTCCAAACATGGCCTATGCCAAGGGCGCCAAAGGAAAAACTCCGACGAGACACGCACGGCGATAAAGGGCTTTGACTTGCCCCGGTTCCTTTTCCAGCACACGGTCGCAGAGTTCTTTGGCCCGATGTGGTTTTGCTAGCTTCAGATAGCCTTGGGTCCAGACCATGCTGTGGACATAACAGTTAAGATATGTTAAGATCATTTAAGTCTGAAACTGCTGAGTTTCAAACCTGCTGTATCCTGGGTTTTCTATGCTTTTTTGACCATTCGAAATATCATTGGTCCCAGCTGAGCCATGGCACAAGCCGCCTGGTTCAGCTCACAGATGCTCTGAACCTTCTGCACCTCCGACTTTCCATCCAAAGATGCCGAGAGCCTGCGAGCAACACTGCAGGGCTTTGGGAAGATGTTGAACTTCAGTTCTTTAGGAAGATGTTTAAAAATGTTTTAAAATGTTAAAAATGTGTTTTCAATCAGGAAAATCTGGAAATCGTCATTGCTGCACTGTGGCAAATTGGCAACTCCAAAGCTTCGACAAATCACTGCAGCTTGCCACAGGAATTTGCTGAACGAATCCTTTGAATCACCCAAAAACCCTGGCCTTCTGTAAACTTCCAATGCCAATGCAAAGCCTCCCCAGTTTTTTTGAGTGGTTCAAGTTGGTTCAAGTTGGTTCAAGTTGGTTCAAGTTGGTTCAAGTTGGTTCAAGTTGGTTCAAGTTGGTTCAAGCATAAAAACATCTGCTTCAACCATCAACCTACAAACATCGCAAACGTCTGTACATGTTCCATGTACCACCCATCTCTGTCGCACTGTCACGGATGCCACGAAATCTTCCCTGGCCATGTTCTGAATCCAAGCCGCGGCCCGTCTTGAAGAGGGTTGCTGCAGCATCTTTCGCTTCATCGATTTTGGTCGTCAACGCGGAATCTTGGAGCTCTTGGAAGTGGGGACCTCTACGTAAACCTCAAATTGTCAGATGAACATCCAGACTGTGACTGGTGCTTCTCCAAAGACAAAGAAGACATCAACATGGATTCCTGATGCTGGGAGGATAGTCTGCGTTTCCTGCAATCTCAGTTCGCAACTCGTGAGTTTCACTTTGATCACTGCTTTCTCTACGCAACTGTCCTTGGTCAAAGCACTTCAGAAATCTGATGCTCATGGATTCAACAACCCCAAAGCCACCCGTTCGCCAGGAAGCCAAGCCAAGTCTGGCTTCCTGAAAATTGAGAGGAGCGCTGCAAATCAGCTTGGCCTGCAGCTCGGACACCGGCATAGCAAGACCAGCTTGGCAAAGACTTGGGGCCAGGTTTTGGTTCAAATCTGGGGCCGGTTTGACGAATCAAACAGCAAAGTGGCCACATTTGGCATAGTTGGCACTGTGGCCTCCTCGCCAACGCACATTGTAGCAGCGGCAAAGTCCAAAGCATCGCAGACAACACCTCTTCCAAGAGGAAAATCTAGAACGCAGCATCCAGAAAACTTCACATCCTTAGCACCATCCTCAGTTCAGCAACAGAGCTACCACATCCTTCAAAACACACAAGAGCTATGCTGCGAAACAAGCCATGTAACCAATATACATACTCTATATACATATATATATATATATGAATAGATGACCTAGCCCTTATCATCCACGTCTTTACCCAGCTGGAGCCTCCTCTGCCAAGGTTCTGTTACTTGATCCACTTGAAGAACCACTTCATCAAACGCTCGGCAGGTCTCTCCCGTCTCTCCACCCTTCGACAGGAACTTCTTCATCAGAGTCCCATCCTCTTCGGGCGAAATGTCGCTGATCTCGAAGATTCTCCTGAGCCGAGGTCTTGCGCTGATGCAACCAATGATGCAATATGATGCAATGGTCGAGCTTGGTATAATCTAAGTTTGGACATCATTGGATAGTATATCCCCCATAGAATTATCAATCAACATGATATCATGAATATGGCATAATCCCATATAATCTCATATATAGGGGGTGCCTAACTGGTGGGGTATCCTGTCCTGGTATCCCCATTGGAAACCTTCAAATCATGGGATGTTTACCACCTATCAAGTGCCGCAAGTCCTGCAAGTCCCATAGTGGATTGTGATCAGTCCATAGCATTCCCAATAATCCCAAATAATCCCATATAATCCCATATAATCCCATATAATCCATTATAAGCCCATATAATCCATTATAAGCCCATATATAATCCCATATAATCCCATATAATCCATTACAAGCCCATATAATCCCATATAATCCATTATAAGCCCATATAATCCATTATAAGCCCATATATAATCCCAAATAATCCCATATAATCCCATATAATCCATTACAAGCCCATATAATCCCATATAATCCATTATAAGCCCATATAATCCATTATAAGCCCATATATAATCCCAAATAATCCCATATAATCCCATATAATCCATTACAAGCCCATATAATCCCATATAATCCATTATAAGCCCATATAATCCATTATAAGCCCATATATAATCCCAAATAATCCCATATAATCCCATATAATCCATTACAAGCCCATATAATCCCATATAATCCATTATAAGCCCATATAATCCATTATAAGCCCATATATGATCCCATATGATCCCATATAATGTTCATATAATGTTCATGACATCAACCATCAGCGCTTCTGAAAAACCGCTCAACTGGCTCTGAGTCTTTGACACCAAGGTAAGGTCCACATCTGCACCACTGTGGGCTGTGTCCTGGGCCAAAGGCCTTTCTGTTTCAGATAGTGACACTTGAAACGACTCAAAACCAGGGATTCATGGGATTTTGTAGGAATTTACAGGATTTAGTAGGATTTGGTAGGTTACTCATGCGCAGTTGGTCAGCTCTATCTGTTCCTAAACCCCCAACTCAGGATCACACGACAATTTTGTCGCTGGCAAAGCGGCGCAGCAAAACCTGCAGCAGATGTACAAAGCAAAAACCTATTGTTCTTCCTTTAGAAGTGGGGAAATTGGAGAATTGGGACTCACCGAAGTTTGATACTATAGTTGCTTTTAGTTGTTCATGTTTTTTTTCAACTCGACAGACCTAGACACACCATTTTCCACACCATTTTCTGCTCCTGCGCTGCTATCATAGACCACCATAGAGGTCCAATTTCGCCAAGCGACGTGGCAGCGTTCTCCTTGGCTCATGCTCCGCAGGACTTCCAAAATGATCGGCGAGATGGTGCCGAAGTCTGGAGCACCGACCTGGAAAGGTCACAGCGACTGAAGCAAATTCCCCAAGGTTTCAAGGGGGTTTTTGTTAAAGACTCAGCAAAAAAAAATGCATAGTTTGAGGCAAACCTAACTGAATCATATGAATCCTTGTACTTGTTATGGTCTGTGTTGCAGAATTTCCTGAGAATATCTTTCTTATGCAGTCCATAAAATGGAGGGTGGCCAACCCCAAGCAAGAACACCAACGTGTACCAAGATGCTGTGTGTTCCAGCTCAACGTGTTCTTGTAACACGGCACCCTTTCTTGACGTGACCTTCATTGAGAGCACCTTGGCTGGGTCGAATTGGGATCTCGATGGTCTCGGTGATGAGATCTGACGAGGCCTCTAACTTCCACCAAAAAAAACACCTCAAGCACTCAGTGACTCGTTTTTTCCTGATGTTGATGGTTGTTGGATCCAAACATTTTCCTGAAAACCGCTGCAAGGAACGACATCTTGACCTTTCTGCGGTTTCATCTTGCCGGAACCTCGCTCTGTGATGGTCTTGATGGCGCCTCAGCGACAGCTTCAGATGACATGTAGGGCCAATTTGATATTCTCACATACTGCGAGCCAACCCAAAGGATAGCTATATAATGCTATGTGCATGTAGTCACTATCCATTACTATCAATGCATGAGTTAGAGGGTGTAGATTTTCCCTTGAACCAATCATCATATTATCTCCATTGACCCTATCCATCTTAGAACAGGAACCCCCCGTAACCGGGACTCCCATTCCACATCATTCCACTGGGATGCCCCGGCGCCCATCGCCCAGCACATCGGATTTGTTCTCCCAGTCCATCAGCTCCACTTCGAAGACCAACGTGGCATCGGGCGGCACCAAGGGCGGTGCCCCCAGGTCGTCGTAGGCGAAGCGTGGCGCGATGGTGAACTCGGCCACCTGCAGTTTTCCCGGGGAACCCTGGCGCTTCTGAGGGCATGGCCTCGGTGAAAAGGTGATGTGAATTACCCTCTGGTAAACATACAAAAAACTATGGAAAATCACCATGCTTAATGGGAAGATCCACTATAAATGGTCATGTTCAATAGCTATGTTAAATTACCAGAGGGTATGCTAATATGGCATGATATGCTCCGTTATTGTATGATATGCTCCAACTATATACAGTTAATACAGTTGTGGTATGATATCATATGAGAGCCCGGTGTTTGCAATAACCATATATCATCATACGAATAAATTTTGGAGATTGGAGGAAACTCTGTTGGGATTGTGATGTATCGATGGTTGATGTGGATAGTCCTCCCGAATAGTCCCTGAGTCTGGCACTTCTCCTTTCCTTGGTGCACACAGGCTGTGAACAGGCGTTCAAAAAGGACATGTTACAATAACTTGTGTTGTAATAACATGTAATAACCATTGATAAGCCAAGAAATATAGTGCATATATATAATATATGTATACTGCATATATATATATACACAGTATATATATATATGTGCATATATATATAATATAGTGCATCTTAATTGATATCTGGTTGTATGATGGTGGTGAGTTCTCCACTGGGGGACCCAAGTGGCCAAAATGGACGAGTTTCGTCATGGTTTGCACGCCCAGCTCCAAGCCTCGAGAGAAATCTGCCGAAATGATGGAAAAAGGTTGCCACTGGAGTTGTGTTGATAAATCCACTGGAACTTTTCTTATCTTTTGTTTGGATGTTCTATGATGTTTGGATGTTTCTTGGAGCTTCATATTTCGTCATCAATGGCACTTCGAGATACTCAACTCGCCTTGAATCACTTCTCTGGGTCTCTGATCGATGACGAAGGTGAAGGCTTCGTCGCTGGAAGTGATGGAAATGTTTCCATCTTGAAGTTTTCCTTGGAGATGAACCTTCACCTGCTTGCTGCGGCGGTTTCACTTTGGAATATCTTCCATTCTTATTATTTGTTATGTAATCATATATATATATATTATATACATATATACATACGTATGTATATTATATACGGTTTTCTTTTGCCTGGTCTTTTCAATCTGTTCGGTCTCTGCCCATATTGCTTTCACTGTCCAAAAAAGATCCAGACACCTCATCTCCACTGATGGGACGCTCCTCGGAGATCCCCTTCTGCAGAAGTCGTTTTCGAATGCCCCAGGGAAGACGGAAACCACCATTTTCCTCGCCACAGCCACAACAGTCAGAACAGTCACAACAGGCCTCAGCACGAAGCCTTTCACAACGGCACCAGGGAAGCAAATCCCATGCGAAGTAGGAAAACTTTTATGTAAACACGAAATGCACATTCTATTTGTAGAATATCTAGAGTTTATTTTCTGGAAATGTCAGCAACTGAAAATAACTGAAACATAGATGTACCTGGTGGCCGGAAACATCTGGAATGCGCCCTCCTCATCAGAAGAAAGCTCCAGGGATGCGTCTACCCCAAGTCGTCCACTAGAAGCTGCCAATGCCATGGCAACATGACCGACCGTGGACCATCTGCTATGACGAGTCTAAGTCTATGAATGGGTATAGGTATATGTATAGGTCAAAGATGGATACCAAAAAAACAAAAAAATGAATGCTTAAGACTTAAGTGACTTAAGATGAAGAAAAGACCAATATCTGTGGTTGATTCGATGCTGGAGGTCAGATCGAGCTGTTTCAAGCGCTTGGAAAGCGTTTCTGGAAAGCACAACTCGCATCTGCTATTTCTTTCGCAATTCAAAGAAGCGAAATATGCGAAATCTGAAGCTTGCAGCCAAAATCAGCGGCAAGTTTCCTGGAAGGCAGCATCTCAAGTATTCCAAGAGCATCCAACGAATTCCGGAAAGCTGGTTGAAAGCTTGGAGGCACTTACAACATCTTACAACAGAAATCAGAGTATCATAAAAACATGAATTGCTCGAACTTGCACTACAGCTGTACAGCATGCACTGTTTCTTCAAGGATATTTCCCCGGGAAGACATGATGCCCATCGATGCCCAACAGCCAGGACACGACTCAATGCCCATCCGGTCACTGCTCCTCAGCTACGAGGACCATCGCTGGTTCGATGGCTGTTTTGAGAAGATGGCACAACAGTTCGAAGAAAGTCATATCAACATCACCAGTGCGTATCACCAAAGACGAGGAGCCACAACTTTCAGCACTTGGCATTCAATTGAATCTAGCACAGTCCTGACACTGCAGCCATGAGCACACTGGAATTGCACATGCCAAAATGTTTGCCTTGTCACGACTAGATTGATGGATGATTGATGGATGGATATGGATACTGTTCCGGCATTTTGCTCCAAAAGGTTGTCCAGCTTTCTGACAAACCACCAAAAATGTCACAAAGTTGTCACAAACCACCAAGTTGTGTCTTTTTGCTCTTGGCACCCCATATTTCTAGCCATCCTCTCCCATGTCTGTTCATCCCATGTCCTGGGTTTTGCCATTTCGGGGGCAGTCACCACCTCAGTTGGAACTGTTTTTCAGGTCCAGAGACAAACTCAGTTCTACCCATCCGCACTATACCCTCTGGTAAACTAACATAGCTATTGAAAATCCCCATTTTTAATGGGAAAATCCACTATAAATGGCCATTTTCCATAGCTATGTTAGTTTACCAGAGGGTAAATTGGCAGCATCTTGGCAGCACCTTGGCACCTTGGGGTGCCGGGCAAAGATAAGGATCTTTCCTCTCCGGATGAACGCACTGCGACTTGGCCGAGGACACCAATGCTGCTGCGCAGACCTGCCACAAAAATCCCAAAACCGTGATCCATTAAACGACGGATCAGTCATGGATGATTCATGGATTAATACAGTAATGATTAGTGGATGATAAATGAATGATAAATGGATGATAAATGGATGATGAATGAATATTAATGGATGATTAATGATTGTATAGTGGATGATAAAGATGATGACTATTGGATGATGACTATTGGATATCCATGGATCATGATTATCTGATGATCCATGGATCATCCATGGGATTGTTTCAGAAAGGCCTTCCCATCCTGCGCGAACGCGGCCATCTTCGGGTTCCGCGGGCAATCTCCACCTCAAAAATCATGGGATATCACCCAAAATCTAGGGGATGATGACTCTTTTAATCCATTTTATCCATGAAAATGCGGGAATCTTGCTGAACATTGCCATATATTGCCATAAAATCGGTGCTCCACATTTTTGGTTAAACCATGTCAAACCTATTTTGGATATAAAGACACATCATGGCGTGACAACAGAAAGGAATCATTGATGTTCATTCAACTGGTTTTCTGTTTGTTGCAGTCTTTGACTTGCCTGTGTTTCGTGTCCTGTTTTACATGGTTCTGAGTTCTGATTGTCATCCATCAAATAGTACCAAAATAGTATCAATCTATGCTCCGAATCATCTCTGTCCTATCTCAAAGGAAAGTCCTTGGAACCAGCAGGGGCTTTCACTTCTTGGCAATCCATAGAGTTTAAAAGACTCTGGAAGCAGCCTGTTTTTAACGACAATCGGAGACTTTTACAGTATGATACTATGAACAATCAAGTCTGGTTTATAGACCGCAGCTCCAAAAACAAATGAAATCTCCGTTCACCATCATTGACACATGATTCACTCCTCATTCATCATTCACATCATTCACCGCATTCGCCACTTTTTCAGTTGAAGTTCCTCATCACCGAGGCTTGGGCACAAATAAGGCTCTTTTCGCTCAGGGTGTATGCAGGCACTCTTGGCAGATGACACCAGGGCGGCCGCGGCACACAATGAGCCAGATGAATTCAGGACCTTGCCATTGCGAGGGCAGTCTCCACCTGGGCACTGGACGGACCCCGTCGAGGTTTAGCCGAAAAACTATCCGCTTTCCATAGGTTTTCTGTAGATTCTGTAGATTCTGTAGATGTTCCCTAGCTCTATCCAATTCTGACATGAAGAGCTAGGTTTGGGGCACAAGTATGGATCCTTTCTCTCGGGATGGACGCATGTGCTCTTCGCCGAGAAGACCCAATTTGCGCAAGCTACCTGTGATGCAAACGTCTGTGACAAAACTACACGGGTGTGTCTGAAAATGGGAGGAAACCTACAATTGTACTCCCTGTTTTTAATGTGGCATATGACCATCCATTTTGACAAATCCACTGCTTGAAATTTGATCATGTACCCGCATTGTATTCTAATATGACGATCCACAGTTTGGACAAATCCACATCTTCCACGTCGATAGACAACTGCGCCTCGCCATTGGATGTGGCAAATTCAATCTGTCCCTCCTGCAACGCAAAGGCTATCAATGTCAACTAATCAAGCTTGCATGGGCACCGATCATTCAAAATCAAATGTCAATGATTCTAGAAATCTCAGATGATTATATATATATATGATAAACCTATAGAAACCTTGACACTTGACACCCGGAAATATGTATTCACTATCATCATATCATCATCATATCATCTATAATCTCCTGGAACCACTGTTCATCACTTCTTTTGCGCCGCTGAAGGTCAATCGACCACTGGCGCCCGCGCCAGTGACCCGGCATCATCCGGCGGCGGGTGCAAGGCAAATGGTTTTCTCCAAAAATGGGGGCTTGGGAATCAAACATGGCTGGGAAATCCCAATATGTCTGTAAATGGAGGTTTACCAGGTTTATGGCTTGGAAAATCAACTGTAAATGGTGATTTCTTCACTATCATGTTTAGCAGAGGCTATCTCCACAAATCCAGTGGTTTATTGTTGTGTTGCCCATCAAGATGCCCATCAGGATCATTTTACCAAAATGGTGCCATTTTGGGAGAAACCCAGCTGCAAATGCCGATCGAAAAGGATCATGACTGAGCACTGCACCTTGAGTGCAGGGCTACCCTATTCCTTCCTGAGCTTGGCTCAGGACTTGGCTCAGGGCCTGGTCCAAACCACCAGACCCACAGCGTGTCACAGCGGGTTCACCACCAGCTTTCCCGACGTCCGATCTGAGCGAACTCAATGGCTTGACCAACGGGGGGAAGACCAACCGAAGCAACCAGCGGTTTCCAAATCTGACGTCTGGAAACAGAATGAAGATCGGTGATCGGTGGGCATCCTTTTCCAATGGATGTTATGGTAACTTTCATGGATGGTTCATGATGTTCATGGGTTTTGCCAAATGGAAATCGATGGAAACAACTGAGGTAGCCACTGGGATGCTTCCAAGCCTCACCGGTGGTCCTCACAAATCATCAAATCAGATCAAATCATCTCAAATCCTCGAAACCTGCAGAAACCTGCAGAAATGGAAAAAACCACCGTATTTCAACACCCAAAGTCCATCCCTTTTTCCCTTTCCCAATCCCAAGCTCCTCGGGCGCGACACTCCCAGAGCTCCCAGGGAGTTAGACTTCCGCAACTCCCTGATTTCCCATGGGATTGATTGGAAATCCCAAGCCGATGGCCCGGACCAATGGTGACCAATGTGGATTTTAAATGATTTAAAACAGGGCTGTATAATTTAAGCAAGTCTCAGACATCCCAAATATTTTGATAAACTCCTTGATCAACTCCTTCTTTCATGGGAAAATGAGCTGGATTTGGAAGGGGTACCCCTCATTAAAATAAAAGATAAATCATGAAACTAAACGGCCCATCTATACCATAGCAAACTCTTAAATTGCCAGGGAGTAAACCAGTATTTCTTTAGGGTGAAAACATGATCCCAGTTGTTCAATCAGGTTCAATCAGGTTCAACCCATAGTTTTCCATGGTTTCATGATGTTTCATGGTTCAATCATTGTTAAATCATGGTAAAATCCACATTTTCTGATGCTTTCAGGGCTTAACCCCCCATCCTTTCAGCCCCGCCTCGCCACACGCGCCAACTCCTGCTCTTCAGGAAGCACCGGAAGCAGTTTGCCCAGGAAACGTGGCGGGACCGGCAGAGCCTGGGAAACGGGAGGAATCTTGGACCGACCTCTTGGATCGCCCAATCATCCTATTGGGGGTGATTTTTCCAGTTGGAAAATGCTTGGAAAATGGTTGGAAAATGGTTCTGAACAGGTGAATTTTTCAGTCCGAGTGATGAATCTGAAGGTTTGGGTCAGCGGGAAGAGCTCAACTTTTTAGGCTGGGAAAATTGGACTGGCCGAAGCTGGGAAAAGAACATGCCGCAAGTTAGCTATTAGTCATGGATCAAAAATGGGATGTCCAACATCCCACAAATGTGGAAGGTAGTGAAGTATCAATTCGTGGCTGACTGGTTGTAATTTTGGGAAATGATGTTTGCTCAGTTTTCTTTACACATTAAGCATTATATTTTAGAGTTCTCCCTATCATGTTTCCCTATCAAAATGGTGTTTCCAACATTGTCCTTTTAGGACAAATAGACTCGGTTTGATATACTATTTACTAACATCTACCCTCTGGTAATTTAACATAGCTGTTGAAAATGGCAATTTATAGTTGATTTATGTTGATTTACCTATTAAAAATGGTGATTTTCCATCGTTTTTTGTATGTTTACCAGAGGGTATCCCAATGCCAAGGTAGGCTTTTCATGACGTGTTCATCCTCATCCACCTCAGCTGCCCACGGAGGGAGCAGGGCGACCACTCACGCCACCGGTCACGAAGCGCCGGAGGGCACGGGAGGACGCTAAGACCTCTGGGAAGGTGAGTGAACCCTCAGTGAACCCTGAGATAATGATGGCATGAAAATGGGAATGATGGGAGAATGATGGGATATAGCATCATAATGCATCATATAGCCATGGTATAACTCGGTATAACCATGATTTTAATCATGATATACACATGGCAGATACGGATGAGGCTAACTTGAGTAACTTGAGGTGGCTGGCTGTGGTAGAATATCGGGAATATCCCCCATATGGCGATGAGATGGAACATGATCATTGATCAACCCATGCGGATCCCTGATTTCTCTGAAAATGCCACATTTCAATGGCTTGGTTGAAGGGAATTCGTACATGAAAATCCAGCAGGTATGGATTGTCTGAAAATAGGGTGCCGCTAATTCCAACAGATGTTTGAAAATTGATAGAATTCGGAAGCAATCATGGGGATATTACAAAATGACTACGAATATAACTCCTTGATATCTTATATACCAACCCTCATTTGTTGAGGCCAAAAGAGTCTTGCTACATTATTTCTGACTATAGCATATTTGAAGAAAGACGGTATGCCCATGTTTTTTCTGGGCAAACCTAATTGGCCGGCAGTTGAGCTACCCACAAAATGGAGATCGTTCACGTGGGGATGCGGGGATGCTAGACATTGGTTGGTGGCTTCAACACCAAAAATATTCATCGTCAATGGGAGATCATCCTGAGTTGAAAGTTGAAAGTTGAAAGTATGTCTAAGAACCAGCCAAATTAATACAGTAAACACCGACCAGAACTATGGCTGTCAGCCCCCCGTTGGACCTCAGTTGGCACCTCCTCTAACACCTCAGTGCTTGGCGAAGATGGCGATGGGGATGTGAAGCACTCCACCAATACATCTATCCAATAACCAACTAATTGTATTGGATAAGTATCCAATAGTTGTTATCCATTTGTTGGTTTATCCAATATCCAAAAAGTACATTAGTTGGTTAATACATACCAAGAACCAACTAAATGTACTATTGGAACCAACAACTTTTTTCTGGACTGCTGAGTCCACTAACGCGCCTTGGTTGCATCGTTGAAGTAGGGGACCAGCCGATTGTGGCAATACATCCTTGGCTCCGAAGAAATTTCAAAGGCCACAAGAAATCTGAAGATTTATTCAAAGAAATAGATATGAATCATCAACACCGAAAAAATTGTGGATAAATCAGAAAAGTATGATAACGATTGATAAAGTATGAATGTGCGTTCTGTTGTGTCTTAAGTTTCAACCCTCCTAAGCTGTAACCCTCCAAACCACTGTAGGGATACATCTCGTTTAAACATCGCCATTCGATGCCATGGTATTTCTCTTCAGGCTTGGGCCAATGGAGATCTCCGAGCTCATGAAAGCAACGTGACAAGTCCTTCACCGAAAGATTCTGTTGTGCAGAGTCAGGCCTCAAAACATCAGGGCTTTAGCGAGATCAGGCCTCAAAACATCGCACCACACCAGACTCCCATCTGCAAATTCCAGTAGACCAATAGATGTAGATTGCAGCTGTCCTTGCCCGAAACCTCTATGGATGTTCTGCCCAGCGCCTCAAGTTGCACCCTGTTTCACTGGGATCCAGGATTTTTCGGAAGATCTTGGCTATTCTTGGCTTCTGACGCATGCATCGTTGGTGGCAGCATAGGACTTCAACCAAGCATCCAAGTCTGGAGGATTGGGAAGAACCTGGCGCACCGGACATCGACTATGAACAGGTACAGGTCGTGTTCAGGCCATCGGCGATCCCTGAGGGTGGTATAACAGGCCGGTTTGACAGGAACTTTGGCCTGGCAGCAAGGCAGCATATTGGATATTGCCAACATCTTGAATCCTGCTGAACATGACATGATTGTCACCATAACTGCTGTAGAATCACCTAAACTCACATCAAATCACATCACATGGGTCACAACTATGTTGATTCACACCCTAAAAGTCATCATCGGGATAAGTCATCATCGGGATCTCGAAAGTTCGTAGCCTTCACCCGTCTGCAATCCAATACTGGATCATTGGCCAACTCCATCTTCAGTGACTCATGGAACCTCACAGAAATCACACGGGCTAAAAACTTCCCAGGCATCCCTTGAATCCAGTTGATTCGATTCACATTTGCCTTTTCAGACTTTTCAGAGTATCTCAGTGGGTTTCAGGATGTTTGATATAAATATGTTGACAGATGTTTAAAGCATGAACCTGTCAAGCCATGTAGAAATTGCAACTGCAAACACTTTCCACTGAAGCCATGGCCGAACGATATCCTGCCATCTCCGCCGGATGGTGTAGCCTCGGCCAAACTCCCATTGGGATGGGTGCCATGGATATTCTCCGACTTACAGGCCGTTTGTTTCGAAAAAAGTACAAATCAAAACAAACAATAACCTGGGAACATCTGGAAACAGGGTCACCTGGAAAACACACTCCACTGCCTAGTTTCGGTTGGTGAAAACCACCCACCACTGACTGCAGGGCTGCTGGGCAAAGGATCCCACCATGGCCACGGTTCCTGCTGGTCCATGTCCGTTGATGGTTGACTGATGTTGACTGGACATGGATGTAGCATGTGTTCATTGGATATCTCATCACATAGGGGAAAAACAGGTATATCATATATCATCATATATCATCCTACAACTTCTAAATCAGTGTTTGTTCCAATGATACGCATGATATTGTTGGGTATATCATAATGATTAACAATCATTATCAATGATCATAATGATTGTTCCATTGATTGTTTGGATATATCATAATGGATATATAACACAATCATGGTATATGGATGATCATTGATTGACCATGATTGTTCTATATCCACTATATACCATGTTATAAACAGTTTGGACAAGGTTGATATATATTGATACATATATATATATATTGATATATGTTATGTCCATTGTTATATATCCATTATGGTACCAATCTGTTGGTTTGTTTATATATCCATTGTTATTATAACCACTGGTAGATATATAACAAACTATCAACTATCAATATATAATCCTATAGATAGATTATGTTATAACCATATTAACCATTATTGTTTATATCAACCATGTCCAAACTGTTGGATGCTTCAAATTGGTTGATCTCCTCGAAACCTGCCAGAGCTTTGGGATCGCGTGGCGACCCCGGCGCCGTCCTGGAGCTGGCTCCAACACTTAAAAGAAATGGAAATAGATAGGTCTTTGGCTGGTGTCGTATTTCGAAAAGAAATCATATACATAAATATTATATATATATATTAAATATAATATAATATAATACAATATATATATATATAATTATATATTATATATATATACATGTAGTATATAGTATAGATTGTAATTATGGGTCATATAGTAGTAAAGTTAGAACAATATCTATGTGGTGTCATAGATAATATAGCATATGATAGAATACCTTAGTGGTTCCAACACCTAGGCGGTGTCACTAATATAGTTCAGACAGCATGGATGTTGTATATTGCAACATGTATGTCACATCAATATCATCAATGGAATTCGAATGTACTCAAAAGACCGCTGTGACATGCTGTGACTGCCTTCCATGTCACAGTCAACCAACAGCATTCACAAACTTCATATATTCACTCTGGAAAGATCCACTTCGCCATCTTCACCTGGGGATTTTCATGGAATTTTCAGCACCAAGCTGCCCCAGCCTTGGACTTGCCGACCTGCACCAGTGCTGGAACAGCGAAAACGATGGAAGCACAGGGAATCACCGTTGCCTGCTGATCGTGGGGTCCCATCGTCCCATCGTCCCATCGTCCCATATGCTGCCCCTTTTCCACCACTGCGGCAGCCTGGAGATCTCCCCAATCAGCTGCAGTTTAAGGAATCTATGTCTGAACTTCGGTTGGAGGAAGACCGGCAGACCTGAGTCTCAAAAGTTCAGTGACGACATGAAAATCTTCTTCAGAGAATTCAAAAGGACCACTCGACTGCCCCCTTACATAGCGATGTCGAAAGGCGCGCAGTCGGTTCTCTAGGCCCGTGTTGTCGTTGCCATCACCAAATTCGTAACCCCATTCTCTCAAGCGGGATTGCAAAGCATCTTTGAAGCCTAAGCCTTCAGGTAGATGGGTCATCTCACACCCTTTGACCTCCAGAGTGAAGCCACCATCCACCAACCCTTTCCGACTCCAATCAAAGCTTTCTCCAGGTGATGGACAGGCAGGTGGTGGTTGTTCCACCTCACCTGCACTTAGGACATTCCATGCTGGGAGTCCACCACGTTCTGCCCACCTCTCCTTAATATCTGTGAGAAGAGAAACAAGAGTAGCATATTGCTTGTCATCATACGGCTCGCTGCCATCACCTTCCAAGACAATAGATACAGCATAGGTCTTCAATTCGTTGATCTTGCCTACCCCAGGGTATGTGTTTGGGACATCGTCCGGTGCCCCAACATCCTTTGACTCCCAGAAGGCAAAATTGTAGCACCAGGCCATGTATTTTTCTTTCACCAGCTGGCGGCGACTGCCATCCTTCAAGATGAGGTAATGCGGCCCCATACCACGCGTCTTGAAGTCTGAAATTGCAGCACTTGCTGACTCTGTATTGCCGATGATAACAAACCGCGGGTGCTCTGTTGGTGCAGTGTGACGATTAACCCTCCTCCTGTGCGATATCCGGATGTCTTCCACCTCGGAATCACGAAGTGTTGCACTTAAGTTCATCGAAAAAATGCTATAGCCCCACTTTTTCAACCTGGAAAGTAGCGAAGGACCAGAGCCAGAAGAGTTCCTGACACTGGAGTTGCTTGAAGACGAACGGTCTATACCTTGAAGCACAGGTTCTTCCTGATCCACGCTCTCGCGGATTGCATGCATCACCTCCCACGAAATGCGTTCGAAAACATGTTGTGACGTTGCAATGTCAAGCAACACGAGTCTGTAGGGTTTAACGAATATGGCCATGGGAACAAACAAATTGTAAACATGTGTCAACCGTATACACTGCCCTGGAGTGTACCGCACTGGACTACACGATACTCTGGCCGCCATGAAACGAGACACCAAAAATATGTTTCCTCACTGAAGATGGGCTGAATCACAACCACGGGATACGGATAACCACTGGGAAATTACGACTTGCAGGGACCCTGTCTAAAACATGTGCAGAAATGAAAAGGCATTTATAGCACAGGCATCATAGTCCTTTCCTCTGATAAATTTCACAACCACTTCGCAAGTGAGTGTCGCCAATGGCCAAATTCACAGGGGAGCTACTCAAAAATGGAACAGAAAATGACGGGGTTTACCAAACTGAATGTATTTCCACACCATCAAGGCCTCCTTGAGGATGGAGTCAATCTGGCTGCTACCGGTCATGCGGGGAATGGACTCTGCCATTTGCTCCGCAAAGGGGCTCAACCAGCCAGAATGTTCTGCAGTGTTCCCAGACGGAGTTGAAAAGAGCCTGGCATACACGTTGTTGTGGGGGGGTTCGACAACGTGCACACTGGCAACATTTCTTGGGCTGTTGCGACAAGCGTCAATTCCAAAGATCACATTGCAGCCACTGATTTCTGCCTCTTCAATTTTGGCTATGATGCTTGCCAAAAAAATGTAGTCATCCACACGCTTGGAGCCAGCTGGTATGAACTGGAATGCATTGTCTTTCAACTCACAACCAGTGCCAGCGTAGTAAAAAAGGAAATCCTTGAACCCATGCTTCTTGGCCTCTTTCACTTCCTCAATCCATTTCTCGATCAGGGTAAGGAACTCGTCCCGAGTTGGCTGAGACTTGGTGATAGGCGGCTTTCCCGTGGCGTCAAGAAAAGCTTGGGCAACAAGTGCAGCTTCGCTTTCGCAGATCTGCATCTGTGTGACACTTCTGGGACTAGGAGGACCATCAGCGTAGGAACTAATCACAAGTGCGGCTCCAAGGACACATTGTCCTCCAAGGACACCATCATTCAGAAATTGCAGCAGAGCAGATCGGTCCATTTCTCCAACTGCTTCCAGCTTCTGCCAAAAGTCAGCTGCCTCTTGTGGCTGAAGCCTTTGGCTGGCAGTTTTCAAGCTTTCCAAAATCTCATCCTCTCTCGCCATCCAAAATGCCAGCTCAAGCAGCTCCGCGAGTCTTCAACCAATATCTGATTTGAAAAGCACTATGTACAGACTTGATGTTCTTGAGCCACAGGCCGCAGCTGTTTGCTTGCCGAACCTGCTGAAACACATTCACATTTAGATTAAGATGAAGTAAAAGTCACTGCCATTACTTCGCAGCCTTGGACGCCTTGACGGATCTCGAGGTAAGGGATCCTTGGCATCCAAAGAGTCCCACGTGAAGACTTCCGAGTTTCCGGAGGGCTATGGCAGCTATATGGCAGCTATGGATTCTTGGACCTGTCACTCTCTATGCAGTGGTGTGACCTGGTGTGAAACTGTGAAATTCACAGCCTGAGATCGCCTGAGACCCCGACTCCTTCCCATTGACATCGAATCAAGTAGACAAAATGAGGTGGACGCGTGTGTATTTCTGCGCAGGACACAATAAACATCAAGGGATGCCGACAGAAGAGAACACAAGACAGTAATCGCAGACCCAAGACACTGTTCTTCTCTGTATTGCCTTTCTATCCGGTTCTATCAAGTGAATCTAGTACCTCTCCTATTATTTTTTCATGGGTGTCTGGTGTCAGAACAATTCACATTCCGAGGCCTGAGGAGGTCCGCGTTCGCCGGTACATCCGCAACTCCACCCGCTGGATCTTGGCCGGTTTGGACAACGCACAGCTTGCGCAAGTGAATCAAGATGAATCAAGTGTTGTGAAGTTTGAATTGACAACACTTCCAGCAGCAATATTAAGCAACTGGCCGAGAGGTTCAACTCTCTTCTGTAAATCTCCGCCTTGACCCAGCGGCATGACTTCTGCACAAGGCCCTTTAGACATAACTTGGGCCATCCCAGCTATCCCCTTGGCCCAAGCAATGAATGTAAAGACTATAACAAGGAGGTCCTGCCACAAAAAGTCTCTTGTTGGGATCCCCAACAGCCCCCAGAATCGCACGCGCCAGTCCTCCGGTCTTCTTTCGCCCAGCATGTTCACGGACGGCACGCAGGCCACATGTGGCGGGCAGCAACGCACGGAACACTCAATATGTCATGAGTCATGACTCATCTCTGTCATTGCAGATCCTTTCAGAACAAAATGAAGGGGTTACTTGCTGCTGTATTCACCATGCCATGCAAATGTCTGGAGCATTCTGATCAGGTGCAGCTGTGTTGAAATGACTGAAAGCCTCTCTCCATTTTCTGCTGGCAGGAGTGTCTTGCTGGCAAGCTGATGAATATCAAGCCGCAAATGCTACATTCCGGATGTTATGGACTTTGGGCAAAGCTTAAACCTAGCATGTCCAGAAATTCCATCCCAGCTGAAATGTAAGAACACTAAGCAGTCCAAGAATAATAGAATATCATAGATTAATCATAGAATCACGATGGAAATACCAAATGGATCCATCAGTTTGTGCTATGTTGCCAAGCTATATTGTTGATCATAGAATCATCCTTGTGCAGGAGCTCTGAACCATTGGTGCTGAGCTGCAACCTCCTTTTTCCGGCTGCAAACGTTGAACTTTTGGAGGCACAGTGCTTCATGTCACGTATCGTTTTACAGTGCTGATTTCAGTGCTTCACGCAACGGAGATCATCGTTTGAATATGTTTGAATCATCTGATTCTTTTCATCTCACATACTTCACGTTCGGAACTGTTGAATCTGTTGATGAGAACCTGGATGTTGGCTCTTCACAGACATGGACAGCACAAGCCATTTGTCAGGCCCCGAGTTCCATCGGGAGCTCCGGTGAAGATCGATTGGGTTCTGGCTGTGCACCCTGGGCACCCTGGGCACCCAGTGCTTTCAGCGTGGAGTCCATCTCCTTGTCGTTCTGCACCATCTCCTCGGGGTCCCACAAAAACGTCGCCGGCAGTGTTGCCCGGGGCGAAAGGCGACGACTGGCACCCAAAATCAAGTTTCTTCACTTCCTCCATGCCAGAAGTGAACTGATTTCTTTGAGGCAAGATGAGGCAAGGCTGGGGATGCACCTGCCAAAGCACCACGAGACCGGCTAAGACTCCGCAGCCGAATGAACAAATGACCTTACAACTTCTTACAACCTTATCCTGAGTTTCCGTCATCTGGACATGTTTGCTGACCTTGGTGGTGCCAGAAGTCTGGATGAAGGGCACTTAGCCAAACAAATGCTCCTAGCAAGGCTGCAGCCAACAGCATGATAGTGTGACCCTGCATGGCTTCACAGAGCGAGCTGAACACTATCTCACGGCCTTCAAAAACAGCTTCAAGCTTGTGAAGTCCACTTTGATTCACATGACAAGCTGGCGTCGAAGTTGGCATCCCTTCCTCGAGGCATCTTGGTGACCACGGATCCCCAGCCCATACAAATCCAAGTGTCTTGGAGAAGTTTCACATCCGAAGATCTGACTGTTGAACAGCTGTTGGATATCTTCTTCGTTCATCTTGTTCCATCAAGATTGGATATCTTCAACTGCCAGAGCTGAAAGTTTTGCCAGCTTCCGAAGACTTCCTGACCAAGGTGCAGCTTTCGATCAGCGAACTATCCTGATCGCATCTTGCTGAGCAGCTCATCCACTTCCTTTTGAAGTGTGGCTGGGACAGCAACACCACTTCGCACCAGTTTGGCCTGGCGCAAGACAAGATCATTGCTAGTTTTGACTGCTTCTTGACAACAAAAATAATGGCAATTTATATAGTTGATTTTCCATAGTTATGTTAGTTGACCAGAGGGTATATCCATTCATATCCAACAACTGCGATCTCTCAAAGAGCTATCAATCACTGACATCTTTGATTCATTGATTCATCGACAGCTGTTTCCAGCCTTGAAAATTGGAAGGCCAAGCTGTTGTACCACGATCTGCCGCTCGGTCTCTGGAAAGTCCTGCGGTGGAAGTGATGTGCAACGGGTGGGGTATGGCCACAACACAGGGATCTAGAGTACCTATAGATCCTATGGAGCTCGTGAGTCTCATAAGTTTGGGGTTGAAAATCAAAGTGTTCATAGGTATTCCGCTTGGTATATAGTAAGTACAAACAAAAACTCGTCCAGCTCCATAAAACGCCGTGGAACATCACCAGATCCACTCCTGTCGGTCTACCCATGGCAGCACCTTGAAGCAACCGCCGTGGCAGAAAGCTGCTTCTGCCTCTACCAATGTATCAAGGAACCGAATGAGCCAATCCATAGGTTGTGGGGAGAGATGGAGGACGTTGATTCTGCTCAAACGTTCCAATCCTTGGGAATTGTGACCTGTGACCACTGAAATGAGCAACCACGACCCGCCTCAGCCGTGAGAAGAGCCACATCGGATTGGAAAAGAACCTGCCAAAGACATCGGAGTGGTAAAAGGTTGGGTCATATCCACCCAACGGCCCAACAGGTGTCCCCATCTCTATCCCCGTCAAAAACGGACCTGGCTCGTTTCCACTAAAAGGCCAAACTGGCAGCTCCATTGGTGTCTCACCCTGGGAGATACCCCAACTCATGGCAATGTTTGATCGGACAAATCTCTGAAGAAAAAACTGGTACAGCACCATTTCTTGGACACTACATCCATCTACATCCCATCTTTGATTTTTCAGAAATATCTCCAGTTTTTCCCCATGGAAATGGCATTCCCCGCACAACCGTCGCCCACCTCGCATCCATCGCCCAAGGTCTCCGCCAGCAAGCGCACCAGGCGGCCGTTCAGCAGCCGTCGCGGGCGGTGCGAAGGCTGCGCCAGGTGAGGGTCCGGAAAGTTGATCGTCACCAGATGCACCTTGCGGATGGTGCGGATGTCTGGTTGGTGGTTGACCTATGTTGACCTACCCCTCAGAAAAATGATGGAAAACTCGTCAGTTGGGATGATGACATTCCCAAAATATGGGAAAATAAAATTCAGGTTCCAAACCACCAACCAGATGTTATCATTATTTATCTATCATATTGCTGGGAAGATTGATGGAAAAATATTGATGAAAAACGATATTTATCATTTGTCTATCATGTCACTACTGGATACTACTGGGGATATTGATGGAAAATATTGATGAAAAATATTGGACTATTACTGGGGATATTGATGGCTTCAAAATGGGGGGGTCATGGGGATTGAATGGGATATTCTGTCCATAGATATAGAAGCAATTTATGTTTTGGCATGTTTGGGGTTTGTCTGAAAATGAGATCTTCAAAAGGCCGTTTTCATGGGAACAAAGATATCCTGATGGAATTGGAGAATAAAGTTATGCCAGTTATGCTGATGCTAGGTGGGTTTTCAACTGGCTATGAATCAAGATTTTGCCATAGCAGTGGACCGGTGGACCCAGGAAGCTGATGGTCATTATTTATGTCTCTGACCATCGACCATCCACCGAGCAACTGAAGATGAGAAGGGATGACTGGTGTTGGGTTTAGCCAAGAGTAGAACAAGTATGCAATCACTGACCTTTACTTCCACTTTAAGGGCTGAGGAAGACCCATGAAGACCCACTACCTTTTGATTGTCGTCAAACTGCCAAGCTCCGGAATTTCAAGGATGCACAGTGAATTTGAAAAGTTCCAGAGCTTGGATTGGCCCAACTCATGCGAGCCTCCATCTTTGGAATGCCTTGAAGAAGCGCTTCCAGGTCCACATTGGCATTTCCCTGAACGCAAAATCGTGTGTGTAACTCTCAAGATGGGGGGGCCCACCCATCAAGGAAACCCATAATCATATAATCCATATCAGGATTTTTTTTGATGCAACACCAGGTCCTTCATTTGCATTGTTTTTTACAGTATTCCACAATGTCGTTCTTCCCGTATCTTTCCCCAGCCTGCAGAAAAACGACATTTGGAAGTCCCTCTTCTTGTGCTCGAGCATTGGCAAAGGCCACCACATGCGGCCGCACTTCCAAGCCAACCACTCGCAGATTCGGCCGCGCACGAGCGAGCGCGCGGGCGAAGCCACCCATGTCGCGGCCAATGTCGACGGCATAGCCCGCGACAGGACGGGTATTGCTATGTTCATCACTGTCACCGTCAGAATTGGCATCTCTGAAGGCATCTCCTAACCACCCAGCGCCGATGCGAGGTATGGTCCAGGATCCTTCCAACGGATTCACCGGATGTCGGCTGAGTCGGCTGCCACGCTTTAGCGAGGTGGCTGTTGGGCTGCTACCAACCTGGCTGGAGAGAACGGCCAAGATGTCCTTCACTGAATCCAACTGGGGGTCCATGAATTGCAGGCCGTAGAGCGCGTTGCTGGCTTCCTGGAAGATACAGAAAGTGTGCAGTACAGTAGGGGGTGTCGAAAATGTGGAAAGAAACAGCATGAATCAGCTGTTTCACTACTGAATTCATGTTCAATCCAAGAAAAAGAGAAAGAATGAGAAAGCGATGCAACAAAACGGCTGGAAATGGAGTCTCCTGCTCAGTGAGCTTCCCATGAAAAGCCGTCACCTTCCGAGCCAAGGCTTCCAGCAATTCCCGGACTTCCAGGGCATCGCTCTTCATGCTCTGGAGCCCATAGAGGGCATTGCCTATGGCCTGTCCATCCAAATTTGTGGCCGCCTCCAGCAGCGGTTTCAACACCCGCAGCAACTGCCGTAGCTCCACAGCGTCGCTGCCCATGCCCTGCAGGCCGTACAGCGCTCCAACTCCCTGAGCCGACAGCCGCTGCTGCGCGGGGAAATCCTGCAGCAACGATGCCAGGGACCGCAGCAGACGACGGACTTCACCAAAGTCGCTGGAGAGATTTTGAAGGCCATACAGCATATTACTCACCGCTTGAGCCGTGAAGCTCTTGGAAGTTCTGAAGCTTTCGGTGATCGTTGCCAGAACATCCACCAAACGAAGGACCTCCGGATCTGCTTCGCTGGTGCTTAAGCCCTGCAAACCATATAAACAACTGGCCAATTGGCGAGCATCCAAGCGCAGGCCTGGGTCACTCAAGGCATTGGTCAGAAAAGCCAAGATGGATGGAGAGTAGACCTCAGCATCAAACGTCAATCCAGGTAACACGCACTCTGACAGAACCACCAAACTCCAGCAGACGTCCCTCTGGCCTCTTCCTGCACTTTTGCTGCTTTGTGAAAAATCGTGGCCAAATTCACTCCTCGGAGGAGTTTAAAACAGGATGTAAGCGGCGACCAAATTCCTCCGCGAATTGAAACCGATCCAGTGACCAAAAAAAAACTACTCTTCACCCACAATATCCACAATTGACAATGGGTATAAGAAATGCCAAACTTGACCACCCAAACCCACAGATTTCGGCAGTTCTCGCCAACGGATAGAATGCAGTCAAGGGACCGTTCAGGGCCCGCCCCTCCTTGACCAGACTTTCCAACAGGCGCCGAAGGGCAGTAGAGCGGGCAGCCACGATGGCCTGCGAGATGTTCGCGAAATCGAGAGAATGTCTATTTCATGCCTTGGAAAAACCAAAAAAATGGATTGTTGAAATATGTTGAAATCAGAAAATGATACTTTGAAGAGTGGGGGTCTCATTCATTGTGATCATTCCGAATCATTCCATGAATATGTTGAAAATGTGGGAATTCTACTAAGTTAAGTTGGATGGAGTAGGTATATTCTTAGATCCACCATTAGAACCGACTGTCCCAAACCAAGAAAATGAAAGCCTTTGTCGAACTCATGTGCACTTAGTCCACCCCTTTTTTTGAACTCGGCCGATCCTTGTTGGTGCGGACGTACCAAAATTGTCGATGCCCCGGGCTTTTGGTCCGAATGGCTGAGCCTGGCAGCATGACAGTGGCTTGTCAGTATGCCTGCAGCCTTCAAACACTGGAAGAGGCCTCTGGCGGCTTGTCGCGCTATGAGTATGACCTGCAAATGCGAACTCAAGGAAGACTCGAATTTGATGTGGGGCTCATTTTGCAGAATAAAGAGAGTTTGTCGGCTGAGGGGAGTCCAAATGTTGCCATTCCAACACGCCCTATGTGTGAAACAACTGCTACAGGTTGGGTGACCTGGGTGAGATAAGGAACTTATTTGCGGTTCATTGCAAAATGTCACCGGGTCTCAGGGCCGCACTGTCGAAAAGCAGCAAATACTGAGCGTAGGTCTGGCCGAGATGGCTTTGTCTCAATGAGAAATCTTCCAAAAATCCACAAAAATTGGACCAAAATCTCATCAGCATCGGTACCTCCAGCCCAAAGTCAGCGTTGAAGTCGTTCGATCAGCCCTATGGCCTGTACCACGGTGCAGTCGCAGCGTGGGGTGGTGACATCCGCCGGGTCCGGGCCGGGGCCCCGCGGGGCCGAGCCTGGAACTTTCGGGTGTGGCGGTGCCACAAGGCCATGGCAGCTCAGCATCTCCAAGCTGCTGGCTATGATGGCTATGATGGCTGTGATGGCTGTGATGGCTGTGATGGCTATGCGGGATCAACGAATACTAACATTATCTAACACTATTATACACTATTTACTAACTTGTTCAATGTGGTTTTTGGTTTGGTCTCGTCCTGGTTTTCAGAGTTCCCTCAGAAAATCTTGCAGAAGTTGCTATCCCTGTCATACTTGAGACACCCGGCTTTGGGGTGCTTGAGACCGCAACTGGAAGCCCATGAAAATAATATAAAAATAAGATCAAGATCGGCATCCAACAAATGACACTCAGTGCTGTCCTCCTCGGAACTCCTGCAGGGGCGCAGTCTGCATGCTACCAATTCTGCCATAAGATTTGGAAATGTCAAAAACAGCCAAATGCACTTCAAACACTTCTTGATGTTCCATGATTTCCCATACTTTCCCCATCAACAACCAGCCGGTTGTCTTTGGAGTTCCCAGCACCAACAGCTCCCTGGATGCTGTCTGATCCGTCATGACGTCATGACCAACGTGGATCTCCTGTTCGATCGAGCTCCAACAGAAGTCTTCCTCACCTGGCAAAATCTGAATCTAACCAGCCCCTCTCATATTGTCTTTGAGCCAAATAGATGGGAAGGTAGCTCTAATGGATCCACCAAAAATGACAATCGACTTTCCCCAGAGGGGTCATAGCTTGGACTCCGGATCCTGGTGATCCTCCCATAGGTCCCATAGGTAGGGGTGGAATTCCCATGGAATCCCCTTCCGCCTGTGCACGACTAGCTCTCCCGAGACTCCGAAGCATCGCCGTCGCAGCGAAGGAGCTGGCCAAAGCCATAACACCTGGACCGCTGCTCCTGCGAGAAGTCCAGGTCATTCTAAAGGGGGCCAAAAAAAAACTGAGCACACATGCAACGGCCATGTTTTGCGAATAACAAATCTGTATATCACAATCATATGTTCGAATACATTACAATTATGCAGCATCTAATATCTTCTGATCACATTGAAATCATTCCAAGTCCTGACACCTGCAAGCTTGGCGTCTCCGTCCCCTGAAGTCCCCTGTGAATCAACATCAACGCCGTCAACGTCCGCTGTCCTAGAAGGAGCATCTAGTCTCTTAACCTGCACGGCTGCAGGGCTCAACCAAAAAGTGAAATTGGAGAAATATGATATGTTTTTTCTCTAAATTTCCATCTCATGTTCCATGTCATTTTCTCATCTATGTTTCCCATCTATAATATATATCATGATATGTCAGTTTTTGTTGCGGTTCTTCTATGTCTCTTCTGCTCTTTTTTTCACAGCCTTGAAATATGACCCCGTGTAGAACAGAGAAAGTTGATTTTAGCAACAAAAAAAACAAACATAATCACCAAAACAACAAATCGACAGGAAGAATCACCAGAAAAAAAAGAACAAGAAAAAAAATAACAAAACCTGCATTTTTCCTCAGTTTTTGTTTTTTTGGTGTTTTTATTTTTTTTGTCAAGCCCTATATTCTCTGTGTTGCTGGACTCATAAGCCTTGAAGCCCGGAGCCTGAGGTTCTGCCACTCGTGGAAGCGTTGCCGGAGCCAGCAGAAAGTCGGGGTTGCTGCCCTCACGAAGCAGCGGTGGGTGAGGTGACTTCCAAGGGATAAAATCATGGAGCCACAAATGCCAAACAGTTCCATTTCTCCACTTTGAATACTTTGAAAAGGAAAAATCTCTGGAAAGAAACAACTAGGAATTCAAAGGAAGGTCAAATTTAAAATATAGATCAAAAACCTAGAAACTCAAAGGAATTCACATCCATTCACATCCTCCCAACACCAAGATCTCTCTTCACAAGAAACGTCCAGAGCCTTGAGGCAAAGCATCCCCCCCGCGGCCACAAGGGCCGTGCCTAGGGAGGTTTAGCACAACATGTTTGGGTTGAGAATCCTCGAATCATCAGAGTGGAGACAGTCCAACATCGTGGCCCTGTGACCATGTTGTGGTTCTTCATGCTTGGGGTTGAGCTTGGCCGAGGCATGTTTTCGATTGTGTCATCTGACGAACCCTGTGCGATTGCTCCAACAAACGTCCAACTGAGCTCTGGAACCTCCCAAAATGCTCCGGCTTCGCTCGCTCATGGCCTCGAAAACCCCAACAAGCGGATAGGCGTTGGTACTGACAGTGGACCTTTTTAGGGTCCCAAGTTTGAGCCAAAGCCAAATTGAGTGGCTCTCTTGGCCCCTGGCCTCAAAAGTCCGTCAGGCGGGGCCAAGCGGACACTTAAATCAGCGAAGCTGTGGCCAATGGCAGCAGAAGGGCACAGGATCCCACTGGTCAGATCTGGTCAGGGGCCCCCTGGCATCCTCCAATCATCTTGGTCCACAAAATATCATCCTAGCCTTTCCTTGGAAAATGATACTGACGTCCTGGCCTCAAAAGGTATCAAACATCAAGAATAGCTACACTACACTATGCACCTGTCAGGTACCACCTCACAGCATGGAAGATAGCCACATCCAGTGGTTCCAGCCGTGGTTCCAGCCGTGGTTCCCTGGAACCTCCTTGAGTTCCTCCAAAGGCTTCAGGGGAGATGGCTCTTGTTTCAAGGCCTGAAGGAGCTGCGGCATCATCCTGGCGTCGGGAGAAGGGTCAGCTCCAGGACGCCAAGAATGGATGGTTTTAAATGGTGTTTAATATGTTTTAATGACATAACACATGATATAAGTGATTAAAATATATTAGGAGAAGAACCAAATGTATGGGTCTACTGATCCCCGAACGGCTTGACACATCTTGGGTCTGCCAGCAACACCACCATGCCACCAAGCAGGGCAGCAGGGCATGGCAAATTGCATGACCATAGGCAGCTTCAATAGCTCCATGACGCCAGACTGCGACGGTGAACGAGGGTGGGTCAAGTCATTAAGGTTCCCAAATAATGGGATGTTTAAAATATGTATATATATAACATTATATAACTAATTATATAACTATATAATTATATGGACATATTAATAATATGACTATGATATGACCCAAAAAACACAGAGGTTTTCTGGATCTAGTGCAAAACCACTAAAACCTGCCTCGATGATGAGGCCTCCAGCAGATGGAGCCATGCAGGCCAGATGAATGGCACAAGCAGTTCCCAAACCTGGTTGTGATCTGATCACTTGTGACATCTTGTGACCAAACTTCCCCAAAGTCCTCGGATTTGAGGGAATCAGAACAGTTCATATCCAGTCATATCCAGTCATATATCCAGTAAAAAAATCCAGTTCATATCCCGTCTACCTTTAGGATCATTGAGGCTGCACCAGGCACCATGGCACCATGCGCCCTGAGGGGCCAACTCCGGCCATGCAGAACGATGGGCACATCGGCCTGTCTCAACCACTGCACTAGGCCGACCGAAACATGTGAAAGTCATGACAGTTGCACCGTGGCACCTCAATCTCCGCAGCCGCCAAGATTTGGGGCAATGCCTGGTTCATCAAGAATGAAATCAAAAGCCCATTGGGACAAATGCAAGCACTTCAAAGAGACCTGAAGAGGATGAGCACGCAAAGCAAGATATGATAGGACTGATAGGAAGATAATGCAAAATGATGCAAAGTGATGCAAAATGCAGCTGTCAGTTCTCCTGTCATCTGTTTTGTCAGACTCATTTCTACCTTCGCAGCGCCTTCATCAAACATTCACAGTCTGGATATAGAAATCTCAGACTCGGCGTCCCTTCACTCCAGGCGTAGCCACGGAACTGCCAAGGCAGTAGAAGCTGATTTTCGCCCGGCTTTTTCACACCCGCTGTTGTCCAAACGTGGATGTTTAATGATGTTTATTGATGTTTATTGATGTTTATTGATGTTTATTGATGTTTATTGATGTTTATTGATGTTTATTGATGTCTAATGATGTTTATTGATGTTTATTGATGTCTAATGATGTTTATTGATGTTTATTGATGTTTATTGATGTTTATTGATGTTTATTGATGTCTAATGATATTTATTGATGTCTAATGATGTTTATTGATGTCTAATGATGTTTATTGATGTTTATTGATGTTTATTGATGTTTATTGATGTTTATTGATGTTTATTGATGTCTAATGATGTTTATTGATGTTTATTGATGTTTATTGATGTTTATTGATGTTTATTGATCTCTAATGATGTTTATTGATGTTTATTGATGTTTATTGATGTTTATTGATGTTTCTTGATGTCTAATGATATTTATTGATGTCTAATGATGTTTATTGATGTCTAATGATGTTTATTGATGTTTATTGATGTTTATTGATGTTTATTGATGTCTAATGATGTTTATTGATGTTTATTGATGTTTATTGATGTTTATTGTTTTCTAATGATGTTTATTGATGTTTATTGATGTCTAATGATATTTATTGATGTCTAATGATGTTTATTGATGTCTAATGATGTTTATTGATGTCTAATGATGTTTATTGATGTTTATTGATGTCTAATGATGTTTATTGATGTCTAATGATGTTTATTGATGTTTATTGATGTTTATTGATGTCTAATGATATTTATTGATGTCTAATCATATTTATTGATGTCTAATGATGTTTATTGATGTTTATTGATGTTTATTGATGTTTATTGATGTTTATTGATGTCTAATGATGTTTATTGATGTCTAATGATGTTTATTGATGTTTATTGATGTTTATTGATCTTTATTGATTTTCATTGATGTCTAATGATGTTTATTGATGTGTATTGATGTTTATTGATGTTTATTGATGTTTATTGATGTTTATTGATGTTTATTGATGTTTATTGATGTTTATCGATGTTTATTGATGTCTATTGATGTTTATTGATGTTTATTGATGTTTACACGTCCATTGATAATAGGTTTGCATGGCAAATTTCAGGATGACCCGTTCCCATATATAAATCAAATATGCAAAATCAAACAAAAATAACATGATTTTTATAATTACAAGCCTTGACCCATGTCCATTTGCAGAGAATTCACCGTTTTTTTACCGCCAAAAAACACACCTCCGGGCAAAGTATGGCACCAAAGCCACAATCGAAAAATTTCTGGACGTCACCCTGGCAGCGACATCTTTCGAAATCTGGGGAATGGTGTTGACTGGTCGAGCTCCCAAAGTTCTTGTAGTTTTCAGAGGCTTTGAAATGACTGCATGGGTTAGTCCAGATATTATGGATATCTGATATCCCAAAAATGCTCATTGTCATAGGGAGAGTGGTGATTAAACCATGACAAACCCGACATTTCGACGCCTCCAGATCTGTGCACAGCTCAGCGTTGGCGTGGAAGTAGATCAGCAAAGCCTGGCTGGCGAATTGATGTTTCACTGCTGATTCGCCAACAGATCTTGAAACCATGCGCCCAGATAAGCTCCGGCGCAGAGGAGTATGTCTCGGGGTGTCTGGGTTTTCTTGGATCATCAGTGGATGCACACCCTGACCTGGATTCTTTTGAAATGTTGAACGGAACAACATCTTTTTTTGACAAAAAAACCCATGGGGTCCAGCACTGGCCAAAATCCCCCAGATCTCGATATCTTGGTATCGCCTTGATGGAAGCAGAGGACTTGTACAGCCGATACGCCAAATTCACATCCTTGGCCTCAAAGGTGGAATCGATCCAAGGACCTGCCGATCCATGGCTGTGACTCATAGGACGCCCAAGTTCTTGATGGCTTATCATCATACCATTGAAAAGGGCCATATGTTGGGTTCCCATGCCGCATTCTGAGACAAACCCAGGTCATATTGTTGATTTTAAGCGTAACTGTAATGTAACTGCGACTGTAACTGTAATTGTAATGATGTAGTTCAATGCAGCGCAGATGCAATGTATGTGTGTGTGTATGTGTAATAATAATAATAATAATAATAATAATATATATATTTATATATATTATAGTTGTATATATTTATATTATCTATATACTATCTACATTAGTGTTTTTATTTTTTGTGTATTTTGCATCCCAAATTCCCATTTTTCTCTCTGGACGCTTGCTTCCTCCATCGCCTCCCGAACCCGCCTTTGGAAGGCCGACAGCGTTGAGGCCGGAAAGCCACACTGGCCACTAGCTCGCTGTCCTGGGGGATAGGACATCTATAATGATACAGTAACAAGATTCTGCACGGATAATAGGGTTGCATAAGTATCATCAAAATGATTCTATGATTCTATATTCATCTATGATCTATGATGATTTATGATAAACTATCATGATCTATGATAATCGATGATTTAGGGTACCAAAATTCAAATATCATCCATGATGTATGTTTTTCATGTTTAATCATCTATATAATTTTCCATCAACCATAATCCATGATCAATCCTGCAGAATCCTGCAGGGTGATGCTGATCCAGCTGTGGTGTCCGGGATCAGTTCCATTTCATTTTGCGGCATCAGGAAGGCACTTTCCAGCAAACCCTCCAGCAAACTAACATGGGCTATGGATATCAATGAATTTCCCTATTTTCCCGAGGAAAATGATCTAGAAATGGTGCCTTGTCCATAACAAACTGCTGGAGGGTAAACTAAGGCTCCAACCCACAGGCTCTTGGATCTAGCCATGGCACTTAAGTCACCATGACCCTGGTCAACCCAGTCTTTGTAGGGACCTAAAATTTGGAGGTGGTGTGCCAACATGGTAGGCCGGTGCTGCATGCGAAACTGGATGATCCACGACTGTCAGTCTCAACTGATGAATTGATTCTACTTCTTTTCATGGCACAATTGATTGAATCATTTCCACGAAGTATGTGAGCCGTGAGCCAAAGCTCATGGGTTGGTCAGTGTGTTGCTGTCAATTACAAATCAGCCAAACTTCCGATCTTCGTCATGCCACGCACAGCTTCTGAATCGCCCCGGTAGCACTTTTCTCATCACTTTCAGGCGCTTCACTCAGTTTCTCTTTCAGCCAATCAGATTTGCAATAGGTCTCCACCCAGGCCTTCCGGAAACTGCACTGCCACAAGGCAGTGGTCTCCACAGGTCTATGGTTACAAGATGTTACAAGCCACTCGTGGAAGCTTCATGAAGCTTCTGGATATCGCATGATATGTCTGTTGGGATACCCGGATACCCATGGCATTTCGAGGTCGTGGCGGTGAGTTCGGAAGCTTTCTGCTTGCCCACCTCGGTGCATCGGAACGAGGACACACCAAAACACCAAAGGTCGCATCTTGAAATCGGCATCCGAGGTGCGAATGGCTTCAGTTCAGAAAGCATCTCATTGGGCATTTTCCCGCTCATGAGCAAGCGCACCTCGATGAAATTGACCCAGCAACAGCAACCAACAGTGACCAACGTGGCGTCGACATTCACAAAGATCCCTGAGATCTGCACTGTCAACTCCGCTAGTTTCACGAGGGCACTGTCACCAATGCTTGTCAACAAGCCCTCCATAAGCCTGCACAGCAGCTGCACAGCAGGCCGAGATGCTGAATTACTGAGTCACTTGGTCTAGCGCCTCAGTTTTTGCTCTGTGTCCTGCTTCAAACGCGCTTGGTCCTGCAAAATCTCACTGCAGCTGTACGCCAAATCAATCCAGACCTAAGACTCGACTGGTGCTACTCGGTGCTTCCTCCGGAGTAAACTTTTGCACCAATGGACCGAACTCACCCAGCTGCTCTCCATCTTCATTGGGCCTCAAGGGATTTCTTGAAATCTGCAACCTTTGGGGAGCCCCAGATCCACAGCTCCAAGCCGCTGACGCGGCAGCTTCCGTGGAATCCTCATTCTTCACCTTGACAGCTCCGTTTGCAGATCCCGGGATGGCAGGTCAAAACCTGTTGGGAAAGCAACGGAAATGATGTCATCCTAGATATCTACTTGATATCTACAACCAAACTTTCCAGTGATGAAATGTGATGAATGTCCTCAGATCTGGTGGTGAAAGATCCAACTGACACAGCAAGGGCAGCCTCTGCGTCCTGGCCATGTCTTGGTCGGCATGCAGAATCCAAGAAAAAATCCAGAAACGATGAGAAAAGCCAGTGTCACATGATCTTACATGATCTTACATGATGCAACAGATGATGCCAATTGTGATTCGATTGCCGGTTGAAATACATTATACATCATAATATATCATGATATATCTAATAGCAAAATAGATAGCTAGATATCCTCAATCCTGAATCCTTGAATCATTTGTGGAAACACGTACCCCGAGAACTTTGAGCACCAGGAATCGATTTTTTGGTCGTCTCAAACCGGGGGATATCCCATCCCAATGAAAACAATGAGATTTGGATGCTCGAACTTTCGGGACAATGACAATGCCAGGTGAGATCCATGTCTGACAAATGTCTGATTCAAATGTGTCCTCCTGATCTTCTGACGCATCCCCGTTCTCCTGCGCCAAAATCACACCAAGTCTGGAAACGGTGTTATCAAAGGATCAAAGCCAGAGCTGGAGCTGTTGCAACTGGTCCTCGGGCTCTTCGGACTTCTTTTTACTTTTTCGTTTCTTCTTTTTCTTGGCTTTTCCATTCTCCTGCCATTGGTCTCTACATGTCTCTACCCACGTGTCAAGCCCAACAGCTATATCAATCGATTTTACCCTTCACTGCCAGCAGGATCTCTGTCCTTCTTGGACTTCTTCTTTGATTTTGTCTTGGAGTCCTTTGACTTTTTGCTCTTTTTCGGCTCTTCCTCATCAATCTCCTTGTCCTCCTCTTCCTCCCCCTCACTGACTATCTCAGTGGCAACCTCCTCTTCACTGTCGTCCTCCACCGTGGCAATCTCAGCTTCTTGACGTCGCTTCTTCCTCCTCTGCCAAGCTGAATCGCCTTCCTCCTTGGACTCCTTTGAATCCTTCACCGTCACCTTTTCACCTTTGGCCTTGGAACATTTGGATACATTTGGAACATTTGGAACCCTCCAACAAGAAGTTGAACAAATCACAAATCACACTGAAATGACCCACGAATAATGGAAAATGAAAAGACACATCATCCTAAGTGGCCAACCTGCAAATGCTCTGCCAAGTATACGGACCTCAAATAAGAACTGAAAGTATCGATGAAAGGTGTGCCTCTGATCCAGGGGCTATGTGACCTGAAACCCAAGCCCCAAACAGAAACTCTTCTCCATCGGCTTTGTATGCCTTTCCAGAAACGTGTTTGAATCAGCGCGAGATACTGATGCTCATTGCTTCTCAACCCCACCAAAGCTTCGGTCAACGAAGGTCTCAAACAAACAGCAAGTCGGTAAGTCGGTCAGAAATGGGGCCGTTCAAAACAGCAATTAAATCAGTGGAGAAAAATCAGTGGCATCAGTCGTTTGGCAAACCTCTGCGGAAGAGCAGAAGCGGGCTTTCTGGCCCACCTGAGCAGGGCCACATCTCCCGGAAGACTGTGCTTTTTGCTGTGCTGATCTGTGCTGAGTCTTGCCTTCTTTTGAATGTCCTTCTGCAGGCGGGACAAATCTGCTATCTTGTTTCCACCTTAAAAAAAGTGCGGGCATCGAAATTCTGGGCATCGAAGGGCTTGCGAGCAAGCCCTCAAAAGGGGGGTCAAATGGATAGAGAGGAAGATCCTAGAACAATGAAGATAATAAAGACCTTGGATGATTTTGGATGACCTTGGCATGGTTCCTCCTCTCTGTGATGACCCCTAGAAGCAGCTGGACTCTGCTGAGATCTGCTGAGATCTGGCACTGAAATTTCGCTTAGTTCTGGACTTAAGCAAAGCACCAGAGGATGAAGCATCACCGTCGAGTCGGAGCTAAGCAACGCCGCTGGGACCCCAACCACAAATGTAAAAAGGCACTGGGTCAAGGGATCCATCATGATCTATCATGATCTATCATGATCTATCATGATCTATCATGATCCATGTCTATATGGCATATAGTCCGCAGTGCTACCTATTGTTGATCCATGTTGATCCTGTTTCATCATTCAAAGGTCAACTGTGTCAGCAGTGCCATGGATTCTTTGCTCACCAGGCCTTGACTTCCGCGGATACGAGGGATGGTTGTAGAGGCATCGCAGGAAGGACGAGACCACGTTGTCGTCGGCATTGGCCTTGCCATCAATTTGGATCGAAAGCATTGGCTTCCCAGCTCTACATCCGACTTGAACATCGATCAACTTTCAGGCAGTTGGCACTTCAGGAAAATGAGCCGAACCCAATATGAATCAACCATGTTCCCATCTTCAATGCGAAGTTAGCCAAAGTCACACCTCGACCGTGATCTCATTGTCCGCCAAGGAGATTTCGTGAAAAGGCTCAGAGCAGTTCCAAACGTATGCCTCGAGCGCACTAAGACCTCGAAGCAAACCCAGACTGTGAAGGCTAAGCTGCGGGTACCATGCTGAAAAAACTGGCCACAACGCCAGTTACCACCCTGCCTTTGTTGCCAGCTTTGTTGGAGCTCAAATCCAAGGAATGAACCTCAAACTGTACGTGTGACCCCTCCGTTGAATCTTCCCTTTGGACGCCATCTGTGTTTGTGAAAATTGGTGGCTTCAACCCCTCCGAAAGCATTGCGTAAATCTGAAATGCTGCAATACCATAATTACTAGTTATAGCCGGGATTGTCAGTCTTATCATTTCATTTCATGTCATTTCATTTCATGTCATTTCACCTCATTTCATGTCATGTCATTTCATTTCATTTCATGTCATCATCATCATCATCATCATCATCATCATCGTCATCGTCATCATCATCGTCGTCATCATCATCATCATCATCATCATCATCATAATCACCATCATCATCATCATCATCATCATCATCATCATCACCACATGTAGGGTGGAACTACACTACAGCTTGAAACCACCAAGCTTGTCCATTTCAGCTGGGGCTTGCCACTCGCACGGACAGCTGCCGTAACCGCTCGACGATGCGGGCCACGCTCTCGTCAGAGAGGTCATTCCTCGACGGCTGCGGATGGCAATCATCTTGAACGGATAGAGGTCGACATTGACAGACATTAAGATCCAAGTTATCCAAAAATATTCCAAAAAAGAAAGGAGCTTTATCATCATTCATCTTTATTCTATATGGCACTGCTGAAAGTAGCCAAGATTGATGGATCCGATTCTAATCCGATTATGTGTCATTACATTTTTACGTTAAATTTCCCTGGTCTTCAGTCTGCATCATCTCCAATTATTGGGAAGCAGTTGCTGCAACGTCATGCTGAGGCTAGAACTTTGAGAGGTCTAAGCTGCCAATTTGCCAGGGCCTTGAATCGAGAGGTCCCGGCTCCGCCCTTCTCGAGGTCCCAAGGATAGCAAAATGCTGGTAAGGATATGGTAAAATAATGCAAAATACATCAAAATACACCCAAAAATTACCAAAATACCTGGTGCTTAATTTGAAGGTGAGCGTTTGCAATCATTTTTTCAGCAACGCCTGAATTTCTGCTGCATTTCTGCAGCATCCTGGGATCTCGCACTGCACATTGCTTGCCCCATACTTCCGCAGCAACCAGGACCTAAAACAAATGCAGCAACAAAAACCCAATCTGTGTAGCTGGACTCTTCTGGACACAACTTGGGTCGGTCCTATACTGATTATACTGCATCACAATCATCTGAATTCGGTATCACAATCCAACAAAATTCAACATCTGAAGTGACGACACACCTAGCCGAATGATGCCGAATGGAAACAACGCTCTCAGTTCTTCGCTCGATGCAAAGAAGTAGGTCTTCCACATGCCGATCCTGACCTTGCAACAATTGTGGAGAATTGGGAACTCCCACCTCTCGACTCCTCCCAACTCTCCGTGCGCACAGCGGTGCAGCTGGGTGACACATGTTGTTGCTCAGGGTCACCTCTGGACCGTGGGCACCTTCCCTCACATGCTGTTGGACCTCATGGTCGTCCAACAGCATCCAACAGCAACGTGGTTCCACGTCATGATCAGCGAGTCAGCATTCAGCATCCGCAGTGTAGGACACCGACAAACGCCATGTAGTTCTCCGGCTTTTCCGTGGCGTAGTCACGTTGAGAATAATAGTTTGGGTATGCCTCAGCTGGAAGCCAACGGACTGTGACCACTCAAGAGACTGTCACATGTGTCTCATGGATGTAAAGTTTTTTTCAAGGCATCCAAAATGTTCCAAGTCAGGGCACGGAATGATACTGATAGTAAGAGTTCGAAGCATCCTGTCGTGCGAGCCAACCGAATGTCACAGCCCTTGAAGAATGCATAAGTGAGCGCAGTCCCACATGAGCTCATTTCAAGGACGCTTGTGCAGGACTAAATTCTGTTGTTTTGACACAAATGAGATGCTACAACGTGCAGTGCCACAACAACCATTCAACAAACGAGTTGGGTGGTGGAGAAAGCAAAGGCTGCTCCCCTTGTGCTTGACAATGTCATGCCCACAGGCCAGAAAGACCCCTGAAGACCATGCCTCAGCACCCATGGGTTAGCAAAGTACGGGGGAATCTTTGAAGACCCGATGGCACGGATGGCACGGATGGCACGGTATGCTGCACTTTAAGGTGTCTTAGGATGTCTTAGGCCAAGGCCGCCCAGTTTCGGTAGCTCCCACCCCATCCATATCCCGCGAATGCGCTGGCCGGAAAAGCCTGATGTGGGCGGCGAGTAAGATCTCATTGCATCCATCGTTCTTCTCGGGGTACGAAGAAGCGGGCATTGCCACCGATCTTTTGCAACAAACTTCTTCAGCTCGTTTCGACCCAAATTTCGACTCCAAATCAAATCAATCTACAATGATCATCAATGATCTACAATTTGTTACAGTACATAGTTTTCTCATGTTTTCTCAGCTCGTTTCTGACTTTTGAACAGACATCCTGGCCGCAACCAGTTGGCCACAACCCGTGCCTCGGAGCCTCCAGCCGCGCTACCTGGAACATGGTTCGACCCGGTTGGACCAGTTGGTTTCCTCATTTTTCAAAGTTAAAACTATTGAATCATGAATCCTCCAATTTTGGTCAATTTTTGAATTCGTTTGAAAGTGAAAATGTTGAGTCATGTTGAGTCATGTTGAGTCACTCTCAGATTTGAGAGTCATGCACCCTTGCAATGAATCGAGAATGGCCCTGGCAATCATGGCCGTGGTGCATTTGTGCATTTACATCTTCTTCAAATTGACCCTCCAGCAAAGGAAGTCCAAAACATGTTGGTAAAAGTATGTTATTGAACATCCACTCGGTTTTAGAGGCCATCTTGGGTGGTAGTCACAACAAGGTTCCATGAGCTATGTTTTCACATATTGTATAGAAGTGATCCAAAGCCCATTGTGAACATTATCCCCCGTTCGTGACGTGGGGGGGAAGGCAATGTACAGCAATTAGTGGCGGCATTTCAATCAGATGCTGATCTTCAAAAAAAAAATGTCCATTGAAGACCCCTAACAGGAAATCCCAGTTCTAGTTGTTTCAAAATGGGACCCCAGTCCATCCCCATCAGCATATAAAAATCATAAAAATGATGATAAAAATGATGAAAATGTCGACATAAAATGATATAAATAGAAAGGTTTGGGAGGAGGTGCAGCATGCACTCATCTGTCTTTTCCTCTGCTATGCAGTAATCTGAAGGTTAGGCTGTGCCGCTGTAGATGTTGACAAGTCACATTGTTATGGACATAACAATGGGTTAGCAAAAGGTGGGGTATCAAAGATGACCCACACACTTTTGAGATGATAGAGTCAAAGGAACAACCTTTAGACATCTAACCTAAACCCTACCCAGAACCAAGTAATGGGAGAGGCTTAAGGTAAACCCGTCAAAGCCCTCCCCCCCCATCACCCCGCACAGGGGATCAGGGAGAGGAGGGAGGGATGAAAAATACCAAACGTGGAGGGGCTGGTTGGCTTGAGCCAAAATGTCAAGCCAACCAGCCCTCCTACACAAAACCTTTCACATCACATGTGGACCCTTCCCAACCATCCTACTCACATATAAGATAAGAAAGGTTTGGGAGGAGGTGCAGCATGCACTCATCTGTCTTTTCCTCTGCTATGCAGTAATCTGAAGGTTAGGCTGTGCCGCTGTAGATGTTGACAAGTCACATTGTTATGGACATAACAATGGGTTAGCAAAAGGTGGGGTATCAAAGATGACCCACACACTTTTGAGATGATAGAGTCAAAGGAACAACCTTTAGACATCTAACCTAAACCCACCGTAATGAATCACCCACTGTCAACATCCCCTATCGGCGCAGCAAGCTGTGCTAACAGATTCTGGGGTTCCAGAAGCGGAGGAAAATCAAAACTACGGACATCCCAGTCTTGGGTCGATGTCCAGGGGTCAGAAAGTCCGAGCCTCGACAGGCCATCGGCCGGATTGGACTCACTGTCGATCCATTCAAACCAAGGGCGGATCCGTAAGGCACTGAACTGGATGTGAGCCTGCTGGACCATCAGAAGGATATCGGGTTCGGCAGAGGTCACGCGCACCAATGAAGAGGCCGCGCCTTCATTGTCAATGAACCACAGAAGATCGCAATCACGGAGAAGGTCAGCACATAGGTAAGGTATCACCACAGATGCAATAGTCTCACCAGGATATATCTGCTGCAAGCGGGGCTTCCACTGGTCAATGACCCGTGGGGGAACAATGCAGGTTCCACCCACTGGTCGGCCCGATGGAGGAAAAATGATCCATCCCAAGCGTAAAACGCCCTCTTCGAATGATGCATCCGAATACACCGTAGTAGTAAGTTCCAAAGAAGGGAACACCGGAATGTCCCGAGGGCGGGCAAAAAGCACTGCCTGGCGAAGGGCTAAAAGTTGTTGGCGTTCCAAAGGTTGCAAAGACTCATCCTCGCCTGTCTGATGGTGGCTTAGGACAGGGCCAGCAATTTTACCAAGGTGGCCCATGCACATAGTGAAAAGCCAGGTCACATCGCCTCGCAACTTGCCCGCATCGTCACGTGGCAGACGATCATGTAACAGAATCTCATCCAACTTTGCCAACACCTTGGCTGTGGTGGTGAACTTGGGCTGTACCCGGACAAGCCCAGAGAGCACGAAGTCACCCGTATGGATGGAGGTTCCCAAATAGTGGCGATTGCAAGAGGGCAGAAAACCCTTGCCAGGCTGTGGGGCCGCACCCATCAGGCGGAACACCAAGCGAAGACCGGCCTGGGAGCAGTCAGCATCAGCAATCGCCTCGATCGCCAACTCATCGTCAAAGTATGCAGCCGCCAGAGACAATGTACATCGGCGGGCAATCGCGATTCCAAGCTGGGGGAACCGGTTAAAGGAAACCACCGCACTCTCGAGGCCAAAAGCTAAGCCCCATAGGACAGTGAAGCGCCATCCAGTGCCCGGGATGTAAATGGCGACCACTGAAAATCTCTGGTGGTCTGGGTGGACCGGGAGGCCTCTGTAGGCATCCGGAAGGTCGTCCGTGCCCAGGCGCAAGCGCAACCACGGGTGAGCGGCCAACACGTCAGTGGTGTGGTGGAGTTGCAAGGCAGCACTGATGGAAGCTGCAACAGAGGCAATCATGTCAATGCTAACGGTAAATATCGTCTCTGACATCGACGTAAAGGCATTGTGCTTGGTCCGCTTGGCATTGTCAATCATTCTGGTCTTGCCATCAGCTTGGCGGATAGCAAACCGCTCCAATGGCCGCCATTGGCCCTTGCCGAACCGGGCATCGACACCGGAGCGAGACATGAATGCAGAGCAGAAACCTTTTTCCTGCTCAGCCACCGTCTGGGCCAAGATGTCCTCAGCTTCTTTCGGCGGCTTAGAGTGAACCAAGGCGTCAATGACCTCGTCAGCATGAAGGAGCCAATCATCCAAGGTAGCGATCTCGCGCGGTGGGATTGGCCGAAAGAGGCCTGTAGGCTCAATGGCCCCCACAATCGGGTAGCCCCGGACAAGGCACTGGGCCTGGAAAATGTCAGGCCAGTGCAGCAACACAGTCAACGCCGCAACGAACCCAGGGCGCTTGGAAGAGGCCACCCGGTGAGCACTCTCCACACGCCAGGAGTCCAAGGCTGCCTCCAATGGTTGCAAAGCCGTAGCCACAGTAGTGAGGATGTGGCGCAAAACACTTGCATGTCTCGGTAGGGCTTCGCGCCAGGTGCAGATGGCCTCCAACGTGAACTGGACGTCAAGTTCCGGCCAGGCCCCAGCCCGAAAAGGAGAGGGCAGTTGCAACGCTTGTTCAATGTGGCCTTCCTTCCCCAAACCGGGGGGCAAAAGATGATCAAGCCCTTTGGCCGAGTCAGTTGGGTGCCGTTGGCCGGAGAGCCCTGCATAAATGCGCGCCCGATCAGCTCGGTGAAGAGGTTGAGGACCCAATTCATCAGTGGACAAGCCTCGGAGGGTGCACCAGGCCGCATAGGCTTGAAGCTCCGCCAGGCGACAATGGGACAACCGGCGCTCCACATCCATCCAAACTTCAGCCGGAACTTCGCAGTCAGGGAAGAACCCCGGGAGTCGTTGAGCAACCGAATGGGCCGTGAAGAGACCAGGCATGGCTGCAATGCGTCCCGGCTCCCAAACTGTGTGCAGCAGCCGCTCGTGCAACTCAACCTCAGGCGCCCAGCGGAGGGAAGGCGCGGGTGTGGCCTCCAGCAACTGGGGAAGCATGCACAGGATGGCCACCACAGAAAAGATGTGGAACCCGTTCCCCAAGAGACTGTTCTGCCGCTGACGCTTCACAGCAGCATCACCAGGGACGTGCTCAAGGCAGTCTGGAGGGATACCCATCAGCTGCGCCCTTTCAGACGGTAAGGGCTGGCGCCAGTCATCTCCCTTCCACAGCAAGGAACGGTCTTCATAGGCCGAGGGGGGAAATCTCCGGGCATCCATGAAAAACTTCTCAACGGCCGAGGGGGAAGAAGCCCCAGTCCGGTCCGTGGGGTGGAAGAATTCCCTGGTAAATGGATGGATGGCCCCCTGGCCATTCTGCTGCAAAACTGCCTTGGGGTCGAACAAAGGTTTGTAGCCCTGATGGAAAAAGCACCTGTTGGGCAAAGGCTTCTCGCCCGTATACTGCAGTTGTGGAACCACCCCGTCACCAGGGACCCAGTCCCAGCAATCGGGGGGTCGCAGTCCAGGGTGGATGGTGTGTCGCCGGGAAGCCAACCAGTAGAGACGTCGCCTCTGGACCCAGCCGCAGCCAGCACTATCGATGAGGACTGGCTCGCCTTGCAACCACTGGTTGTACTGGGCCCTCACCTCGGCTGGCATGCTCGCCACATTCTCCAGGAAGACAAGAATCTCCACATGCTCTAGCTCCGGGAGGGCCGCAAACTCCTGGCGTAAACGTTGGAGCTCACGGGGCTGGCAACTCCGGCTATCCTGTAGGCCTTTCCGGGTAGTATTCAGAGCAGAATTCCCTTGGCAAGGACTGCCACCACCCATGAGGACACCTCTGATCTGCCGGCGACGGAGAAAGGGCACGAAGTCAACAGCGTGCAAGTCCTCCACATAGTCGGTGTGGACCAAACCAGGCATATTACTGCAGGCCACCTGGGCAGCCACAGGGTCAGATTCAGCTGCCACTGCATAGAAGTGAACACCCAGTTGCAACAGAGCCATACACAAGCCCGCAATACCCGACCACAGGTCAAGGACAAGCCAAGTGCCGCACAGAGAGGCAGCCCAGGGCACCTGGGGAAGATCACCACGGCCTCGCCAAGTAACCGGTTTGGCCGCCCGCAGGCGTGCTGCAAGGGCACTGTCTGTGCCCCCCCGCCCTCCACCCCGGCTTCCACAAAAACCTGCCGCAGGTTATGTGGGTCAGGGTCGGTGGTGCAAGGGAACCGTGCAACACAAGGATCAGCCTGGGAAAAAGCGGGCTCCTTGGAGCGGTGCGCGGCCCAAGGCACAGAGGAATCCAAAGCCACACGGTCCCCCCGGGCTGGAAGCCCCAGGGGGTGCTGTCCCTAAGCAGCAGGGTGCTCAAGCCTGGTATGTTTCTTGCTCAGGCAGGCGCCTCCTTCAGGCATCCGGACGTCGCAGCCATGGATCGATGCACACCTGGAATCGGAACATCCTCTCCCATCATTCCAAGGCTTGCAGATGCGTTGACCGCCCTTCACTTGGCTGACAGTTTTGAAGGCATCACCCTTGACCTGCCGTTTGCGCTCAGGCGCAGTTGGTTCCGTGGTGGCAAGCCGTTTGGTGGCAGTGGTCTCAGGGACTTCCGCCAGTGGCTGAATGGAAGGACTCCGCCACTCGAGATGACACTCCCGGAGTGCACCATCGAGGGCCCACTGGCCCGGTTGGCCGCGGCGGATGTAAGTCGCCATTTTGCCACGCGTCAATAGGTCGTTGCGTTGCATCCAGAGGAGGCTGCCACCACCAAACTCCATTGTATCCTTCAAGGCCCGATCACAGTAGTGCAATGCGCAGGACAGGTCCATGAACAGAACCTTCTCGGTGCTGCCTGCCGGGGTCATCAAAAAGTTCCCAGCCCAGGCCCATGCGTGGGCAAGCACCCGGAGGGCGAAGTAGTAATCAGTGATGTTCCGAAGGCTGATGGCCGTCTCCTTCTCCAGCTGTAGGTGCAAGCCGCCTGGCAACGCTATGGAGTCACTTGCTCTCGGTTGGGCCATGGTCAGAACAGATCGCACCCGTTTCATTTCCATCACCGTCATTGTCTGCTTCTTGAACTCCCTGTAAATGCGGCTGCGCAATTGCTCAGAGGGTTCCAGGGTGGAGTCAAAGGTGAGGTTGTACCTCTTGGACCAGTCAGCATTCAGCTGTTGCACTGTGCTCTCCGGCAGGGCCTCATCCAGGTCTTCCGATTTCGGCGCAACCTGGGCCGCATGCTTCAAGGCCTGCTGGCCGGCCTCAAAGGCGCTCTTGAAGCGAGCCAGGGCAATGCGGTTACCCTTGAGGGCTTCCACCTGTTCAACATGCTCGCCCAAGGAGCGCTCCCACTCTGTCGCCTGGATCATGTACACAAAGTCATCCAAAGTGGTGATATGGTGAGTGCGGGTGTAGCTCTCAATCCATTCTGGTTGCAGGTTGGAGCCACTCAAGCATGCCGCCAAGCCCCTGTCATCTTGATGAACGTCGATTTTGGCCATGGTCAACAGAAGTGGTGGTCGAGGGGCCCTGCTGGATCCAAAACTACCAGTGCTGCCCAATCAAACGATCAATGCAACTCATGTAAATCACTAATATATAGTGGGGGTGCCAATGAGAAAAATTACAAAAAGATGAGGTGGTATAACACAGCAACACGACGCACCGATGTAAGTACCAACCATCATCTAAACAAACATGACATGAGGGGGAAACAGACGACTGCACACGTCTCAGAAGTGGCAGCACCTGCATTTTCCGCCCATCATAGGTCAGTTGATCCATTGGCAGTATTGTGCCAAGGAAAGGTACAGCCCCCTGGGCATCCTGCTAAGACACCGCTGGCAGAACTCAGAGCGGTCGATCACCGCAAAGCCACGTCCACGGGCAGCCGGGTCCTGGACAAAGGCGAAGTCCCTGCACCAGGGGATTTGGCGTCCATCAACCTCCTCTCGGACCGCATGGTACTTCTTGCCCTGGCGGAACCACGGCATATCTTCCACCGCTGTGTCATCGGCGATGCAGCCCGCCAGATCATCTCCGTCTGTGTCGTCAGAAGCAGAACTGGAGCTATCCGACGAAGAGTTCCCATCGGCAGCCATGGGCAGAGGAGGCTCGGACCCGGCCGAAGCCCCTTCCACCCCGTCCAAGGCGCCAGGCACCACCTCAATAGCGCCATCCACTGGTGCGTCAGCTGGGCCCGCGTCTGGCAGCATCTGGTGAAGCGCTGCCACCTCGGCCCATTGCCACGAGTCACGGCAAAGGAGACCAGCCTCTGTGCGTGCCAGTTCTCCAGTCTTCTTGTGGAACAAGGTCATGAGGCGGTCCACGCACCTTTGCTTCACCTGGAGGGAACGCAAGACCTTGGAGGCGGCGTAGTGAACTCCCATAGGCATGGAATGGCGGCCCTTCTTTTGAGCTGGGTCTCTCCCACCCCCAGAAGGAAGCTCAGTCCAATTGCCCACTGCTTGAAGGTCCAAGTCAGGCAACTCCATCACGTTTGCCATTGTCGGGAGGAACCTACGTAGCCGGTTATACCCAGCGGCTTGGGCCTGGGAAAACTCCACTCCCGCCTGGTAGAGGGCGCCACGAAAAAGCTCCAGAAAACGAGCTCGAGTCATGGGCTTGTTCTGGATGAAGGAGGTAAATTCTGTGACTTCCCACAGCTCCTCCGGGTCGAGGGACAAAGCTGGGAGGAGAAACGTCGCCTCCTTGTCCGCCATGTTGGCATAGAAATCTCGGAGCACCTGGGTCACCCCTTGACCGGCAAGGGTAACTTGTGGCAGCCCCCATTGGTAGCCAGGGCGGGCCCCTTGCTTGCGGGCTTTCCCCTGCGAGCACTGGAAGAGCAGGGCCGCTTCCTGCTGTCCCACCATCTGTGAGCGCTGCAGGTGCTCGAACCGGATGCACCCCAGGGCGGCCATGAGCATTTGGGCCAGGATGACCCTATGTGCTCCTTGGGCCTTCTTCATGAGGATGATCAGGTTGATGAACTCCCAGGGTTCAAGCTCCGGGGCCTGGGTGCCTGTGTGGTGGACTGCATGGAACCTGAAGTGTTTGAGCATCCAATGGTCTGTTGGGAAGGCCGCCCCATAGCTGGATGCAAACCAACGGAGGCAAGCATGCATACCAGCCGCCGCCGTAGGCCCCCCTGACGAGATCTCCCGGAGAAACTCAGCCAGGTGGAGCGGGGTTGGCGCCCGCACATCGTGCCCATGGGCTGCACAGTAGCGTTGCCATCGTCGAAAGGCAGCCACCAAGGCTCCTAGGCGTTGCACAGACAGCCTAGATGCACTGGCCAAGGTCGTGTCCTTGAACTTCTGCAGCTCCATAGGATCGGCCAAAAGCGCCGGTGTGACACCCAACTCAGCCAGGTTGAGAACATGATCCACCAGGAGGTCAAACAGCTGGTCCAGCTTATGCAACTTGGCCGCATCAGCCTTGGCATGTGCGCTCTGGGTGGCGGCAGCCGTCACCATTGAAACTCCTGCAACAGGAAGGCCGGTAGTCAGCAGGCGCCGCATCTTAGTGCTAGGCCCCGGTTCGACTGGAGCTGAAGGAGCCATCTCAACAGACCGAGTGGAGCCGCTCACACTCGACTGCCGGTCCCTGGCAACAGCCGCCCCTAAGGACTCCACATGGCGAAGGGCCTCACGACGAGCGTTCGTCCAAGCCACAGCCAACTTCAAGGCCTCCTGTCTGGAGAGGGTACGGCCAACCCGCTGTTCGAGTTCTTCGTAGCAGGCCTGGGACGACGACCATAGGTGCCGAAAGTCAGCCGCCGTCTGAACGCCCAGCTCCTTGACGGCCAGCACCACATCATCAGGGACGTCGGCCAGGATCAGCAGCAGCTTCCCCTCCAGGCCGCTGTCCAGACGCAACGAACTCCATGAGCTGGTCGATGTTGAAGGTTCCGTCGGCATGACGGGGGAAGTTCTCCGTTGGGAACCGGAGTGGTGGGTCCAGGGTGATGAAGGTGTCCGTCTCATCGTGATACCCCGTCACCTCCAGGAACCCCTCGGCTTCGCCTTCGTCGCGGGCCACCTCGCTGTAGACCTTGCCAGCCGCAATGCAGGGTCTGCACAAGAGATGGACCCGGTCACACTCTGTGCAGACTGCTTGGGGCAAGGCCGGCCGTTGGCACCCTTCGCAGAAGGCGCACGTCCACTCGCCGCACAGCGAGCACGGTTGCCCACCGTACCGGCGGCAGTGGGCAGCAGCCTGGTGGGTCAGCACTGCCCAGGCTTCACGAGCCCCCGGCAGCACGAGCCGCTCGTCCCGGGTCAGGTCCCGGACCCGAACCGCAGGATGGGCCCGGAGGAACTCGGCCGCCTCCTGCCGCCAAACAGCCCAGTCCACGTTGGCGAGGGCCATGAAAAATACCAAACGTGGAGGGGCTGGTTGGCTTGAGCCAAAATGTCAAGCCAACCAGCCCTCCTACACAAAACCTTTCACATCACATGTGGACCCTTCCCAACCATCCTACTCACATATAAGATAATTTAGAAATATCGTGACTTGGAGGAATTCCACCTGTGAATCCATGGAGATCCCGGACCTGGATCCACAGGACCCGGCACCTTGGCTCTTGTCGCGCCGCCGGCGTCGCCGGCGGCTATCATCGCGACGGCGTCGGCCCTGCCCAGTGGAATCTGAGACGTCGCGACTGTGAAGATCTCAAAAAAATCGAAGTTTCATGAAGTTTCCCTGTTATCAGAGGGAAATCCATTGAAATCCAAGTGTTTGGACTGTGGATCCAACTCCGCGACGGTCGCGGCTCCGGCGGCTGCGTCGGCTGCTTCTCCTGAAGTGTTCAAGTCACTCAAGTTGTGGGCCATGGCGAAAGCTATCAAAACAACTCATCAATTTGTGATTTCATGGTGATATACTGGGGTTAATGGTGATTAATAGTATCTATAGTGGTGATATACTGGGGAGAAATGACGATATAGTGGGGACCTGTGGGGATTGTAATGAGATATAAGTTGATATAAGATATATCGCCGCCAATATGATTTTTGGGTGTGCTTGAAAATGGGGCATGCCTGCCAAGTTATGACAGTGATGGGGAAGGGGATGATCAACCATCAAATTTGCGAGGGAACCTATCAGACAAACCCACAGATCAAAACCACCCTCTAAAGATTTAACTTCCTAGACTTGTCCGTCTCAGTCCATCCTCTCCTGCAGCTTCTGCTACTGGAACTGCTTCGTCTTCGACTTTTGCTTCGACTTTTGCTTCGACTTTTGCTGCTGCTGCTCCTCCGTCGGCTTTTGCTGCTGCTGCTCTTGCTGCGGCTTTTGCTGCGGCTTTTGCTGCGGCTTTTGCTGCGGCTTTTGCTTCTGCTCCGCTCTGAGCTACTTCTGACCTTGGTTCACAAGAGTTCCATAAGGGGATCCAAACAGCGCTTGCGGACCTTGCCAACTGGTCTGCAACACAGTACAACTTGCCAAACTTAGGACTGTGACCACAACTCTTCGCGGCATTGCAGAGTCAGAGTTGCATTTGCCTCAACTGTGGAGAAGAAAACCATAGAAAAAAAAACAATAAAAAACAACTTGTGTGTTGTTGTTATTCTTACTGACCTTGTGATTCTTATTGGTATCGTCATGGTGATTTGTTATGTTCGTTTTGTAATCACAACATCAAAATTACATAGCATTGTTGGTGTGTGATTGTTTATATCATTATTATACAGCAAATATAGTTATCAATAGTTATTCAAAATTCGCGATTTGATCTCAACATTATTGTATTGTTACCAATTTGTTATTATCATTGTCATCAGTGTCATCATTGTCATCACTATCATTGTGGATAGGGGACCCTGGCTTCTACACTCAAAACACCTCAAAGCTGATTGCAAATCCATGCAAGAAAATTTTCCCATGTTCCTTTCCGCGTTTATTTTCATCAGATTGGGGCACGGCAGAATCCATTAATCATCATTAAAAATTACACATCATCAATCATCATCAATCATCACAACCATCACAATCATCACCATAATCACAATCATCGTCAATCATCCTCAAGTCATCAAGCAGCATTGCTCATCATTGATCAGTGGTGAATCCTCGGAGCATCTCTCAGGTTTTCAAATTTTCAGCCCAGCTGCAGCCTTCCCTGTCTCCGGCAGCACTGGTCGGCGCGCATCAGACCGATAGATAGAGTTTGATTTGCAGATCCAGTGGATTTTTAGTGAGTTCGGGAGATCCCTGCATAGTTTTCATACGTTGGGTGGGGGTTGGGGCTTGGATCCTTGTTCTACAGATATGCCATCGGAGCTCTCGGAAGGTTTCTTCCTGAATGTGGGCTGAAGCATCTAAGCCATCTGTGTGAAGGAGTCCGTGATGCATCCTTTTCCTACGTGCCCTGAAGCCAACAAAAGGAACACACCAGAAAGTCAGAAAGTGTGGTTGCCCAAGCACAAAGCCACGGTTGCATGTCATGATGCAACTGCTCAATGCATCAGTGCGTCAACACTTTTCAGTCTCCCCAAGTGCTCGACTTTACTACGTAACGATGGACGTTGTACCATGCAACCTACAAATCAAAATGCTGTGTAAACGCCGAATTACGGCATTTGGCTGCCATCTTAACAGCAAAGCTAGCAAAACGTATTGTGGCACAGAAATGCGCCTGACTCCGGAAAATCCACATGCCCCCTGTCACAGCCTGTACGCCTGTGAATGGTCCATGGTGATTCAGGAGGTTTTGAAGCTTTCGATTCTGCTCAGCCACTTTAGGCCTCAGGAATCGCAAAATATATGCACGACAAGCGACAAGGTCAGCACTGCACAATCCTACGAGAGGACTCAAAACTCCGCCGACCCCGGCGCAAAGGGGGAGCGCACACAACCAGAATCAAAAAAGTGTCGACGACGCCGAGGCCGACGCCCACCACGGAACGACAATGCCGGCGGCGGCGGACGACCGACGGCGGACGACCGACGGCGGACGACCGACGACCGTCAACAGTAGAGGCAGTAGAGGCAGTGATGGCCGTACAGCAGCATGTTGTGGCGCCAGAGTTGTTGTGGTAGAGCCGTCGCGGTCGTGGTGCTGGTGCTGGTGCTGGAGCTGGTGCTGCTGCTGGTGGTGGTGGTGATTGTAATTGTTGTTGCTGTTGTGGTGGCAGTGGTAGCCGTTGTTGTAGCTGTTGTTGTTGGCAATTGTGTTTATCTTATTCCAAGGGTTGCCTTCAAACAATACCATTGAAAACGGCTGGGAACGCCCGCTTGGTTTCGAAATTGAAGAAGTTTCCAGGTGCAGAGAAAGCTGTGCCTGGAAACAGGTGGTTGGACAAGAAAGTGGGTGTGGTGCTGTTGCGCTTGGGGAAGAAGGCTTTGCTGAAGTACCAAGTATGGATATGCAGGAGGGCTCGGTGAGGAAAGAATGCGCCTAGTGCAGATATCATGTCATATGAGGCTCAATGAATTCTCACTTCTCAACCAGCTGTCGTCGCACTTCTTCCTGAACCAAAATCTTCGTGATTTCAGCCGAAAGCATTGGATAACTTCATGGGCATGAGTTCCAACCAAACCGTTACACTAGGTACACTGCATACTCAACACGACTCAGACCAACTGCTCCTCTAGCGCCTGGGAGGCCTGGCAAATTATGAGAGAGAGAGAGAGAAGAAAAAACAAAAAAAACAACCCAGGCCCTCAAGGAACCTTGGTTCTGAGCATGCACGCGGCTTCTGCATTTGGAGCTGCGATGATTGTATTGGCGGCGTCGATTGGCAGCGCCAGTCCAATGGTCCAAACCCCTGCCAAGCTATTTTTTTCGCACGCCTTTCCTCCAGGGCCGACGGATCATGCAAGATTGCACTTTAAAAAAGTGAAGGGTCGCTCTATGCAAAATGTTAGTATATAAAATTCCTGCAAGGGCAAATCTTCTGGAGCGATCCGCAAGGCAGAACCCCCATGACGAGGTAGTTCCCAACATTCCCAGCCACAAGAAACGCAAAAAGGCAAAATGCCCAAGCAATCAGACACAAACCTCCTGCCAATGTCCTGGGAGTGCTTATGCACTTCACTATGTTGCAATGGTTCAACTCCTTCAAGATGTCCTTGAGATACCCGCAACAACCAGTGAGATGTACATGCGAACTTCTACATATGTAAGATAAGCAACAACATCTGCGTGCAAACTTATCAAAGGAAAATTCATCAAGAAATTCACCCGCAGGGGCGAGGAAAGCGACGACGACGACGACGACGACGACCACCACCACCACCACCACCACTACCACCACCACCACAGCAACAACAAGAACGACAACAGCAAAAAGAAGACAAAGAACAAGAACAAGAACGGCCACCAAGGGAACAAAAACCAAAGGGAACGAGGCTCCCAGCACCTCTCTGATCCATGTTCCCCCTCCCGTGTTGGCCTGGGGCCGGCTGTCAAGACTCGTTGAGATGAAACATCTGGGCTCGCTACATGCTGTGGATTCCCAACCCACTTTCTTTCCAGCCCAATCTGCAAGCACAAACGACATCATACGGTTTGATGCAAATGTCGAGAAACCGCCCGACATTGTGTGGAATGCAAACAATCCAACCGAAATTGTCGAGCTTGCAGGGACATTGAAGACTGTGCTGTCCCACTGAACATCATGCCGAAAAATCCAAAGGCCTTCAGATTGCGCGCATTCTCCACGATTTTCTCAAACTTTTGCGTCACCAACTCCAACCTAAGGCGCGGCTGTCACAGCAGCAAGCCACTAATACTTGATGCCGAATGCAATTCTTTGTATAGATAACCATAACTATAACTATTGTATTCTTATTGATCAAGATGATCAAGATGGGATCCTATAGAAATGATCAAACTGCCATCTTTGTTCGCAGAACATGAAACTTCTCCAGATCGCTTGTCGCTCCGCTCCCCACACCCCCACCGCCAATGGCTGATTGCTGCAACTCTACTCTCAAAATTGGTGACCCTTGCAGCCCATTGGCTTCCACGATAGATTCTATAGATCCTTTCGCACATTCGTTTGCATTCAACGATGTCCAAACTTGGATTCCTCAAAGTTTCACTTTCCAGAACCCGGTGGACCTCCATCCTGCAACAATCTCCAAGCAACTGCTTCAAGAGCTCCTCAGGCGATGGATTCTCCCGGAATTTGATGGTCTTCACCAAGGCCTGGGATCAGGAGATGCGATGGCACCATGGCACGGCAATGGATGGATATGGATGGCCTGTGCGAACTGCTTTCCCATGACGTGTAGGGCATCCATCTCAAAGTTGGAATCCCCTGGCAGGTGAGCAAATTGGAGGACCTCCCACATGGGTGCATTCCCATGGGTCCATGTCCGGAAATGTCAACCCTCATGGGACATGATGAGAAACGAGAAACCGTTGGATTTGGGGGTACCCCATAATCTAACCTTGTAAGGTTAACCCCTGGACAGCAATCTACTGTATCCTCCCTGGGGTTGCCCCAGGGGCCCAGCTGGGCCCAGCAACCAGCAACCAGCCTACAGAGATCAAGTTGGTGATGATCTCATTGTCCAGCTGCTTTTGCACCTCCCAACACACATTGCTTGCTGAATCGAGGCCAAGTCGCTGAGTCGCTGCTGGGCCTCAAGAAAGGCACTCTCTTTCCACTTACTCACCTGGCAGCGATTTGAAAAAATGCGTCTCAAAAGCAGCGCTCAATGCGTCAAGTGGTGCAAAGTTTGCAAAGGCCTCTCCCGGAAATTCGGGCTCAAACTTTGTTCCTGGCCAATTTGTGAGACCAAGAAACTGAACCATTGCAACTGTTACAAGTATTTTATCATGTTATTATATGTTATTATTATTCAATATTATTCATGTATGGCAAATCGAGAAGGATCGATTGGATTCGATTGGATTCGATGATGGTTTTCGAATTTCCGCGGTTTTCGCTTCAGCTCCAGACGAGCTGAAATCACCCGAACTCGCTGGAGAGTGTCCAGGAGATTCGGTGCCTCAGAAGGATCCAGGAGGATCCAGTAGCATCCGGTGCACATTGTTGTTGAAAGGCCAGAGATGGGCCAGTAGCATTCAGGTGCCTTGTTTCAACATGTTTCAACTTGTTTGCCCAAGCAGAATGGCATCAAGAGCTTCCAATTTGGTGCACTGAGAGTTCTGATTTCTGCTCAGCTGTCGAAAGTCCATTCCAAGGTCCCTACCCATTTTGCTGCACTGTATTCAACCCAGCCGCTCATGGCATTGGTGATGATGAAGGTTTGCCCCTGACCACATCGACCACATCACATCTGTCTCTAGTTTCCTCAGGCCTTTGAACCAAGCTCTTCAACGGATGCTCAGATGAGTATCAAATGCAACCTATATACATCGTATGTCGGTACACTTGCTGAGGTGAAACATGGTGAAACATGGTGAAACAAGGTCCCCAGGCCATACGTTTTGCCAGTTCCAAGAGCTTCTTGGACGCCGCTTCAATGTCCTGAGAGGATCTGGGAGACATGTCGTTCATGTCGCTCATGTCGCTCATGTCGCTCATGTCGCTCATGTCGATCGCTGTGACAACAGAAGGGCCCTGACCCTTAGGTTCCGCTCAATGGTTGGAGACAGCATTGATTCCTGAAAAAAAATACTGCGACATGCTGATTAACCAGCTGATGAAGCCATCTGCAATTACTGATTCAATCTAATTCACATTAACCAATCTGCCAAGCCAATCTCTGTCACTTTGAATGCTTAAGGAATGGCTTAAGGAATGGCAATGGCCGTCACCTGGTTGCGGAGATTCAGGAAGGACGTGCACAGCAAGGTGTCATCCCAATCAAAGATGATCACCGTCTGATGCTGTGGGGACTTCTGCGCCTGCGGATCATGAATATGTCGGATGAATTCATTCCTGTTTCTGTTCACCAAATCATTTTTTTTCATGGATTAATAGATATTAATATTATGAAATCATGATTAACCTTGAAATATAATCATCATCCCTATCATTTTCAGGGATGTTTAGCCTTGAAATCACCATCCCCCTAGGGGTTTTGTCCTTGGGATCCCCCAACGTGGGTTTTTTTGTTCAACGAATCCGCCTTCGGCACCCACACATTGGAATATGCCAACTTCCGGAGATAGGTCACCCGAAAATCGTCCTGACCTCAATGACCAGATATGACCAGAATCACAAGAAGAAATGATGAATTTTCATAATTTTTATCATATCAAATCCATCAAAAAGTGGTAATTCATGGTAATTTCAACTTCAGGACAGCAATTCGGTGATGAAAAAATGGTGCCCAGTCGGTGAAGACTTATCCATTACAAATCCGTTAAGTCAATTGGTCGGTTTTGGGAAGCTCCCACTCGGCCTTGTACCGAGTTTGTCATGGGGAGATCGTGCTTGTTAAGCGCCCGACTTTGGAGGTCAAGGGTATTCATCTCGAAGTCACCCTTGGAGATGAGATGAAGTTTGCAGATTGAAGGAACTCACTGCTCACAACACTAGAGCCCATGCAATCTGCAGATTGATCCGCTCTGAAGGAAAGATCTGCAAACCTCTGCCCTTTGAAGAGAGTCCTGAGTACTCAGATCCCAGCTTCATCTTCATCCGCTTCGACACCCTTGCTTGGAGTGTGTTCAAGCCGATCAGGTGCCTGCAACACAAGATGCAATCATTAGGGAAAGGCGCTTGACCTTTGTGCAACAGTACTTCCATGTCGGCCTCCGCCGCTTTTGTTGGAGGATGGAAAGCAGCATAGCTCCTGCAATGGCAACCAACTCATATCACCCATGGACAGTGAAGGGCCATTCAGCAACCCAGAAATTTGGGGATGATTGTTAATTAGTTGCTGTCACTGTAGTCAATCATCCATTCTTGTTGATTTTGAGCAGTAAATCATCCATCTTTGGTGGTTGAAAATTTGACTCAGACTGCAACCGACAGGACGACAGTGCTCCATTGAGGCCCCAGCTCTTGATCCTTCTTGATGCCCAGGCGGTGCAAGTAGTCCTCAGCTTCTGCAGACCGTGGCATCGTGGCATAGCTAGCAGAAGCTGCAAAAGAGATCCTGTACATCGTGAACCAAACGTTTCAATGAGGATGCAAGGCATGAAGCCAAACAAATAAGTCCTAACCACCTGAAAGTTCACAACGGATCTCCACGGTGAAACACTCCAAACAAATAAACAAATGCTAATCCACCTATGGAACCCGCTTCGTCATAGGTTTTTAAGCCATCGGTACATAAATTTTCTACATCTCCCATAGGGACTTTATGGGACACCACGCGATCGGCCCCTCAAGATCTGTCCCGGCCATCCCGGCCTTCCGTCGTCGGTTGACTTCCACTTCAGGGGGAGTGATGGGAGGGGTACCTCCAGAGGCAGCAACCAATCGAACCAATAACAATGATAACAACCAATAGTAACAACCAATATCAATAACATCCAATGACTGCGACTGTTCCTATTCTTCAGGGATCACTGCCTTCTTCAATGCCCTGGGTTTGACCCATGACCTCAGTCGTGCCACGCGTGTCACGGGGAACCCCCGGGAGATGCCAAGAGTTGCCCGAGCTTCCCACGACGTCTGGGCAAACGCGCCAGAGGTCGTGCCGTGTACGGCGGTGCCCCCGAAAAGTATCCCACGGGACCTGCGGTGTTGCCTTGAAATGCCTTGGAATCCCATGGAATCCCATGGAACCCTGTTCTTTACCCTGAGTTGCCCTCGCTAAACAGAGTAAACAATAATAATATATAATAATGCTAAACAGCTTCCAAAATGGACGGATTATCGAAAGACCATTGGGTGATGGAAATTGTTGCCAGTGAGTTGGCCTCAGAGCTGTTGCGTAGAGTCGAGCCAGAGCTGCAGACAGACGTTGAAATAGTCAGTCCGACGCACCCCAGATCTTGGTTTGACTATCTCCACACGCTCCCGGTTCACAGATTCTTTACGTACTATGTACATCCATATTAACAGTCATTTGCAGCAGCTTCCTTTCCAAAGAAATGTTCCCATGCTCCAATGATCGCGCACAAAGTGTTGACTTTGAACACTTTCTCTCAGGTGACACGACGAACTGAAGCTGAGTCATATGAAGTTGTCTAACTTCCCTTTCCGCCTGAGCACATGAAATCTACAGAAACTGTCCTGAATTTACAGCCCTGAAATCTCGCCTGCGGCCAGTGCTTGTCAGCACCTGCCACAATGAGAAGGCTTTCAGAGCATCTGGCTATAAACAACTGTTCATAAATGTCCAATGAAGCTAAAGTTTCAGGGTGTTTTTATCAAAAGTCATAGGACAAAACGGCCAACCCTTTGGCAATTCCAAAAAATCTCCAACAAGTATGATTCAAAAAGTATGGTTATATCTCCAACAAGTATGATATAAGATGATTCAAAAGTATGGTGTTTTATATGGTGAAAAATGCTCAAATTGACACAAAAATTCACCGAGACGCGATCCGAGCGGTGCCTGTCTGCAGGCAGCCAAGAGCAGGGCCGGTGAACCCAACAGACTGCCGGACTCGTCCACGAGGCTGGCCGCCTTGACGCGGGAAGAGGGAAAAAAATGTGAGTTATACATGCTATTAATTAGTGTTATATAATAATGATATAGTATATAATATATATATATATGGATAGTATATATATATGGATAGTATATATATATGCACTTATGTCGATATACTCGCTGCATAGTACAAAAACTGCGAAAATTCTGAGGAAAATGATCAACTGACATTTCAACTGACTGAAGCATGTCATCTTTGCTCATAGACTCAGATCTCGACAGAGGCCGATCTCAAGTCGGGATTGTTCATCAAGTAGCTCACCTGTGCAACTGCCTCAAACTTCAGCAGCGAGATTAATGCAATTGGTGTGAAAATCAAAGCGATCCCAGGTCCAAATACTGATCATAAGGTATGAAAGTAATTATAAGGGTAATTCACATCTCACTATAGGTCGATCTTGAAAATTTCAATGCTGAACCGAACCTTCTCCATTGGCCATTGTTTGTCCCTTTGAAACACTTGGATACAGCAATAAGGCTTGGGCATTTTGCGCGGAGTTCGTTGCCATTTGCGCCTCCCGAGGGGGTTGAAGTGGCGCCACTGCCACCAGTAGAAGATCTCTAATTCAAGATAATTCAAGTAGAAAGAACATAAAGAAGAACGAACTCAACTACTAACTACAAAAAGTACCTGTCTCGATTTTGATAACACCTTTACAGATCTTTACAGTGAAGCCAAACCAATCCTCCAACTGCAACAGCTAGGGCCGCTATGGATTCCATGGCACCCGCCTGTTGGGACGCATATTGCGCCGCCTGCGCTGCTTTGGAGGCCGTGAACGCCGCATGCCGTGCCCATTGCGAGGCTGCCTCGACAGTACCGTGGGATGGGGATAGTTAGGATAGTTGTAGCCTACTGGTGAAAATCACTGAATCACAGTTTCATCATCTCAGTTTTCTGAGACAACCAGTCAACTCAGTATGTAAAATCATAAAGTTTCAGTAACTCATTCATAGATGAAATCTGGGTAAATTATAATATTTCACTAACCTGAATAGTTGGGCCATAAAAGGGGATGATTCCCCTTACTAACCATGATTTCCAGGGTTCGGTCGAACAGTGAGGTCGTAGTGAGGTCGTTATGATTTACCCAGATGAAATGGCTCCTCTGCCATCTCGTTGGGAGGTCCCGCAGCATTGGGTGCGGTGGCCTGGGCATCTGGGTCACATGGTCGGTCTGAAATGGGGACCGTGGTATACCCCAAAAATCGTCCTTTGAAATGGGAAAATCATGGAAAATGATGGAAAATCATGGAAAATGATGGAAAATGATCATAAACCACTGGAAAACCGTTGGATTTTGAGGATAAACCTGGAGACACCATTGACCATTGGTAAACCATTGCTAAACGGATGTTGAGGCGCCTTATTTAATCCTTATTTTCTGAAAGGAGACCGATGTCGACTCGCTCAAGATCCGGACTCCAGCGGCCTGAAAGGCACTGCAAACCTTGGGAGTTTGCTCTGGAATTTCGGCCAAATAATTGGCAGAAAAAAAAAGAACATCATAGTCTATGATGAAAAAAAAATCTCCAAAACATGATGAAAAATGAACAGAACCTCGCGAAACCAATGGATTTGAGAATTCATGCAGCAATTTGAGACTCCCGCGTGCGGCATTGTGTCGGCAACCACTCAGGGTTTGAATCACTTTAGATGTGCAACCACTCACCGGCGATTCACAGGTCTGCTCACACGAGGACGTTGCTGTCTCTGTGGAAGTGAAGCATCAATGTTTCTGATGTGTCTGCATTCGTTTGTTCAAGTGCCTAAGACTTACTAAGATCTTGAGAAACTTTGCAGAGCAAGACTTCCAGCGGATACTTCCAGCGGATACTGTTCAATGTTGTTTGTGTTCGTTTGATGGACATTCGGACTGCATAGACACTCTCTGTGATCATCTCTGAAGATGTTTTTTCCTTTGAGACGCGCTCAAATCTGGTGAAACGTGCAAGTGCACTTAAACACACACTTCTCGGAACACTTTGCATCTGGTGGTCCTTGTAGAGAGTCCTTACACTCCAGAAGAGCTCTGACAGGGTGTATCATAGCGAACAGCCTCACGTCGAGCGTGGAACAGGATGAACAGCTGAATATGTTTGTTTGTTCGAGATTCACAACAAGTCATCAAGTCAAAGCGACATGATCGACATACATTAAAAATTAAATGTATTTAAATGTATTTAAATGTCTCAAGCCTTCCCCAAAGGTCTGATAGTGTCTGATATATGATATTGTCTGATATGTCTGGTTAGAATACGGTTTCTGGTCTGGAGAAAATCAAAAAACACCAGCCAGGATGACGCTCGGAGAAAAGGGAAGGATGTGAAGAACCAACATAAACCGCTGCATAAATCAACCTTGCCTCCCTTTGAAGAATGTCCACGATAGGACCCATTAGCCGCTTAAAGGTCTTGCGGTCCATAGACATCAACTGGCAATGCGGAACAGCACGACGCTTGAACTTGAACAGCGGGGAATTCATGAAGTCGCAGGAAAAGCATCAACTCCAAGAGTTCAATCCACTAACTCATGATCTTACGATGTGCAGTCGCCCAACCTGCACGTTAGACGATGTCACAATACTGGCCGCCCGCGGCGCATTTGAAATCAGAGAAAGTTCTCCAAAGTAATCGCCAACCTGCCACTGGGACCCGCTGGGACCCACTGGGATGCCCGGGGTTGCCCGGGGATGCCCGGGGTTGCCCGGGGTTGCGGCCTTGTGGGTCATCACCTTTTGGGGCTCTTGACCGTCAACAAAGGCCTCAGATTGGCTCATGCTGAAGTGTCATGGCAGTGAGTCATAGGTCATCATCATCTTGTGGTAGGTCATCATATGGGAATTTCATATGGAGATTTCATGGGATTTCACACAGCATGTGGAATTTCCCGCCTTCATTGCGACACACTCCCCCTCCATGACAATGAAGAAGCAATCACCGATATCGCCCTACGGGGCTGGCTCAACGTCGAAACAGAGCAGCATGAGGGTGGACTGAGCAACTTGACACATGTACAACATATTAATGCATACTACACATCGAACTTGTCAGTCTTATGTCATTGTAGTCTGCAAGCTTGATTTCGAAGCCCCTGAAGTTCTAAAAGCTTCTTGTATCTTCTTGTCAGAACTTCAGTGTCTTCCAGGTTTTTCACAGCTCGCAGCATTTCGCACAGGCACCCTGTGCCTGCTTGATGACCTCCGTGCCCTCCTCCTCTATGAGTACAACCTCCACGGCTCTGGTGAACCAAAGCTGACCAATTCATCGAAAAATATCAGGATCTTCGATGGGATCTTCCCAGAAATCTCGGGATTTTTTGTATTTTTCTGTTGGAAAAAACAAGGGAAAAAGAAAACTGACACCTTCATGGCATCAGCAATGGTCATCAGTTCGTACTCATCTATGCTGGAGAAGAGAGGAACCTGGCGCACCCACGCATTTCCACAACACAGACCTAAGCCTAGTTGGGTTCATCCAAACAGGCTATCCAGGATGTACGCCCCAAAATGTTAATAATGGAGGAAATGAAAGACGATGATGAACCTATGAACCTTGAGATCTTCCGGATCTTTGGGTACCCATAGTTCACAAAGGTACCCTATTCTCAAAGCCAGTTTCAGGGATGCCAATTTGGGTGTTGCCATAGCCACCACACCTCCTTGAGGAAGTGCGACAGGGTCTCGCGGCGTTCGGCGGCCGCGTCCTTGACGATGTTGTTGAAGGTCTCACGGTCCAGTTCCCACAAGGTGCCTGGAGCAGAACTTGAAACCGGCCAGCTGGGCTTGTCTTGACATGATACACAGATATACACAGTGTCCAATGTGTCCATAAATCAATTGGAGAACATGAAGAAACAAGATTGCTAGCAACAAGTAACAGATGAAGGCAGACATCCGAATAACATCCGATTATTCATTAAAATCATTGAAAGCGGCCGTCGTTGGATTTGAAAAAAACGATGATATGACAATCATCTGCCCAGGTGCCTTTCTCCTTGCAGATTACCGTGGCCTTGGATGGATCATGACCATGGCGGGGATCCGCCATTCTATGGAAATGCGGAAAGCTGCCACCATATGACTGCCATGAGCCCCAGAGTGGGCGCACGGGGCCACTGAGTTGCGGGCTGCCCTTGGGCAATTGTAAAGCAGAGCGAGTTCACCAAAGATGTCGCCCGCGGAGCAGGTCTGGACGTCAGCCAGAGACAACAAAGACGAATAAGTGAGCTGTGGAAAGTGTGGAAAGTGTGGAAAGTGTGGAAAGTGTGGAAAACTGGTGAGGCTTTTCAAAATATGTTGAGTCGAAGCAGAATGGCATGGGAAAGAAAATCGCTTCTGCAAAGTTCCCAAAAACATCGAAAAAGCCTTTCTCCAGCTGCGCCTTGACAAGCTTCTGTTCATCGTTCTGCTTCTTGAAACACTCGGCACTGCCCTCCTTCAGAAAATCCATGCGACTCGGACAAAGAGACCCAGTTTTTCACGTTTCAGCTCTGCCTCAATGAGGAACATGCTCTGGCCGTCATCACCTTTCAACAAGTCACCACAACTCTCCGGCTTGACTGATGCTGAAAATTGGTCTCAAAAATTGGAATCAAATCATCCCAAAGCCAACATGAACTTTCCCTTTAGCCTTTAGCACTAGTCAGTGGACAACTGTCGGATTGACTTTTGAGATTGACGAGTAAAAAGGTCCCAAGCCTTCTTGGATCACCGTCTCTCCTGGCTCAACTGCCTTTTCCTGGCACAGGTTGACACTTCCTTGCCGATCCAGGATCCCCAGTTTCTCTTTGGCTCAAATCGGTTTACAATCGGAATCGGCCTGAAAAGCAAGGATGATGGTCGCCAAGTCCTGTGACAACAGAAACTCCGCAGAGTTTCAGGTTTTTGATGTTTTTGATGTTTTTGGATGTTTTTGGATGTTTTTGGTCCCCGGAAACTGAGGACCGAGGCATAGGGGCCTTCTTCTCCAAGGCGTGGAACAGGAAGTTGGATGCCAGGCACTTCTCGATGCGTTCCTTCTGATCCGCTGTCTTTTCATACCTGGGCCCGGGTTGGGTAGAGCACAAGAGGACAACTGAAACCTATTGAACCCCATTGAAACCCATTGAAACTGAAACCTGGAGGTGGCGCACACAGGGGGTACGAAGGCCGCCTTTTGGTTCCAAGCGCCATAGGCCTGGCATCTAGCAGCCACAGCTGATTGCCACACTGTGCGAATTTAGGGATCATCGCTTGATTTTTTTGGGGATAGACTATTTATGTCTGGTATCTATATTTTTAATTTATATTTATGTGTGTATATATATATATATATGATTATAATTGATTATACTGGAGTATACTTATTATGTATAATTTCCATGTAGATTCCAGGGCTATGCTTGGGCAATTTCGAGGCACCCAGAAAAGGCATCCGCCTCGGCGGACACGCTCTGCCGAGGTTTCACGGGGCGCAAGTTCTCGGGCAAATCTTCGGGTTCCTCATCCTGCATGGTGCACTGGGAGATCCGCCAGGCAATGGCATTGTGATGGCATTGTGATGGCACTGTTCTAAAGATTTGAGAGGGCTTCGTTGTTCTTGTGAACCGGGCCTCGTCTTCGTCTTCTTCGGACTCGTCATTGGCTTTGGTGGATCTGTCAGCAGGAGCTTTCAAAGCAACTGGAAAGCTCTTGGAAGCCGAACCTCTCAGATTTGATGTCCATTCCACTGCCAAGTGAAGAATCCTGGAGGCAATGATGGGGTGTGACAGCCTCATAAGTGCAGAAAGAAACCCCTTTATCTTCCGATAATCAAACATGGCATTGGACAAATCTCGTATTTACAGAGGATTCCCCCCTTAAAGCATATTGAACCCTATTAAAACCATTAAAAATCATTAAAACCTCCATATTTCTAGGGGATTTCCGAGTGGCCCGCCATGTTTCACCAGAGGGTAGACCAGCTGTTGTCAGGAAACATGTCCTCGATTCCCAGGATGGCCAAAAGCTCGGACTTTCTCTCCTAGGGGCTCAAGTCTCTTGGTTTAACATGTTTAACCAATTGGAAACATAACAAAACATAACAAAACATGACATAACAAAACATAACGTATCAGATATGAAAAAGATTCATTCGAAACAAACATGTAAAGATATTAAAGATTAGTTAAGATCAGAAACGATTAAAATGGCCTGCACACTCAGTTTGGATAAAGAATGTGTTTTCTGACGTCTTGCAGGTCTCGGGTAATAGGAACCCATGGGAACCCCCCATGTCCTGCAGCCGCTTGATCTCTGCCTGAACGGTCTCGATCTGCCAGGGCCACACCATTGGAGGGATAGAATCGGACCGCTCGAAAGGACTCTAACAATGGTACTATAGATTCCTAACAGTAACATCAAGGACTCATCAAGGACTCATTGACTCATCCCATCACTGGAACACCGGGAACCAAAACGACCAGCTCCAAGTTTTGCCTCTCAGATTCGGGTCAGACCGTCGCCAACGGAACGTTGTCTCGAAGACTCGAAGCTAAGCAAAAGCATGACTGTTTGCACTCGCTGTGCATGACTGTACAAGGCGCTCCTGAAGCGCTGACAAATCAATGTTATGTTTGAATATGTTTGAAACATCTGGGAGCTTGCAACTCAGATGCCGCGGAGGCAAATGGTTACAGGAGGCCATCAAAGGAACACCCACAAGAATGGGCACCACAAGAGTCCAGAAACATATCTAGCAGCTGGTGAATGAATACTCCATTGCAATGAGAACCTGGTCAAAAATTATGAGCATGTTCAATGTTCCCATGTTTTCCCTCATCATTTCGCTGGTGCCTCAGGGTCCCCGGCTGCTACAAAAGATTCCAGAGAAATTGCTGGAGCCTGACAAGCCGCGCCAGTTCAAACATCGGCGCTGTATCAAGCCCTGAAAGGATTCCGTTGAGCCTCGGAGCAAGAAGAAACATCCCAGTGGTTGCCCAGTGGTTGCCACATGTTGCCACCATATGTCCAAATTGTCCAAATGGTTCACAAATCAAAAAACTGAAACAGAAAGCACTGCAATTTTTCCAACCATAGAGACCTCTGGAACAGCATGTGTCCCAGCACTGAAGGGATTCTTCGTGGCCACTTTCGATCCCAAAGAAGTTGCAGCTGATGCAGCGTTGGCAGCACCATTTTTAATGCCAGATGCCACGGTGGAGGTAACATGATGTTTCTGTTCGATCTCTCGTGCTTTGGAATATGCAGCATGGGCTCCCTGGCCCATCTTCTGAGTGATTCCATATTTCTGATTGGCATCCCGGGCAGCATCCACTGAAGCTCGGGCAGCTTGCATGGCTCGGGACCTCACCTGATGTTCACGCTCGAACTCCACTGTTTTGTTTGCCGCGCTTGCGAGGCCCTGTCCGATCTTCTCAGTGACCCCGTACTGTCGGTTAGCATCCCTCACAGCTTCCACGGATGAACGCGTACCCTGAACCGCCCTTTGAGTCAGGTGATGCTTCTGCTCAAAGTCCTTGGTTTTCTGAAACGCCGCGGAAACTCCCTGCACCACCCCAGCTGAAACAGCTGAAAATCCTGTGGACGTCGCTCCATTGGACGCAGCCGTTGACGTCGCTTCGGCGCTGTCCGCCTCGAAGGCCGCGGAGAAGGCCAGGCTGCCGGCGCGTGCCTGCGATACGCTGAAACCGAGAGATCTTCAAACCGTTCATAATATTGTATGTATACTGCATGACTGTGTATCAATTTGTATCAATATGTATCAATATGTATCAATATGTATCGATATGTATCAATATGTATCGATATGTATCAATGATGATAAGTGTATAGATATATAGAGAAATCGATATGTATCAATGTGTTCCAAACCGATTCAAAGAAAAATGCTGCACTGATTGTCCATAAGTAAACAGGTACAACATGATGTCAGTTTTTGGTGAAAGAAGAAGAATGGTCATTGAGCCATTCTTGCAAACTACTATCTCTACTATACCTGCAGCTTGCCCAAGTGAATATCCAGCCCTAGACAACCAAGACAACCAAGCCTTTGTCTGAGGTTCAGGGAGTCAAGTATAGTAGAAAATACTGGGGAATCCGTGGGAATCCCTCCCTTTTGAGGGCTCAAGTGGACGGATCCTGCCTTTGGGCTCATCTGCGCAAACTTCGTCTGGAAAGGATTTCCCATGGCTTTCCCATGATCAACGTGCACTTGGTCAGGTTGCGGCTTGGCAAAGGGATTCACAGCTTTCTCGGGAGCTTTCTCGGCTTTCTCGGGTGGTTTTTCCATCTCCGGCGGTTCCCCATCGGCTTCAGCTTCAACTTGGGGTCTCAGGATGCTTTGGCACTGGCCATCCGAATCCATCAGGAGCTCCTGTAACTGCGCGGATTCCTGGAGCAACCTCATCCACCTGGCGGTCACCACTCTTCGGCGAAATCTCCAGAGAGGAAACAAGTTGAACTTCTGTGACCACCATGCAGCACATGCAGCACATGCAGTACTTCATAAATTCACAACAATTGCAAGCGTTTGAATCTTGTGCTAAACCCATCCCACCCACCAAGAGCAATCTTTTTGCGAGTTGGCATTGATCTGCATGTCACTAGTTGACATCTGTGCTTCAGGCATTTCAGCCCTACTCTTCAAAACAAATCTCACCAATTCTGCTTTCATGCCCCTGGGCTTTGGATGGATAGCCCTTTCATATGTTGCGCCCATTCTCTGGCACCCTGGAGGAACTGTATCTCGCGAGAAACTGTGGAAGGGTCAAGATTGGCACAGGTTTCCTTGGGATGTGGTGGGAGGGAAAAGGAAAACCTGAGCCAATCTTGAGCCAAAATTGGCACGAGAGGCTCAGGTCCCTCCCACCACCCCAGTCTGAATCAAACTGCACTTGTTAGTCAGCACTATGTGCTTCTCAAACAATTGCAAGCGTTTGAATCTTGCGCTAAACCCATCCCACCCACCAAGAGCAATCTTTTTGCGAGTTGGCATTGATCTGCATGTCACTAGTTGACATCTGTGCTTCAGGCATTTCAGCCCTACTCTTCAAAACAAATCTCACCAATTCTGCTTTCATGCCCCTGGGCTTTGGATGGATAGCCCTTTCATATGTTGCGCCCATTCTCTGGCACCTTTGACTCCGTCGCGCTCGCTGAAGAACTTGCTGCACTTCTTGCATTTTATTGCGTTCTTGCCAGGATTCTGGGTGAGTTCAACTTTCACGTTCTTTCTTGCGAAATTCCACCCGCAGATTGTTGACCAAGAATCCAACGGGATACCCCATGCTGCTTTGCCCACGATGTGTTTGGTCCATCCTCCTCGGGACCTGGAGATCGCGTAGATCGGTCCTTCTTGGCCATCTGAGATCAGCTGCTTGTCTGGTTCACCTGCGATTCTTCCTCGTGGGCTTGTGCTTTTGCTTTGGCTGACGCCTTCGGTCTTAGTGTTCTCCGGTTTTGTGACTTCTCGGGCGACTTTGCCGCATTTTCTCCTTGCTGTTCTTGTTGCGGCATATTCATGGGAATCTCTGTCATGGCCTCTTCTATGTATCTGAAGACTGCTGACGATCGCCACCTCCCCAAGAATTGTATGGACTGAACGCTCATACCTTGCCTCGCGTATCTCATCGCCCCGGATCTTCGGGCTGAGTGTCCGGACATCTCGCCGTCCAGCGCCCTTGCCCAAGATGTCACCATGTGGAACTTTGAGACGTGTGATCCTTCTGCGTCTGGGAACAATGAAGTTTCTGCCGTCGGGTTCTTGAGGTCATCCAGCGCTTTCATCGCCAGTTTGAACGGGCACTCCCGACAGCATTCTGTTTGTCCGCAGCATTTCAAGGTTCTCTTAGCTCCGGATCCCTTTTGATCCATCTTCGACTTCCTCACGATGAGCTTCACTGTCTTCAGGCTTGTGTCCACCAGTACGTCTTTGGCCTTCAGGTTCGCTGCCTCGATTGCTCTCAGCATCCAGATGCATGCCCATGCGTAGCTCCATGCGATCCTGCGCGGCTCATTCTCGTTTTCACTTGTTGCCGCCCAAACTTCTTCAGATATGGACTCCACTTTTACTTCCTTCGCTCTGACTTCAGGACCTTTGTCTCGCTGCATAGCCCTCTTGCATGAGGCCATGTGCTTGTCCAGCATCTGGTCCCAATCAAAACCCGCCTCCACGTGCATTGCTCGGGCTTCAGCCAGGTATTGATCCCCAGCTTTCATTCCTGTGGAGTCCAGCACAGCTGCCAGGGTTGTGACCAGCTCCACCGTGAGCGGGAAGGGCTCTGTCTTGACATTCTCCAGGATCTCTGTCACCCGTTTTCTCTTAGCGTTTTTCGATGCCAACGTTGACGGTGCGTAGAACTTCTTCACAAAGTTCTTCTTGACTTTGTTCAGCCACTTGTTGTCCTTGGTCTTTTCGCCTACAGCCTTCAGCTTGGTCTTGGGCTGCTTTTCGGTCACTTTCTCGGGCTCGCTGCTGCTATCATTGCTCCTATTACTGCTCTGACTTCCCGTTCTCCTTCTGTCCTTCTTCCGGTCGGGATTCTGTCCCCGTAGATTGAGCCCCCCATGGACCCCCTGCTCTCTCTGGCTTGGACCAGTCCTGATCCGTTTGGACCCCACAGTGATAAGGCCCGTGTGTTGGCTGGGCTGCCAATCCCTCGCCTTTCTGGTGCTCTTATCTCTGTCATACTGAGCCAGCGCGGGGACTCTCGTTCTGTATTCGAATGCATCCCATGCCTTCGGGTTCCATTTCGTTGTGGGGTAGTTGGGCTCCTTTCTCTCGACGCCTGTATCTGGGCTGACTTGGTTCTGGTTGCCTTTAACCAAGCCCAGCATTTGTTGGCTGGCTTCAGACACTGGCCGCCTATCCACCTGCTGATCTGGCAAAGCCGCGGCACACATGACTGACATAACATGCCTGCCATGAACACCAGCAGGAAGAGAAGCCATGCCCCTATATTGTGGTGGGGCTGCGGGGCGTCGACAGCCCACTCGGGCAGGATGATCTCCTGCTGAAATGGCACTACCTCCATTTGAGCCCTGGTTGAAAATGGCTACGGACATCATATATACCTGTGCACACCGATTCAATCAACGGCAAACACAAACATGTGAACCCCCAAACATGAAACGCGGCAGCTTGCACAACAGTGGTTCAGAAAGGTTGTCAAACTTACCTTTCCCCGTCGCACCCATGGTCAGCCTACTTTTGCCGGCTGGGGTGCAAAGGTTCACAAGCTGTCATACACCCCATTTGGGTGCGGCAAAGATCTGGCCCAGGGACTTTCGGGGTTTCCGGGCGGTGCCATCACCATGCATCTTTCTGAAAAGGCCACAGTGCGCTTCAGCTTCGTGTCAACTAGCGCTGCAGGCATCTCACCCCGGTCCCCTAGCCTTGAAAGCCAGTCGGCCTCCTTGTTCAAGGGACCCGGGATGTGCTGGGGTACCAGTCTGTCGATTCTCGTCTTCTCCAGGAGGAGCGATATCTCGGCTGCTATGTAGTTGAGCGTCTTCGTCGGCGACGCTAACTTCTTGGTCATAGCTAGCGCCACCGTGCTGTCCGACCTGATGACGACTGCCATTTGTTGCAGGCGAGTCGACCAGATCTGCAGTGCTCTCAACACTGCAAGTCCCTCCATGACTGCTTGTCCCGAGGCCTCCATGTACTGTATCTCCAGCGCGGCCGCTTGATGCGCCTGCATTGGTGCCGCGAAGGCCTCCACGATGTGCCACTCCTCTTGCACCTTGTGGATCAGTATGCCTCCGATCCCTCTGGGCGAGGCGTCTGTCACGATTCCCCGGGTTGGGTCCTTCTCTTCCAGCGCCTCGTACCGGATTAGGAGGTCTTCCGGCTTGTCAAAGGCGGCTTTCAGCCAGGGCAACGTGGTTCCCAGCCTTTTCACTGCCACAAGCCCCACTTTTGACCTCTGATCCCCTGTTCTTTTCTGCGCTCGCGCCTCTTCAGTGGCCTCTTCCTTCAACGCCTTGGTGAGGACAGCGTACATTGCTGTTACCGTCCATCGCAGTCTAGGTATGATTCCTGCCACCCAGGCGAGCTTTCCCACGAATGATCTGAGCTCTTTGGTGGAGATCATTCCCTTTCCTGTCCACGCCGCCAGGGTCTCTTGCATCTCCAAGACCATTTTACGTGGCGTTCCCAAGATCACCTCGTGGGAGTGTAACTCGAAAGTCGTCCCGATCCATGTCACGCGCTTGCCTCGCTCTCCTTTGTGCATCGCTATCTGAACCCCAAAGGCTGCAAGCACGTACAGCACCTTCGACAACTGCAAGTTGCGCTGCTCAGTGGTGCCTCTGATCATGAGGGCGATGTTGTCTATGTAGACCTGGGTTTGTCCAGCTGCGGGGTGGAATAGTGATTGGACTAGACGCCCAATGGCAGCACTCAACCTCCCCATGATGAGTGGGGCCCCTTTGAAGCCGAAGAGCATGGCTACCCAGAGGATGGCTGTGCCGTTCTCCATCCCTGGGCTGATGCAGTGCTTCAGCTCTTCTCGCCTTACGCCAAAGTGGCAGAAGGCGTCTTGCAAGTCCAGCATGACGAACTCTATCTCCGCCTCGCTGTATGCTCGGGAGCTTTTGAGGACAGACCTCTGCTCCCCCGGATTTCTCAGCTCCCCCTCTCTGGCTTTCATTAACCTCAAGCTTGACACTATGTCTTGAGCTCGAGGGAGAACAATTCGTTCATTCACTTGGGCTCTTTCATTCCCTTTGGATCTTTTCATGTCAATCACAATGCGTCTCTTCGTCGTCCCATCAGGTTTCTGCTTTATGATCAGCGCCAGGCGTGAGGCTGTTCCCTCCGGGAATCGCTTGTGCACCTCTTCCAAGGCCATGATCTTGCAGAAACCCTTTTCGATGTAGCGGTCTACCTCCAGGATCGCTTCCTCCTTCTGTGACTCCACAGATTCATAGTTTTTCAGATCCCTCAGGATGCCCATGTCCATCTTTGTCTCCAATGCATCCTCAGGCTCTACCATGGGGAAGATTTCCGATTCAGGGATCTCTGCATCCATTCCCAACGGAACTCCCTCTCTAGCCCACTGCCCAATGAACTGCTCCGGGTCTCTTGAGCACACTCGCCAGGCGTCCCATAGTGGAGCGTTGAGCGGTGATGCAAACTCCATCGCCTCCTTGAGGGTGATGCCATCTGCCTGAACTGCCCCAAGTAGAGCTTCCAGCTTCTCCCTCCAGGCTGCTAGGACGTCCTTGTCGATCTTTGCCTCATTGGATCCATAACGCGTGGCGGCTTCTAGTGCCGTTGGATGGTCCCTCACAAATTCCAGCCATGCAGAACTGATCATCTCTCCAGTCTTTCTCACCTGATGTAGTCTGGAGACTGCTACGGCTGGATTCCGCATCCCTCCAATGACAAAATCGTTTTGTTCCTCTCTCCTCTGGCGCTTGGAGGGTCCTACTGATGACGATGGCATCTCCTCCGCCTCTTTGGGGTTTGCCTCGAACGCTTTGTTGCGCTTCTTCACATTGGACATTGTCTGATTCGATATTGGGTTGGTGGCCACTGGTTCAGCATCGTCATAATCCCTCTTGCGCTTGCGCTCTTCGTTGTCAAGCCACTTGATCTGCAGCCTGCTAACCTGGTCTGCTTTCTGGCTCACTTGCCACCTCAACCATTCTAAGTTCAGCACCCGTTTCCAGGTGTTGATGATCTTCCGGGCGATCTCCTCCGCGAGCTCTTGCGGGTATGCCCCAGCTGCCTCCGTGTTCTGTTTGCCTACCACAGGGACGTGCTCCACCCATGCTGGACACTTGCAGATCTTTGAGAGGCTTCTCATAGATTCCAACTTCCCGGCCCATCTTGCCGGTTTGTACCATCTCTTCCTCTGCTTGCTCTGGTATGCACAGGTGTTGAACTCAGCTGTCGATGAGCACGTCTCCTTGAGGACCTCGCTGACTCGGGCAAGTCCCATGCTGATCCAGTGTTCTCCGCTCCCGGGGGGTTCTCTAGCGTCGATACCTCGGGTATTTGGCGCCTTTTGCAAGACTCCACTTGTCTCTTGTGGAGCCAGGCAGACCTCGTTGCCATGAGCGTGCCTTCATCAGCCTCTTTCTGTTGATTCGGCGTGTTTCCAGGAAGACCATAAATATGGTCTGCACTCCGAACTGGATGAGCTCCCCCTGGAGAGTCCCTCCAACGAACTCGACTGAAGGAGCTGCATGGAAATCCACTGTGAAATCCATCCCATTCCCCCTCGGTGACCGACTTGTCTATCTCGTCATACGTGGTGTGACTTGCAAGGTTCACTTCGGAGTCTCTCTTCCTGTCCAGGGACTCCACATAGACTTCAAGTCTGGCCGCCTTGGCTTCCTTCTTGATTGATTCACCAAGTTGATCTTTTTCTCCTGAAAACATGTGCAGGTATCGGAATGGTCGGTTCTTGCGGAACTCATCAAATGTGCCACTCTTTTGAAGAGCTCTTTTGACTCGGTCTGGGACCCAAGGTTTACCTTCGTCTCTGTCAGAGCTCTTGATTCCGTCGACTTCTCGTTGCCGACTTTCTGAAGCCAAGCCATCACCTCGAGGATCTTTGTCTCCTGCCGAGCTTTCAGACTTGATCACCTCCTGCTTCACGGTGGCGGGTTCTGCTTTGGCTGGTTCCGACTCTGGTGGCTCGTCACCTCCAAAGTCAGGTGAAAGCTCCTTCCCACCTCCGTCATCAGCTTCCCCTGACCCGCCCGCCATGTTGACAGGCGGCGAAAGCTTGCTGCAGCCTTGCGGCTATGGTCATGGTGAAATTGCCTGCAAGTGCAGTCGGTTCGACAACCTGAAAATTTCTCACCTGCAGTTCACCTGAAATTTCAAGACTTGCCGGTATGTTCAAACGCTCAAAATGCAGTCTCTGGCAGTTGACAAAGGTTCTTCTCAAATAAAGGCACCAGACATCAACTGTGCATCCAGTGACACATCAACCGTTTGAAAAGAAACAAGCGTTCAAATTAAGTTGATAAACCATGGACATGTCAGCAGTTCAAACTCGTTTCAAACGACAAACTTCCAATAAAAATTTCAAATAAACTGCACAACAGACATGCCCAGCCCCCCTTTTTCTGCCCGTCTCGGACTCATGCTGCTTTGCAGTCCGCATCCCTATGGGACGGTGATAGGCACAGCCGGCATTTGTGAACCCTTTTCACTGCAGAGCGACACTCGCCACCAGGTGCAACGTCGCCACAAGGTCCACGGCCAGAGGCCCAGCTGTAGCAAATCTCAAGACCTGATTGGTCTTTCGACTTCCCCTTTCCCTTCCCCTTCGGGGAGGGGTTACCTTTGGAGCCTGTTGTAGATGTCGATCTGTGCCTCGCAAGCTCCTCTCTTTCAGCTGCCCACCTGCGCTTCTTTGCCAAACGCTTGTCTCTGTTCGACTGCGCTTTCCTTGGATCGCCATGAGCAGCCGTTGCCTCCGTCTCTGTGTTCAAAGCCTTCTGGCCTCCTTGGTCCTTGCAGTACTTCCAGCACTGCAGCTTCTGATGCAACGACAGGGGAACCTCTACCTCCCGTGGCCGACCAAGCTGCTGCTGGGTGATGGACCTTCTCTGCCCAATACTCCATGTCCTGTGCTAGAACTATGAAAACGCATGACCAGGGTCTGGTGGGATCCCAATCCCTTGGCACTTGCCTTCCCTGAGCTGACTCTATGGTCAAACGCCTCCTGACCTTTTCCAAGCGTTCAGCCCTAGCTGCATCGTCTGCTAGGTAGACCAAGCCCCAGCATTTTGGCCATTGTGTGACCAACTTCTCAATCTGTCTCGCGTAAGCTTCCAGTGCCGCAATGCTGCAAATGTTCAGCATCAAGCATGCCACCTTGAACACATTCCAGGATGCCCTCCAAGAGCTGTGACTCCCAGGCCCTGGCAGGTCCTTCTGTAAATAGGACCCGTCCCCCAAAGGAGTGTAGGTGCGGCACTTCTGGATTCTACTCATCCTCCGTTCAAATGGCGTCCAAACTGAGAAATCTGTATAAGGGGACCTGTTCTCTGTGTAAACTCTTTTGTATAGAGCTGCAAGTTGAGCTGGTGTTGGCTCTTCCGTTTCATCTGGTTGAGAACCCATCACCATGATATAGTTTTGGAACCATCGATCAACTTCTGCAGCTACTGGAGGTAATAGCTCCGACTCGTCGTGCTGGTCTATTAACGAGCTCATCTTCAGCACTCTCTCCTTAACTGAGCCTCCAGATCTCGCAGCAGGTTCTTGACGAACTATGTCTCCACCTGAATCGCCTGCTGCTTCTGCCCACGGGTCAATGTCTTGGAACTGTTCCTCGCTAACTCCTGATCGGGCAGCTATGGACCTTCTTGCTAGCCGCCACACTAGGCCCACCTGAGTCGCCTGTACTGGTGTCAGAGGACCATCAACAGTGGTGGCTTGGCCACATCCCGAGATCAAAGCGACCTTTGGGAGTGACGCCAAAAGTCTGAGGTCAGATCCGGATGAGCCGACTTGGACCTCGAAGGCTCTCCAGACCGCTTCCGGTACACGGAAGTGATCCAGCGCATCATCTAAAGTGACGATCCGCTGCATGTCATTCCATGCGCCGAAAATCGCTGACATGGCGACTCGCGGCTCTCCCAAAAAGGAAAACCTGAGCCAATCTTGAGCCAAAATTGGCACGAGAGGCTCAGGTCCCTCCCGCCATCCCAGTCTGAATCAAACTGCACTTGTTAGTCAGCACTATGTGCTTCTCAATAAATTCACATATCAAAATATCGGTGTTTGATGGTTTTTGCGCAAATTTCCCCTAAAGCTTCGGCCCCACAACGCCCACAGCGGTGCCTCTCTGATGACGACAAGGCTTTAAGGCATTCGTCGATGCGTCGCTGTCTCACCGGGCTCATCTTGCGGAGACTTGGCGCGAAAGCGGGGCCAAAACAAAATCGGGCCATGTTGATGCCATGTATCACCTGGGACCTCCCCAAGCCTCCCGTTGAAGCTGCCTGGGCCATGTCTGATATGTATGATATATTATGATTCATGATGATTCATGATTCATGATATGTCTGATTCGTTCTTGGAAGAAAACTATGGGAACAGGGATCTGTATGGAGATACCTATTTGTTGTGCTCTTCTTTGCATTTTCCCCGAGGGCTGGATACCTTCCTGCCCTCATGAACATGTATTGAAATCCATCTGAGCATGTTCCATCCCAGCATATCCCAGCTAATTGTCTCCATTGTCAAACGGAAGTGGGGTGACAAACGTGACAAACACAGAAGAGCAAGATAGGTGTGAGAGATGACTGCAAATCCTTTCGTAATCTTCGGACTCTCACGATTTCGGACTCTGACGCTGCAGAACTGTGCAAAATGTGAGATGACCTTGATAGACTGATAGACCTTAAAATAGACCTTGTTCCGTCAGTCTGTCTAGTTGCAACTTGGGAACCTCAGTAGAAACATCCACACATCTTCAATGCCATCGGTCACCGTGTCCAGAGACTCGTCCCTATCAAAGCGCCACAAGGCGAAAGCAACAGTTGCATCTTCTGAACGCAACGACGGGTATTGACGGGTCATATCCAATATCGAACATAGATCAACAAAGTCTACAGTCTGCAGAGTCTACTTTCGTACAAGGAAGAGGACAACCAAAGACACCGAGCGAGGCTACGGCAGGATTTGTTCAGTCCACGCCTTGCAGACTTCAAACAGCTTCGCCGAAGGAGTTCAAAGATCGTTTCCTTTTTGTTCTCCATTGATCTGAGGCAAGAACTCGACAAATAACGAGACCATAGGGAATTGAGAACAGTCTGAGAACAGTGAATTGATGTGAAATGAAATTTACTCGAAAATCTCTGGATCAAAACGAACCCACTTCAATGCGGGGAAAATCTTGGCTTGTCACCTGCTGTTGCGCAGCAGTTCGGAGACTTCTGCCGCTAGATTTTGCAGAGACAGCTCCATGGTCAGAGACGTCACATGGCGAGTTGTCAGAGCGATCTGCTGAGATTTCGAAATGTTGAGCTACATGTCAAGCAGTCACTGGCTTAGTTTGAAAACGTCCATATATCATATAATATATAATATATATATAAATAAATATACATATATATATATATATACATATCTCATTATATTATATATATATTATATGAAACCATTGTTGTTACACCTTGTTGATTCAGGGGTTCTGTACATTGACCCTTTGTCCAAATCCTGGAAGGTGTGATGACGCATTTGTTTCCAGGCCCATTCCAGGCATCCCACAATTCACGGTTGATTGCAATCCACTAGAGAAAACTTCTGGCTGAAGGGGTTCAGAAATGGTGCTTTCGAAATTATAAAATCCAACCCATCTGTGTCATGGATCTGTGCCAGGTCATTGGACAAGAATAGATGCACTTTGCGTGGTTTTCGTTCGTATTTCATAAAGTGTGTTTTGCTACCTGCAGATGTCTTGCTGTACCGTGTTGGTGATTTATTTGTCTTGTAATTTAGAGCCAATGGAAGCGCGAAACAAATGGGTCATCACAAACTCACTCAAAGACCTCAATGCAAACAACTCCCACTGCACAAAACTTGGCGAGCCTCTTCTGCAGTGGAAGTTCGCTGGCCCTGGCACAAACACGCTGCCAGTGGATAAGGGTTAGGTTATGTGCCCCAAAAGCTTGACTGCACTTGCACGGCTTGCACCGGTTGCAAACTATTAAGTGTTTGTCGATTCAAACAATCCTAACACTCAAGCAACTGAGACACGTTTGAAACCACCGAGTTCTCAGAAAGCGCTCCTGCTCCGCGCCATCCAGGGACTTTGTTTGCTCGCAAAGCCACCTTCATTGCCACTTGAATCACTTCCAAACATCGTCAAACATTGTCATCACCATTCAGCGTGCTCAGAGACATCCAAAGTACCTTCTACACCACAGCACTACAGTTTACTACAGTTTACTACAGTTCACTACAGTTCACTACAGTTCACTACAGTTCACTACAGTTCACTACAGTTCACTATAGCACCCCTTAGCAAAAATGAGTCACAACATGTCACAATGTCGCAAGTCCATCATTCCAGTCATCCCCGTCATCGCCTGAGCATAAAAAAGGACGGATCATCTGGTCGCTCGAGGAGGACGGCTGTAACAAGAGCCTGAAATGCCAGGTGCGTTTGAATCAAAAAACAAACCAAACTGCAAGTGAAAATATCGTGGGGAATATGTCCAAGATCTGCTCAATGTTGTAATTTGCTTTGATTAAAGCCTCCAAAACCGGATTCACCTTCTCCTGTATGTACCTGCCAGCGAGCCAAGGACTTTGAATGGCTCAGTGCGAATGAACTCAAGAAATTCACGCAGGAGAGGAAAAAAATGCAGGTGGGGTCCTTAAAACCATGCATGCGTTTTGGGAAAACAGAGGTCGTGAATTCCATGTACCAAACTGTCGAAAAGGGGCGCCCAAAAGCGTTGGTTTTTACATGCAACCTCAAACTTGTTTGGCGGAAATTTGCGATGGCAAAGTCTGCATGATCCATCACAATCATCACACACCAATCCAACTTTGGTTCAGGGCACATCAAATGCTCTTGGGCAGAGCGATTCACAAACTGCGACCGGTCAGACCTGCCAAGGTGACACATTGGTTGGACACATAGGATGAGACACTGCAAAGGTCAACCAATGTGCAGTATCAGGGCTTGAGGTCAACCCGCATCAAAACATGCCGGCAGTCACATAGTCCCGGATCGAGAAAATGCTAAAGCCTACAAGTCATACCTAACCCCAAGCTGTCCCAGCTATCTTCTGAACCAAATCTGCAACAACAGGGCTTCGAAGCAATCGGTCTCTGTTGGAACAGCAAATGGTCACTGTAGCTGCAGTCCAGCTAGATCGTTATAATTGTTCCATGTGTGGACCTTTGTCCACATGACACCGCATCCCTTTTGGTTCACGAACTAGTTACATGCCTGAAGTGAAAGAATGAACCTGAAAGGGTCCGAACAATCGCACATGTGGAATTCAATACTGTTCGCAGCTTCTTGGCGTGTTGCGATGGCTGCAGGATGCAACCATGCAATACCATGCATGTAAATGGGTGGAACATGGTAGAACCATTATGTAACTAACAGCTCAACAACTCCAACTGCTTTCTTGAAATTTTGTCTAGTTAGCATCAGAGCGATTTCATGAGCTGTCAAGTCGACTAAATCTGTGAGTTTCTTGCATCAAATCATCCACTCTGAGATCAAGCTGATCTCTTTACCAAATATGCTGAGATCAGTTGCATAGTCATCGAACCAAATCCGCAAGAACAGTGCGCAACCAGTTCACAGAAATCCAACGATCAAAGAAAACATAGAAAACCAAACAACAACAAAATAAATGTCAACAGCCCATAGTCAAAATTATCAGTATCAAGCTTCTCAGCGCCTTTTCATTGGCGGCTTAGCTGCACCGTCTTGTGAAACTACATTTTCAGGCTCCCAGCAATCTGACTGACATTTAGCCATTGTCGGGGCTACGTCATCGCCTTCCCTTCTTCTTGCCACCTTTGCCTTTACCTCCTTGCTTGCTTCGGCGTTTGTTCACCCGGGATCGTGACAGGGCCTCAAAGAAAGCACGGCAGCGGCAATTGAAAGATGGTGAAAGATGGACAGGTCACACTTGTCGCTCGAGCAACACTTAGGGCCCCAACATCATTCCTTCTCTCATGGCTCACACCCACCTTGCAGTGCCGATGCCGATCTCAAACTGACTGGATCTGAACATCTCTGATCAATTCTGATGATCTTTATATATCTTTATATGCCATATGATCCATATATGATCCATATGCAAATCTCTGCTGTGAAATCTGTCAAACTCTTAGTGTCCGCCTGCGCGGCCTTGTGCTTGTCAACAGGGCCATCGCCCGACAAGACTCGGCCCACAGCTTTCAGGTAGTTGTCCTGAGCACTCGGAGAACTACACAGAACGACTTGGATCGAATTCTCTGAGAGGACAAGCCCAACATCCCAACAGTTTGATAAATAGATCAATATTTCAAGAAAGTTTCAAGAAAGTTTCAACATATCAATGTATTTCATTATGTTTCATTCTTCGTGTTTTCGTCCATGAGAAAACAGCAGCGAGGAGAAAAACTGAAGCATACAGTCGCACATAGCATCATGAATGCAACATGAATGCATCATACAGCATCTTTCAATTCTTTCGGCAGGGTGTTGGATCAAATCTCCCAACCTTCTCGACGCCACCGCTGACAGGTGCTACGCCTTTCTTGCGCTTGGGCTGCAAATTGGTGGCCTCCAAATGGCAACGTGGCACATTTGATTAGATTGATTTAGATTGATTTAGATTGATTTGGATTGATTTGGATTGATTTGGATTGATTTAGATTGTAGATCCTATACCTGCAGTCTCCAAATCTTTGGAAACACAGGCAGCCAGAAAACATATGCCATAAAATGCCATAAAATGAGGCAAAATGATGCAAATCTATCCGACGTTTTTTCTATGTTGGCTTCGGCACCTTTTGGGACACCAGGCCTCATTGGGCGCCACCCGGTCAAACTTCCCATAGGAGGCGGAAGAGACCTGCCCAGACGACTCGGAATCCAGAGACCAAAGTGACCAAAGTGACCAAAGTGGCCAAACAATTCACAGAATTCCATGCGTTCAATTTCTCGCCCTGAATATCCCTGAATGCCCTGAATTCCGTCCTTGCCTGTGCTCTCTTGATGGCCTCCTTCAATCCATCCTTTCCACGTTTCCTCAGCATAGCAGGCGTAGCACTTACCCTCGTGTGCCCTCGTTCAAAGGCAGTGTTTCTGTCCTTCAAGCTTCGTCAAATGTCAACAGCGATGTGAGCTGTGTTTCCAGCTGGCTGTTGGACAAATCTGGCACGCTGGCTCGAAGTTTTCCTGGCGCGAAGCATCGCTTCACAGGGAGCCCGGAGGTGGGCTTCTCCCAGCTTTGAATACACGGCAAACCCAGGATCAGCGAGATCAGAAGTACAGAAAATGTTGAGATGACAAGGACCTGCGAGCTGTTCCGACCAAAAAGAAGCAGAACTACTATACACAGGAAGTTAAACAGCTTCAGATCAAATCAAAAAAAACTTTCCAGCTCAATGTCCAGGTAACATGAAAAACTCCAGCCTCCAGCAGCTTCTACTTTGTTTCTCACCTGCAATCTTGACCGAGATGGCTGGAGATCTGGGGAGATGTCTGAAGATCTAAACAATCATCATGACCCATTTGCAATCCCTCATGATGATTGTGTAATTGTAGCCTGGGCCTGGCAATCACTCATCCGCTTAAGCCATTTCCGCAGGGAAGGACCTCCCAGCGCAGGCCTCGCGCATCTTCTGTCGAGCTTTGAGAAGCCGCTGCTCAGCTTTTTCCTGCAATGATAAACCATCCCAAATTGGGGCTTTATACGGCGCGTCACCCCCGTTTGGGTCCAGTTTCATTCAAGATTCGAATTGAAGCAGTTTTTGCATTTTGCAGCTTCAATTTCAAGGATCCCATGCATGAAACATGAGGAAAGTCGTCACGTTGGGTCACTGCATGGCACTGCATGGCACTTGCTGCACCGGACCTGGTCAAAGGGGTTCTGGTTGGGATCATCGCGGTCGCCAACCTACACGTCACGACGTCACGACGTCACGGCGTCACGACGTCACGGCGTCACGACGTCACGTGCCGTTGGATGATGGATATGTTGGGGTAGTATAAAATGACATAAAAATAGTGTAAACATGTATAAACCACTATAAACCTACAGTATCCTACCATAATCAACCAACGAGGGTTCACGATTTGCCCGGTTCCTTTGCCTCTTGAACCCAATTGGCGTTTTGCTGAGACTTCTTGATGCTGTTGTAGCCTTGGTTTCAGACGCTTCAGGAGCTTGAGAACATTGACCAAATCACCCACAATTCCTTCGTAAAACTTGGCTCTGCCGCTGAACAGTTTTTTTTTACCTACAACGACATCTTGATGACCAGGATGCAGACATCTATAGGGGATTTAATCCAGGATTAGATGGGATTATCCGCCGACCCCTGCCAACAGCAGGGGGAGCGCGTCAGAGAAGAGATTACAAGCAACAAGTGTTGTGCAGTGCAAGTGAGGGGCAAGCGAGGGGGGGACAGAAAGGGAAGCCAGGTGCAGAGTAAGAAGCCCAAAAAAGGAAGCGAGAAAGGAGAGGCAGTCTCAGCGAACGTAGCAAGCGAAAGAAGCACGAAACAAGAAGTTAGAAGCAAGAATGCAGAAGCAAGAGTAAACGAGCGACAGAAAGTAATGTTTGGCACTCTGGGCTACGGGCCGCGGGCCCAATCCGTCCTTCACTGCCATGGTGTTTTAGCCCTGCGAGGAAGTCCCTTGACCGGAGCTGTGCCGCACGAAAGCCAGCTGTCAGACAATGCAGGCAAGTTGGCAGTTGGCAGTGCAGGAACGCAGGGAAAAGCTAGGTTTGAGCTGCAAGACGACGCAGGCAAAGTGGCAGTTGGCAGTGCAGGAAGGCAGGGAAAAGCAAGGTTTGAAGCTAGTTTCTAGGCAGTTCAGAAAGCAACGTTAGGCACCGTGGGCTGCCGGCTGCGGGCCCGATCCGTCCTTCAGTGCCATGGTGTTTGGGCCCTGCGGAGGGGTCCTTTGACCGGACCTGTGCAGGACGCACGCCAGCTGCAAGAAGACACGGGCAAGCTAAGTTTGGAGCTCGTTTCTAGGCAATTCAGAAGGCAACGTTAGGCAGTGGGGGCCGTGGCCCGCAGGCCCCGTCCGTCCCTCAGGGCCCTGCTGTTTCGGTGTGGCGAGCGCGCCCTGTGTGAGCCTTGGCGGCTGGAAGACAGGTCGTGGCGGCCGTGGCTCGCACGCCCGGTCCGTCCTTCAGGGCCCTGCTGTTTGGCTGTGGCGGAGGCGCCGTTTTAGGTCAGACAGCTACTTTTCTTGTAGGTTCAGAAAGCAACGTTAGGCAGTGGGGGCCGTGGCCCGCAGGCCCCGTCCGTCCCTCGGGGCCCTGCTGTTTCGGTGTGGCGAGCGCGCCCTGTGTGAGCCTTGGCGGCTGGAAGACAGGTCGTGGCGGCCGTGGCCCGCAGGCCCGGTCCGTCCCTCAGGACCGTGCTGTTTTGGCGTGGCAATCGCGCCGTGTATGAGCTTTGGCGGCTGGAAGACAGGTCAGGCAGCTTGCTTTCTTGTAGGTTCAGAAAGCAACGTTAGGCAGTGGGGGCCGTGGCCCGCAGGCCCGGTCCGTCCCTCAGGGCCTTGCTGTTTCGGTGTGGCGAGCGCGCCTTGTTTGAGCCTTGGCGGCTGGAAGACAGCAAAGAGAGTTACTTTTCTTGTAGGTGCAGAAAGCGACGGTAGGCACTGAGTGCGGTGGCCTGCAGGCCCGGTCCATCCTTCAGGGCCCTGCTGTTTGGCTGTGGCGGAGGCGCCGTTTTAGGTCAGACGGCTGCTTTTCTTGTGGGTTCAGGGGGCGACGTTAGGCAGTGGGGGCCGTGGCCCGCAGGCCCCATCCGTCCCTCAGGGCCCTTCTGTTTCGGTGTGGCGAGCGCGCCCTGTGTGAGCCTTGGCGGCTGGAAGACAGGTCGTGGCGGCCGTGGCCCGCAGGCCCGGTCCGTCCCTCAAGACCCTGCTGTTTTGGCATGGCAATCGCGCCGTGTGTGAGCTTTGGCGGCTGGAAGACAGGTCAGACAGCTAGCTTTCTTGTAGGTTCAGAAAGCAACGTTAGGCAGTGGGGGCCGTGGCCCGCAGGCCCCGTCCGTCCCTCAGGGCCCTGCTGTTTCGGTGTGGCGAGCGCGCCGTGTTTGAGCCTTGGCGGCTGGAAGACAGGTCGTGGCGGCCGTGGCCCGCACGCCCGGTCCGTCCTTCAGGGCCCTGCTGTTTGGCTGTGGCGGAGGCGCCGTTTTAGATTAGACAGTTACTTTTCTTGTAAGTTCAGAAAGCAACGTTAGGCAGTGGGGGCCGTGGCCCGCAGGCCCCGTCCGTCCCTCGGGGCCCTGCTGTTTCGGTGTAGCGAGCGCGCCCTGTGTGAGCCTTGGCGGCTGGAAGACAGGTCGTGGCGGCCGTGGCCCGCAGGCCCGGTCCGTCCCTCAGGACCGTGCTGTTTTGGCGTGGCAATCGTGCCGTGTGTGAGCTTTGGCGGCTGGAAGACAGGTCAGGCAGCTTGCTTTCTTGTAGGTTCAGAAAGCAACGTTAGGCAGTGGGGGCCGTGGCCCGCAGGCCCGGTCCGTCCCTCAGGGCCTTGCTGTTTCGGTGTGGCGAGCGCAGCCTTGGCGGCTGGAAGACAGCTAGAGTTAGAGTTACTTTTCTTGTAGGTTCAGACAGGCCGTGGCCCGCAGGCCCGGTCCGTCCCTCAGGACCGTGCTGTTTTGGCGTGGCAATCGCGCCGTGTGTGAGCTTTGGCGGCTGGAAGACAGGTCAGGCAGCTTGCTTTCTTGTAGGTTCAGAAAGCAACGTTAGGCACTGAGGGCGGTGGCCTGCAGGCCCGGTCCGTCCTTCAGGGCCCTGCTGTTTGGCTGTGGTCAGACAGCTACTTTTCTTGTAGGTTCAGAAAGCAACGTTAGGCAGTGGGGGCCGTGGCCCGCAGGCCCCGTCGTCCCTCGGGGCCCTGCTGTTTCGGTGTGGCGAGCGCGCCCTGTGTGAGCCTTGGCGGCTGGAAGACAGGTCGTGGCGGCCGTGGCCCGCAGGCCAGGTCCGTCCCTCAGGACCCAGCATGCTGTTTTGGCGTGGCAATCGCGCCGTGTGTGAGCTTTGGCGGCTGGAAGACAGGTCAGACAGCTAGCTTTCTTGTAGGTTCAGAAAGCAACGTTAGGCAGTGGGGGCCGTGGCCCGCAGACCCGGTCCGTCCCTCAGGGCCCTGCTGTTTCGGTGTGGCGAGCGCGCCGTGTTTGAGCCTTGGCGGCTGGAAGACAGCTAAGAGAGTTAGTTTTCTTGTAGGTGCAGAAAGCAACGTTCGGCACTGGGGGCCGTGGCCCGTAGGCCCGGTCCGTCCCTCAGGGCCTTGCTGTTTGGCTGTGGCGGAGGCGCCGTTTTAGGTCAGACAGCTAGTTTTCTTGTAGGTTCAGAAAGCAACGTTAGGCAGTGGGGGCCGTGGCCCGCAGGCCCCGTCCGTCCCTCAGGGCCCTGCTGTTTCGGTGTGGCGAGCGCGCCCTGTGTGAGCCTTGCCGGCTGGAAGACAGGTCGTGGCGGCCGTGGCCCGCAGGCCCGGTCCGTCCCTCAGGACCGTGTTGTTTTGGCGTGGCAATCGCGCCGTGTGTGAGCTTTGGCGGCTGGAAGACAGGTCAGACAGCTAGCTTTCTTGTAGGTTCAGAAGAGAGTTAGTTTTCTTGTAGGTGCAGAAAGCGACGTTAGGCACTGAGGGCGGTGGCCTGCAGGCCCGGTCTGTCCTTCAGGGCCCTCCTGTTTCGGCGTGGCGAGCGCGCAGGGTTCTGTTGTTTGGTGAAGGCTCCGTTTGTGATCAGTTCTGCACGGGCCATCGGTCGGTGCGACACTGCTTTCCGTTGGGCGTGCGATGCGTTATTTGAATTTGACCGGAAGCTTTTGTTGAATGCACCACTGTGCCGCATGTTGGACATGTGTGCGCAAGTGTACGGCCTGCAAGCAGGCCATTCGCAACGCGAAATTTTTTGCCGCAGCCATCACCGCGGCGGTGATAGACTTGCCCTGTTGCCACAGTGCTTTGCACAGATTTGGCGCAATGCGGGCAGAGGTATGTGTACACCCGCGGCGTCGCTGTGTCGGGCTCCGCAGCAAGCTGCTGGGTCGATGAATGGGCAACACCCGTTCTGGTTTCGTCTGTTCCCATCGACGTTTGTCTAGCCTCGTGGATTTTCTGAATCTCCTTGCAAACGTCTGCTAGGATTGCTTCGTGTCGTTGACGGGATTCGCGTTGGCGCAAGCGGGCCAAGCGTTGATTCGTGCGATGAGCAAGACGACACACGAAGGCAAAGGCTGTGCATGCATTGCATACTTGTGTACCATCCTGCGTATGTTTCCGACTTTGCTGCCAAGCTGTGAACTCTGCTCGTGGCTTGCGTTCGCTGCACTGGGAACATTGCCAACACCCCCGCTGTTTGGTGGTACATTCTCTGCAGCAGCGGCGGTCCGCGTTGCGAGCTTTCCATGCGGCCGGTCCAAATTCGGCTTCCGGTTTTGCAACGCCACATTTGAAACACGGTTTCTTCATTTCACATGTCAAACACACACGGAAAAAACTACATTGCCGTTGGCGGTGCTTTTCCGGAAAATTGGTCTCGACATGCCACAGCTTGCACACGTTGCATTGCCATGGCGTCCCGGCATCTGCGTAATGCTTTGTGCATTCGCGACAAACGCGATCTTTGTCGTCGCGCTTCCACTGGCCAGCGGTGAAAGCTGTAGATGGCTTGCGCTCTGCGCAAGTTGAACACGCGCGTTCTTCACAATATTTGGCCAGCAAGTCCTGCCAATTGATCGGTTCCCTGCGAAGATGTCGGAGCAGCAGGTCCCGCCCTAAACCAATACCTTGTAGCTATAGCAGAAGAGGCCTCAGAGCCCTGCTGTTTCGGTGTGGCGGAGGAGCCGTTTCTGGGCTGGGCGGCTGGAAGACAGCTAGACAGCTATATGGGTGCGAGTCAATAATCGGGTATGGATTGCTCCGCGGTGATCCGAACTATGGATCAGGAGTGGTTACGTAAGGTACCTGCTCCGTACCCTTTCGTAAGCGCTCATCATAGCATACAAACGGTGCTGATACTCCTACTCTCTCCTACCTGCTATTACTTCTCCTCCTGCTACTGTTGCTGCTAAAACTGTTGCCACTGCTAGTAGAGGGAGCAGTAAAAAAAAACAACACCAGCAGCAGTAGCGGCAATACAAGGAGGAGCTGCAGTAGCAGTAGAAATAGCAGTAGCAGTAACAGTAGTACTAGTAAGAGTCAAAGTAATAACAGTAAAATAATCTAATGGAGTAGTAGTAATAGTAGCATAGCAGCAGCAGCAGTAGTAGTAGAAGTAGTAGTAGTAGCAGCAAAAGTAGAAGTAGAAGTACAAGCAGAAGTAGAAGTAGAAGCACAAGTAGCGCAAGAAGCAGCAGCAGAAGTAGTAACAGATTCGGACTTTCATATTGGCACTTGTTGTGGCGTGACTGGGTTCGGATATGGACCAGGCATGGAACGGGTCTGGATCGGGGTATGGATCAGGACACCATGCTTTTTTAGTTCTACACGTGCCAGGCAAAGTAGAAACAGAAGGACTTGTAGTCATAGCACCACTAGAAGTACAATAAGCACCTAGTGGAAGTAGAACCGGTCTTACAAGCCTCCAAGGTGCACTTGCAATATTGCGAGTAGCTAGTCAACTAGTTACATTTGTCCAACAACCGAAGCACACGGAGAACGTGAGCCAGCACCAGCAGCGAGAGCACGACCAGCAGGAGCAGTAGCAGCAGCTCCTGGGAGGATAATCACTAGTAGTGGCGGCGGCAGCAGCAGCGGAGGCAGTGGAGGCAGCAGTAGAAGCAACGGTAGTAGCGATGGGAGTAGCAGTACGACGACCAGAAGCAGTATATATTAGGATAAAAAGCATCGTTAAGGCCAGCATCAGTCTTTCTTCAACGAGAAAGGGGTATGGATCTGGGGTATGGATCAAGGGTATGGATCAAAGTATGGATCGGGGGGTATGGATCGTGTGTAGCTTTGGCGCCTTGATCCATACCTTGTATTTTGACTCGTACCCATATAGTTTTCTTGTAGGTTCCGGAAGTGACGTATGTGTCAACTCCCCCTCTCTCCCAGGGGTCGGCGGCAGGGGGCGTAGCCCCTTAATTAGATGATTAATTAGATCTGGGTAAATTATAATAATTCACTAACCTGATCATTTGGGGATGATTTCCCTTACTAACCATGATTCCAGTGAGGTCACTGTGAGGTCGTTATAATTTACCCAGATTAGATTAGATGGGATTAGATGGGATTGGACATGGCTTAGTCTTGTTTTTTCCATGGCTCCATGGCCAGATCGCTCCCATCGAATCCCCAAGGCTCCACGCCCCATCGAGGCTTCCAGTCCCCTTCGATCTGGCGTCGGGGCGGCTCGGCAGCGATGATTTACCGGGAATTTACCTGGAAGAGCAACTAAAATGATGGGTTTATGATGGGTTTATGATGGTTGATGGGTTTAAAAAGAGGTTTCTAAACAACTTGGATAAGCCTTATAAGCCTCGAAGCGGTTGATTGGATCCAAGAATTCCGAGCCTCATCGAAAACGAGTCGACTTCTTTTCTTCTTTTTCATGTTCCTTTCCTGCAGGTGTGGGGCGTGTCAAGGGAAGACTGTGTCCTCGGAAAAATAATGTCAAAACATTGCGAACATGTTGAATCATGTTGAATCATGTTGATAACTGAGGATTAAAGTCTCCTCCTAACCAAAAATCTGTCATTTCGGGAGGTAGAGAGTAGTGTACAGGTAGAACTGATAGATCTCGGTAGAACAGCCCCACCGTTGCCTCCATGAACTTCTGCCACCGCGTTTTCGGCTTCTCCTTGGGGATGGGCTTCGATCGAGGCAATCGAAAGACTCCCTGGCGGAACCGCAGGCCGCAGCTATCTGCTGTAGCTGTAGCCACTGTAGCCATCCGTCTCTACCATGTGGATACTGTCAACTTGTTGCTACAAACATGCCGCTTATTTTCAATGATTTTTTTGCATCACATCATCACATCCCAATTCCATATATTCCATGTGCAGGTCCAAGGTATTAAGTCTAATTGCGTATTCACAACTTGCTCCAAATATCATAGCCCCCTGCCTCTGCAGGGAGCGAGACCAAAGTTCCTTCATCGCCCTTGTTTCGGGGCAATGCGAAGAGCTTGTTCACAAGGAGCCTTGGGAGTGGTGAGATGTGGTGACGCTCGCGCACATGCAGCTCACATACGAGTACAGTGCAACACCCCAGTTGTGAAGGCAACAGTTTTAAGGAGCAGATCCACCATGAGCAGAAAACTCTTAGGGTCTCGGAGAATGAGAAACACTAAGGCGCTAAGACGACCAAAAAGATCCAAAAGATCTGGGCGGATGCTTTTTTGGAGCAACTTAGAGTCCTGCTGAACAGAGTCTCTGGAGTAGGCCGCCAGATCAGTTCCCGCGGAACTCGGATGTAACACAGGTCACTGCAAGTCACTGCAAGTCACTGCAGGTCACTGCAGGTCTGAAATCCTCGATATCTCAGCCCCTCACACAGGAGAGATATCATACGCAGCCATGTGTTTGAGGTCATAAATCAAATTGTCTTCTCTCGATGCCTCAGTGAATGCAAACAGATACCAAAGCACAACTTTGGTCGTTGGGAAACTTGAGTACCTTCGTCCGTGGGGTGAATGTCCATGACCCATTATGAAATCTTTCGCAACACGATTTGGGCTTCAACAGCCGATGCTTCATCCGATTTCATGACTTTCATGACCCAAAACATCCGCCGCAAAAATCACCGAATGGATTCCTGCGTGCCCCACGGTCGCAGGTCGCGACACCGCAGGCTCTTTGGGACTCGTCATGACGCCAAAAGATTGTAACGGTTAAAGACTGTTAAAGAGAATAGCTTCATGTCACTTCCAGTGGAAACGCCTCAAAAATTGGACAGTCAGGTGACTAAAGGAGTCGGCATAACAAAACAAATTCAGGGCAACATGAAATGCATCTCGTAGTTTCATCTGCAAGTATATTTTCAAAGCTATTTGGATTTGAGCCCAAATCTGCAAAAGGAGAACTGAGAGGACTATTCAATCATGGATCAGAAGTCCAATCCGCTCAAACGTGTAAGCAAACAGAAGCAAACACCGTTTCGCGAGACGAAAATTGCGCCAAAGCCCAAAAGAAGGGTTCAGCACAAGCTAATAAATATGTTCACCACAGGGTGAGAACAATTGAAAGATATTGAACATTTCCCAGCCACAACGGATACACACTAAGAGATACTTTCTTGATCTTTCTTGGGTGTTGTCTGTGCCTCCAAATCATTCTGCTCCGTGGGTCCCAAAATTGCTACCAACTCTCGATCAGTTCTTTGGGGATTTGAACAAAGATGTGGTGTCTCCAGTTGCAGCTGTGTTCCACTGTCGTGAAACATACACAGCGAAGTAAGCTTGTTGGCAAACAGGCAGATTGACTTGTCTTTCAGGATTTCGATGCGAGGTTATCCAAAGTTGGAGTAAATGGCATTCATTCAGCCCCAAGGCTGTTGGTTCTCATTGTTTGTAGCTCAGCTTTGTCTCAGGGCTCACTTCGCTTCCAGGCGTGGCAAGGCGGGATGTGCCCAGGCGTTATCGCTTTTTATCATCAGCCGCCGCCTTGGCCTTTGCTTCGTTCCGCGCCTGGCCAAACCATCATGCTCCGCCATATTTTGGGGGTGATGGGTGATGCCGGTGATGCCTTTCAGCCATGCCCATATCATTGCAGTCATGTTCTTTGAAAATTGCGAGCTGGAAACCCAGTCACCATGCATGAGTTGCCAACCCACTAGTCACTAGTGGGTTGCTTTAAGACAATCTTAAGTTGGTTGCTGGTTGTACAAACCATCTAATCACTTCACTAATCACTACGCCAGGCTGACTAGTAATGATCATTATCTGATCATGATCAATCAATTTTTGAATGGTTGGAATGGTTGGAATGGTTGGAATGGTTGGATTATATTACAACTATTATAACTAACGAATATTAAGGTACCGTAAGCATCGAAGCCTCCCATTTCGTCCCCAGGACATGTCACTGCACCTTGCCAATGGCCTCCGTCATCTCGTTGGGAGCAGGGAAAATCTGGCAGTTTGAACGAGTGAAGCACATCAAATGGGCCCAACATGCCCAACACAAACAACAGAAGATCCGTTTATGACGATTATATGATATGGATCTGGAATGATCTGGATATGTGAAGTGAAGAATATCCATCTTTGAAATTTCAGGCTGGCACGCATCTCAAGGTGGAACATCATTTCTTTGTTCAACAGTTCCAGGACATGTCTATTCGGGGAGACCATAGCTGATGCATCATGGATCGGATAAGAGGCTTGCCTTGTACTCCATTTTCTCCCAAACGGTTCCATCATTCCACCTGGGCACTCCACTCCTACGTAGAAATCTCGTTCGGTTCAACATGGATGGCTTCCGCATGCCTGAGCTTCACACTTGATGCCCTTAATGCCCTCCTTCTTGTTGCTAAACCAAGTGCCCACCGCTTTCGGTCCACCTCGCTCTTTGAAAGGCAGCCGAATTTCATTCCCGTCGTACCTGGAAGGACAATCACATCAGCTTCCTTTGCTAGAAAGAGATCCCGGAACATCCCAAAACATCCCCAAGACCAGTTGGTTTCTCAAATTCGAGCATGAAGCATTGCAGGCATTGCACCACAGAAATCCACAGATCTTTCGAAGGATGTCCCTCCATCGAGCACTCGGAAAACACTTCCCACTCATCTCCACCAGGAGCATCCTGCAGCCGCTGTAGCTGATGACGATGAAATGAACGGTCACTGCGGTCACTGCGAATTCTGCGGTCACTGGCAAGATACCCTACCGTGGCAGATCGTGGCAGATCGTGGCAGGTGACGGTCCCTGCCGCGGATGGTGGCGTAACCCCCCAGCGCGTTGCTGTTTCGGAGGCAGGTCTCAGTGGTCCAAGCAGCTGAAAACATGTGGATCATGTGGCCTGAAAAGCTGCAAACTCTGGGTGGCCCTGCACCCTCTGGGGTTCCAATGATTTCGGCCTACCAGGTGAAGAAACCAAAATGAACAGTGCCATTTAGCTGAAAGAGAGGGCTGGGTGAGCCGGGTGAGCCGGGTGAGCCGGGTGAGCTGGCCAGCTGGCCTCCTTGCAATCTTTGCTAGTATCCAGAAAGGATCCATCCCACTTCTCAGTGCTGAAGACACTCTGCGCCTGACGTGGCCAAGCACATCGGTTTTCCGTCATCAAATGCCATGAAAATTGCCATCAGCTTCGGTGCCTGAGCTGGAGCTGTTCCCAAGATCCAAGAGCCAAGAGAGCCCAGTAGGAGACGACGGGACCCACCTGGAGCATCCACGGTGGTCCACGTGTTTTGGGGCTCCGAACTTCACGGGACTCACCACTGGCCACCGGCCTTCAAAAGAGCTCTTGGCACCGACCACTTTGGGTGTCAGAAAGGCCGGCCTCAATGTCACGGCGTCAAGATCAAGACAATAAGTTCACGACAAAAGGTGGCATCGTATGGCCACAATATGCCACAATACGACATTCAAATCGTTGAATCACATTTGTCACATTTGTCACATTTGTCATTTGTCATTTGTCATGTTTCTCATTCCCGCCTGTGCCTGTACAGCGCAAGGATCGCTAGACATGCTGCTATCCAAAGCCTCGCTGGCCTCCGGCGCATCTTTCCTGAGAGGTTTCACCCACGGAACCCGGGATGCCGTGGGCAGTGTCGGTGTCAGCAACGAACCAAAGATGCGGCCAAGCATCTCTCAGCTGAATCTGTGGTATTAAAATTGAGTGTAAATTGGCTGCAGCAAATCATCATCAGAACCGATCACAGTCCAACAAGTAGTCAGAATCAATATAGTCAGTAACAATCAGTAACAGTCAGTAACAATCAGTAAAAAAACATATGCCACATATGTATATGATTGTATATGTCAATAAAACACACAATAACACACATGTCATATGTGAAAAAAAAACAACGACTTGGCCACGCATTTTTCCGTCGGGTCGTTGCTCAGATTTGCACCGGCTCTCCTCCAGGGATTCCTCTAATGGGTGGCTCGTGTAAGAGCCCATGCGCCAGGAAAAAGACCAGGTACATCAAGGCCTAACGCACGAAAAATCATGAAAAATCTCCACAGCAACTGTTTGGGGAACATAAGTAACATAAATGGGAACAAGATTCGAAAAATATACAAAGATATACAAAGATATCACGTCACCCATCAATCATCCTAGATTTCTCCATGGTGACAAGCTTCTGCATCAAAAATGAACTTTCAACATGCCTCCTAAGCTGCATGGAAACGACCATTCTTGGTTGGTTGTTTTTTTAGCACTGGGCTATGTCCAGCTGTCTAGCTGCCTAGCTGGGTCCATCTGTTTCTGAGAGTTGCACTGCGTTGAAGATTGGACCACCCACCCAAAGAAGGAGCACGATGGCCGTAACTGCAGCCTTGGTCACGGGTGTCGGGCGTCCGACTGAGGTGGGTCCAATCCTGCAAAAAATCACCATCTGGACGTATCTGGGCTGCACCACTGGTTGAATGATTTCCACGTGTTTTCACCATCCAAAGAAACATGTTACTGTTACAACAAATGAGAACCACCAGATTTCATTTATCCCACGACAGGTGACGAGCAAGAGCCATCTCTGCATCGGTGAGAGGACCACCTGACAGGCTACGACAGGCGCAGCGGCACAGCGGCCGTATGCCGAATGCCGGCACTCTGAGGTGCCGACACCACCGATCTTTGGCGCCCAGTCAGGGTCTTCGTTCTTCTTCAAGAACAGGACCCAGGTGATCACCTCACCACTGGTTGGCTATGCAAGAACCATGACAGCAACATCAATGTCCACACAAGGTGAAGCACAATGCCACAATCTCATACAATGTCTTTGGTCTTTGCATCTGAGGAGCGAACAGTCAAAATGATACACATCAGGGCTGACGGCTGCGTAAGAATAGAAAGAACAAGCTCAACCTGTTGCAGTCGATCACCGATGCCGACACGATGCCCGACGCGATGCCGACGATGTCGAACATCTGTACACTTCACTGCTGCATCACTGCATGACCAAAAATCTCAGGCGTGGGCTACAAAAAGAATGGCATAGTTTGTCTGAAAGTTGAAGACATTTGCCTCACAAAGATTCACAAAGCACATCTCAAGGTTAGCAAATGGCATAGGTTTCAAGCCATTTGCCCGCCGGAGGATAGGCATCCAACAGAAAGGCGGGAGCACCCCTCATTGGCTGTCGGCACCTGTGAAAGCGGCTGCACACTGCGGACTTCCGGATTTGCGCTTTGATCACTTGGACACATAGACATCAAACTGGGATTCAAACATAGAAGAAGATAGAACAACATATGCACTCTGTATACCGAATGTTACCTCACATGTGATTAGGACTTCTTAGCTAAAGGCGTTGTTTCCTATGACATCTTATGACATCTTGATACTGAGGCAGGCACAGACAGTGGCCACAGGAACTCCCGCCAGGGCCTTCAGTGCGTTGCCCAACTGGTCAGTTGGGATTCGACCCGATACCCTGATTTTTCAAAGGCGCGAATCATTCAGTTGAATTCTCCACATTCAGAATTTACGGTAATAATTACATTATTATATAATAATAAATATATATATATACAAATATATATCATTTCATCAATTTATATCATCCATATCATCCATTTGCTGAGTCTATGAATATCTTGAAACTTCTCGAAATGTAGCTTTTTTATTACCAAGAACCAGCTTGAGCCAGTTGGGCATCTAGGGCATCTAGGAGTCAGCTAGGGTTCCGACTGGGCCTTGGACAGGAAGCTGCTGGCCTGCAAGACTTGAAATGTGTTGAAGTGAGTTATAATTAGTATAGTATATAATATATGTATATATCATATTTATATCATATATATTATTATGTAAATAAATTATATATTGTAACTATAGTAACTATAAATATAACAACAAGTGAAAGTTACTTAATATGAATCGAAAGATATCGAAAGTATAATCGATGATATGCACTGCTTTCCTGGACTTCACCTGGACTTCGTTTCGGACAAATCGCACGCCTGGTCTTTGACCTTGGAGCCGTGTCTCTCCATGCCCCAAAAAAAAGTTCCACTGAGGCAACCAGGATCTGGAGAATTTAAAATTTAGGGTCCAAAGTTTCAGAAATGCTGAGAAATTCTCAAAGTATCATCCAAACAACGTTCGTTTGACTCCAAACAAATTCGGACGTCACATCTCCATCTGCAAATGCTTGCAAGCAGCAGCCCCAAGCGAGGAAGGTGGTGCTGCTTCCTGTGAACCTCAGCAATCATTAATATCAATCAGTGTCAATCAATATCCACCAGTAGTCCCCCAACTCTTTCGAGACATCCGGGGTAGAAGTTCCCACTGAGGCCTGGGGCTTCCAAGGAAGCCGTTCAATACACCTTGCAGAGCACCCAGCCGGCCACCTGCAGAGATTTTCACTGGGAAAATGCACAAACTTTGCCAAATCTCAGGGAAGTCATCCATAAATGACCCAAAATGCCATCCATAAAGCTTCCCCTGCGGCGGTATGGAGCCTAGTAGCCCAGCCAGCATTGCTGCACGAAAGCCGGAGGAATCCTCCTAAGCTGGGCATTGGCAGGTTTGGCATCTCTCAAAAACCCAATATCCGTGTGACAGGTGCAAACAACTTGTGCTCATTGCCTCATTGCATGAGTTCCGGGGAACAAGTGTCCTGTGGAGTTATGAAATGCCAAAACCCAAAAATGTCAAAAATTAATCTTAGATCTTAGGAGAAGTTAATAGGAGAACATTCATGAAAAGATTAATTTTTGATATTTTTGATGATGCTTGGATGTTGATGAAATGTCAAGCACCATCTACGTGACTGTCAAGCCTGGGCTGCACCTTTTGCTCCGGCAGGGCTGGGCTCCTTCCATTTCCGACCCATGGAAGCCACATTAAGCCACATTAAGTCACAAGCTGCGTCACAAGCTTCATGGAGCTTCAGCGGATTTTGGAACATGGAAGCTCCTCATTGCCAAAGGATGTCGGCTGCCTGGCATCTTTCCAGGCCCCGAGGTACGACGGAAACCACGACTCAACGACGCTTCATGGCTTCGCTCAGCTCCCTGCGGCTGGAGATTCACCGTGTTGGTGGTCCCGTTGAAGAAGCCTCACTCAAGGGATTCTCGCTGATTCTCGCAGATTCTCGCAACATCGGCGCCAAATCTGGAGATATCTGGAGACATGATGAGACATGGCGGTTGTTCACACATGTTCACACTCTTTTTGTCCACGAGAAAGCAGAAAGCTTCCAAACCAAGTTACCTTCCAACTCGGCATCAAATTTCATGTCATCCAAGAATTCGTCTGCCATCCTGCTCAAGGTCAAATGCCCCTTGTGTCAACCAAAAATACTGCAACGACACGCAAAATCTTCAACAGGATTGACAGAATACAATGCATACGGCATACTACAGCAAAAGAACGGCCTGAATCCAGGATCAAAGGCAGCTCTGATATGATGAATTTCTCTTGAGCCACGCCGCAGTTTGGCAAAAGTCTGAGCACAACTCTTCCACATCTTTTGGCTTTTGCCATATGGATCCATATGGGATCAGCATTTGGGTTGCCATCCAGTTGCCAATTCTCCGCGCCCAGTACCTTTCAGGATGGGGTGGGTCACAAATCAGCTCACATGGCCGCCCTTTTAATCTGCGGCAAACCACGTCTCAGCGTGCCCCCACGAGGGGCACGTCAAATGGACGCGGCACAGACACCGCACATGACCAACAACTGTCCTCACAGGTCCTCAACCTTCGACCCACTCTGGATATCCACTCATGTTTCAAGCAGAATCTGGCTATCGCTGAGACTGTGCCGGTGCCGTCAATCTTTTATAACATGTTGAACTTCATCTTTTTGGAAACTGACACAGAAATACATAGAATTTGATGGATTTGATGGAAATTTGTTTGACAAATTGACATAGAATTTGGTTCTGTGTGACAAAGTGCATTGACGCACCTGGACACCTCAGCTCACGGAGCTGCCTTGACATTCAGCTTGAAGTTGTATTCTTGATCGCAGCCCTGGCAATGGGCTTCACGCACTTCACACATCGCATCGCGGCGTTGTAAGTTGTAAGTTTTTGCTTCAAAAAACACTGAGAAACAGTTTTGCAACTTGGGAAACACATCGGGAAACACAGATCGAAACTTTCCCATCCCTTCCTCCCTTCCCACAATCGCCTGGTAGGAGTCGGACATCAGGTACAGGGTGTACTCGGAGCTGCCAGGCTCCTCTCCCAACTCCACCTCCAGCTTCACGTTGGCGCTGGCCTTGCTGATGGTGATACGCTTGATGGCCACCTGGGCTAGCAGCTTGATGTGACAAAAGTTGCAATGTTGAGAATACATGTAGAGTACATCCATTAGTAGAGTTAATAGAGGTTCTCTAAACTTGGACCCTTGTTTTTGCGAATCTGAGGATTGGCAAATTGGGACAGATTTCACGGCCAAAAGCTGCGGTCTGTGAATTGAGTCCCAGACCAGAGCGCTCTTGGGACCGCCAATGACCAACCACCAACTTTCCTCCTTCTCCTGCGAAATTTCACCGCAAACTTTTAGTGACATCTGGAAACAGCTTGGATTTGTTGTGGCCCATCGATTTTCAAGAAATACTGTCAGAGTCGCATCGACCTGTCCCAAATTTACAAATCATTTCAGGTCTTTAGTTCGGAAACCCATCGGCAAAAAGGCACAAAACGGCACCTTGGGGTAGTACATGGCATAGACAGGTCCCACTGTGGCGCCTTCTTCCTGGCTCAAAACCCTCTGGAAATCCGAATGGAGACATGAAGCTGATCCAAAGAGTTCATAGAATTGGATATAGCCTGATACAGCTTACATAGTTCATTTCAAGGGGCTGCCATATCTATCTATCTATATATATATATAATATACATAATATCCGCCGACCCCTGCCTAGCCTTGGCCTAGGCGGGGCGGCGCCCGGGATCACCGTAGGTGTGCGGCATGGCCCTGTGCCGGCTTTGGCCGAAGGCTCGGAACCTTTCCAAGTTCCTCTAGCAGCTTTCGAAGGCCTCAGAACCTCACAACCTTCCGCAGCAGCTTTCGAAGGCGTCCCACTTGCTTTGCCATGGTACCTCCCTAGGCCCCACAAGCTGTTTGAAACTGCTACGTGGCACGCTTTGGGCAGGCCTTAAAACCCTCAAGACCTCCGCAGCAGCTTTCCAAGGCCTCAGAACCTCACAACCCTCCGCAGCAGCTTTCGAAGGCGTCCCACTTGCTTTGCCATGGTACCTCCCTAGGCCCCACAAGCTGTTTCTATTGGGCTTCGAAACTGCTACGTGGCACGCTTTGGGCAGGCCTTAAAACCCTCAAAACCTCCGCAGCAGCTTTCCAAGGCCTCAGAACCTCACAACCCTCCGCAGCAGCTTTCGAAGGCGTCCCACTTGCTTTGCCATGGTACCTCCCTAGGCCCCACAAGCTGTTTCTATTGGGCTTCGAAACTGCTACGTGGCACGTTTTGGGCAGGCCTTAAAACCCTCAAAACCTCCGCAGCAACTTTCGAAGGCCTCAGAACCTCACAACCCTCCGCAGCAGCTTTCGGCCATGGTACCTCCCTAGGCCCCACAAACTGTTTCTATTGGGCTTCGAAACTGCTACGTGGCACGTTTTCGGCAGGCCTTAAAACCCTCACAACCTCCGCAGCAGCTTCCGAAGGCCTCAGAACCCCACAACCCTCCGCAGCAGCTTTCGGCCATGGTACCTCCCTAGGCCCCACAAGCTGTTTCTATTGGGCTTCGAAACTGCCACGTGGCACGTTCTCGGCAGGCCTTAAAACCTTCAAAGCCTCCGCAGCAGCTTTCGAAGGCCTCAGAACCTCACAACCCTCCGCAGCAGCTTTCGGCCATGGTACCTCCCTAGGCCCCACAAGCTGTTTCTATTGACTTCGAAACTGCTACCTGGCACGTTTCGGGCAGGCCTTAAAACCCTCAAAACCTCCGCAGCAGCTTTCGAAGGCCTCAGAACCTCACAACCCTCCGCAGCAGCTTTCACAGGCGTCCCACTTGCTTTGCCATGGTACATCCCTAGGCCCCACAAGCTGTTTCTATTGGGCTTCGAAACTGCCATGTGGCACGCTTTCGGCAGGCCTTAAAACCTTCAAAACCTCCGCAGCAGCTTTCGAAGGCCTCAGAACCTCACAACCCTCCGCAGCAGCTTTCAGCCATGGTACCTCCCTAGGCCCCACAAGCTGTTTCTATTGGGCTTCGAAGCTGCTACGTGGCACGTTTGGGGCAAGCCTTAAAACCCTCCAAACCTCCGCAGCAGCTTTCGAAGGCCTCAGAACCTCACAACCTTCCGCAGCAGCTTTCGAAGGCGTCCCACTTGCTTCGCCATGGTACCTTCCTAGGCCCACAAGCTGTTTCTATTGGGCTTCGAAACTGCTACGTGGCACGTTTTGGGCAGGCCTTAAAACCCTCAAAACCTCCGCAGCAGCTTTCCAAGGCCTCAGAACCTCACAACCCTCCGCAGCAGCTTTCGAAGGCCGCAGCAGCAGCTTTCGAAGGCCTCAGAACCTCACAACCCCCCGCAGCAGCTTTCGGTCATGGTACCTCCCTAGGCCCTCACAACCCTCCGATGAACAGACACGGAAATCCCTGATATCAATACATTCGATTCATTGTCCCACAATCTATGTTTACACTACCTAGACCTTCAAGAGTTCCATAATATTTGTACGTTTGGACTACTGCACGTGTGGGCCGTTTTGACCGTTCCCCGCCGCTCCGCCCTTGAAAGGGGGTCGGCGGCACCTGGGCGTTAGCCCATTTATATACAATATTACATTATGTACATGACAATTCTATACACTTTCCATCACGAACTACACCTTGACGTTCTGTCGTTCTGTCGTTCACCCATGGTCGCCCAATTTTGGAAGAAACATCAGAGGCACAGCGATGATACGGTGCCCATTGTGCCCCAGTTTCCACCTCCATGGCTTCTCTGGTCAGCTTCACCACGATCTTGGCGCTGCCGCCGGCTGTCAGGGAGTCAGAGTTCTGCACCTTGTGCGAAATGTTGAGACACCGTGCACGAAGGGCAGGAAAGCTAAAGGGTTTGGAAGCTGGGCCAACTGGGGGTGTTCCATGTTGGGAAACAGTTCGGTAGAGTCTTGATATCGAAACATGACTCGACATGAAGAAAAACGGAACACAACATGGTGCGACAAGGGGAAAAATGGGGAGAAGATGGGAGAAGAACCAGATCACCGACGCGGGATGACCCGGGAACTTCCTGCCTTGTACTCCAATGAGATGGCAGGGAAGCGATTGCATGCCCGTGCCACGTCCGTCATCTGGGACCTGGGAGGTCTTGGGAGTGGTTCCTCTACATGGCTTCCCATAACTCAAGCAGCAAGATATTAAGAAAGCATAATGTACCAGAAACTTGAATATCTGAATAGGATCTATGATAGGATCTATGATAGGATCTATGATAGGATCTATGATAGGATGATAGAACCAATAATGATCCGTTCAGATGCACGAGCCACTGGTCGCCACATGTTGCCACACTTTTCTGCCAGGCAGCTGCGATAAGCCATCCAACAACTTGTCTCGCGGAGCATCTTCCATGCTCATGACCTGGCAGTCTCGGCAGTCTCGGCAGTCCGAGTTCGGTGGATTTCTGCTTGATATTTTGTAGACCTTGTAGATCTGTGCTATAGACTATAGACTGTGCATTGGATTTTTTCCGAAAGGTCCAAACATGGCGCGAATACGTCGAAGATGTCTTCCACCTTCATCTTCCTCAGTGAAGAGCTGCATGAAAGGGTCACAGTACTGGTTCAGCTCAATCTTGACCACTGACAAACTGATGGAAAATACGCGGATGACAGCAGAGAAACTCAAACAGCTGAAGACATCTCAAAACAGGGTCAACCTATTTCAAACTCAAAGCTCCAAAGTCAGATTATTTGATGCTTCCTTCGGTTTGTATGCTCAAAATGAGCTCGCAGCAAACCTGAATCAGCTAGCAGCTAGTCACAGCTAGTCAGACTTACTACTCCACGGTTCCATTTTGAGGACTGATTCTGAGATATCCCCTTTCTTTGCTCATGGTTAAGACTCATGGTTGCAACAGTTGCTCATGTTTGCTACAAGCTTCTTGGCTTTGTCCACCATGGCTGGTGAGAAGTGTGGCAACTGCATCAGGGGGCTGGATGTGGAGGTGGTGGCTTGCACGATCATCTGCGAGAGTTCCATAGCAGACAAGGCAGGTGTCAGCCAACCGCAGGAAGAAATCACATCCACCAGGCCCTGGAGTAGTCGCACAGCATGTTCCAAGATAAACTTCTGATCTGAGGACAGATCCGTAGTGATGGGAGTACGTGTGAAGTGCGCATTCAACAAAAGTTGGGCTTTGGTGTGAGGATCATTCAACTTGTCCTTGTCCACCTTCATTCCCAAGGATTGAGCCAAGCCATACAATGTGGCTTCCTCTCCGGAGCGCACTGGCACCGCATCAAACTCCGAGGCAGCACACAAAATGTCCAACAAGCCCTTGCGCTTGGTGCTCTCATTGACACAGCGAGAGAAGGTTTCGATGGTCGTGTGGCGGATGTAGTAATAGGCCGCAATGAGACCCAAGTTGGCCGGAGCCAGGTCCACATCGTCCTCGATGCTGCAACAGCCAAAGCGTTCCAAACCTTCCACGGTGTTTTCCACGACTTCACTAAGGTGATCACTGAGATGTTGATGGGTCACACCCTGCAATCCGTAATAATTGGGATTCTGGGACAAACGACGGTAGTAGAAGGTCCAGGTCAACCAATCGACAGCATCCTGCTTGTTCTCAATGGTCTTCATCACGATCTCAGCATTCATGTGGTCAGCCATCCGCTGATCAAGATGGCTTTCGACCGGCAGAGGCTCATAAATGAACTTCTTGTAATACTCCTTCTTGGAGTTCTGCGTCAACAGTACCACCATCCCAGATTGATCAATGCCCGGACGACTGGCTCGACCCATCATCTGCAAGACATCATGGATGGGGTAGTCCACATATCGGTTCTCACGACCATCGAACTTCTTGGTGTCCATGATGACCACCAGATGTGCCAACATCGTCATCCCCCAGCAGAGCTGCTCAGTAGCCACCAAGACCTGGATGGCACCCGCCTCGAAGAGACGTTCGATCACCGCACGCTCCGTGGCACTGAAGCCTTCATGGAGGAAGCCAACACCATACCTCAACAATATGGGCTTGTCTGAAAATAGGGTATATTTCCAATTATAGCCATTTAATAGGGATAATGATCATTAACCATTGGGTTTAGGGGTACACTATTTTCAGACACACCCATATTAACACAAAATGGGATGGGACAAAAAATGAAAAAAAAATGATGGAAAAAATGACGAGATCACAGATCCGACTGGAAAATGGGCTTTCGATGTCTCCAGGGAAAAATGAATTGGAAAGTTTTTGGGCGGATTATACGATCAAACCTTTGAAGCAAAAAGATTAAAAAGATATAAAAAGATCATAAAAGATCATAAAATCAGAAACAAAGGGAGATTCTCATGATTTTACTGGATGTGAGACGGTCCAACACCTGTGTCTTGTTTCGCCGAAAGACTCCAGTGTCTGCTTCAGCGACTTCTCCCTGGCAGCTGCCAAATGAGGACGCATGGCATCATCCCCGACGTGCAGAAAGCGCTTGGGCTTGTCGTCTGACGCGGCGTGTAACAACAGATCGATGGCCGTCATTCGCGCCTGCTTTCGGTCAGGGACAAAGACGATGACCGGTTTCTCTGGGGAGAACTGCTTGATGGATTGATACACGGGTCTACTCATCGCCAACAAACGCGTGGAACGGTGGTGAATGTCGAAACCCTGGATGACCAGCTCCAAGGGCACCGTTCGCACGTTGGGTGAGAAGTTGAACAACCCGTTGCTGCCAGCGCCGATCCATTCCCCCACATCCTTGGCATTGGCCAAGGAAGCCGCCAAGGCCACGATTCGGATGGGCTGCTGCACCTGCACCGAAATGTAACGCATGCGACTCACCACGGCCTCCAGGGTGGGGCCCACATCGCTGTCCAACAGGTGGAGTTCGTCAACCACAAAGAGACGAACCTCTTGGACGCTCTTTCGTGTCTTCCACCTGCGGCTCATCAAATCCCACTTCTCAGGGGTGGTGATGACAATGTGGGAATCTTCCAAGATCTTCACATCACTCGTGGTCTCTCCAACCAACTCAGAGACTCGGAAACCCATGGACTTTCCAAACTTGAAGGACCACTCGTTGAAGCGCTCCTTTGCCGTGGAAGCATGTGGTGCCACATAGACACATCGCTTCACGGGATCATCTGAGGTCAACATCTTCAAGACGGCGAACTCGGCACAAATGATCTTTCCGGAGGCTGCAGGGGCGCACACCAAACAGTTGTCATTGCTGGAGTATAACATGCTGAAAGTTTGCGTCTGAATGGGATTGAAGACCTTCAAGCCCTGTGCCGCATACAACTTCTCAGCATCTGGGCAGCGCAAGGCCGTGAGAGGCAAGGGCTGCAAGTCCAACAGCTCGGTGTGGGGTGGGTACTTGTCGGGCAAAATCAGATGCCGGAAGGACACTGGAAGCAAGGTCTGTGCGTTGATCCACCTGTCCGAGACCACTCGGATGAAGTACCTTGCATGTTGCAGCAAATGTTGTAACAAATTCGGCAGAGAAAGAAGGAAACTTCAGGTGCCACAGAACAGAACTGGCAGAAATGCTGATAAAATTAAAGCTTCGCTCAACCTGCCTCCTTGATCCTAACTTGCAACCATTGTAGCCCTATGTAGCCTTTGTCATTGCTGCTTAGTTTTCGACGTGTTTCACAGTTTTCACATGTTTTCACAATGCCTCACCGAGTTGCTGTGGAGGCAAAGGCTCAGTGATGGGCACCGTGAAGTTCAAGGTATGCTCCTCCTCAGCACCTCGTTCCTGCAACACGAACATCTCCTGGCGGCATCAACATCATCAATGACTCCATCAACGGTTGTTGTTTTACGCTTCAAACATGTTGAAACCTTTCAACCCTGGCCCAGTCCTGGTGCAAAATCTGCTCTCCATTCACATCCTGTCGCGGACGATGGCTACAAAGGGTCGATTTCTGAGCCGCTGATCAGTTGGGAGCGTTCAAATAAATCCACGGTCGCACATCCAAAACTCGAGGAAGAAAATGTAAAGAACGAAAAAAAGCGTTTCCACACCCTCACCCATCATTTTCTGATGGTTGCAAAGGGTAAATGGATGTAAACAGATTACGTGTGACATCGCGTGACCTTGAGCTGACCCCGGGTGACCTGGCCGGCCCTGGCGGTGTGGCCTCCACAAAAACCCAGAAGGGCTCGGCGCGGCCATGGACCTTTGGATCCCACTGGAAGTCCGGCGTGATGGTCAGCTCCACCATGAGACAGGAGCCTCGGATCCCGGATCCCGATGGATCCCAGGGATTCCATCAGAAACAGTGTCGAAATTGTGAAATCATGAATCACAAATATTTACAAATATGTTCCTTAAATATCCTTAAATATCCTTAAATCCTATTCTTTGATTCCCCTCCTGAGCTTTGAAGCTTCCAAGTGGAGCATGGTGGACCATGAAGTGGTTTCATCTAGACTTTCCTTACACAGTCTCTATCTGTCTCTATCTGTCTGATCATCCCCGGCTCTGGACACGCCAAGGAACGAGTGATGGGTTGGACATAGGCACTCAAGTCCAGCTTTGGGAATTGGTGAACCAACTTGTGGATGGTTTTGCCTCAGCAGAATCAACCCAACCATAATTCCAGGTGGCCCAGATGACCCAAATGACCCAAATGACCCACATCCTTAGAGCCAAACCCATCTTTGGGAAGCGAATCAGCTCACCAATCTCCGAACTGGAGAGATCGTAGTAGCGCTCCCATGCAAAGTCCTGCCAGGGTGCCTAAAAAAACCCAACCACTATCTTCATGGCCAACGTTGGTTGCTGGGCTACCTGAAACTGGTGCCAGCACAACCCCATGGCTAAGTATGGCAAAGCGGCTATTGAAGGCCATTGCATCCGGGCCTTCTTCTCCACCTTCCGCAAGATATCTTCGGCCAGACCCTTGAAGTGACGCAGAGGCGTCTGACTGGCCCACATCCTCTTGTCGATCATCTTGCACCTCAAAAATAAATGGCAAAGATATGAAAAGACATAAGAAAAAATGTGAAAAGTGGAAAAAAGTGTTGGAATCTGGATGGATCTGTAGTCATCCTCCATCATCCTCCAATGGATGTTCTGCTGGAGGCTCACAATGATCCCGAGGCCACGGCCAATTCAGGGCCCTCAAGGCCAGCGCTGCCCAGCCTGGCCAATCCAGCAATTTGAACACCGAAAGTAAGATTTGGTCTTTGGATGTCTTTAGATGTCTTTAGTAAGTGTTGATATTTGTTGAAACAACAATCAAAGACATTCATCACATGAAAAAGGTGGATCATTCCCACTCTCTTGCCTCGTCGCAGACAGATCTCAAAGATCGCACGCATGATTCGTCCGGCCGATTGCTGAACCTGTGGCCAGAAAGTGGGAGGACATGGGAGGACACAGTATTGACCCATCCATGGGGGATAAGTTTGAACCCCACGGCCCAGTCTGGCTGCCAAGCAGCATAGACCATGTCTGACATGAGAGCAAAACCCTCCAGCTTCAACTTGGAGATGTAGGCCTACCGTCTGGCTATGTCTGGCTCAACGGAATTGCAACGTATTTGGGGGGCGTCTGACACCCCAGTACACTGTAAGGATCTAGAAGAGCTTGAAAACACCAAACGAAGCAACTTGCCTCAAATACCACGTCACGAATCACACTCCCAAAATATCGAATCAAAAACAGCTGAATCAATATGAATCAATCAGTTCTTCATTCTGCAAAAATTCTTCACAGCAAAGATGGCACCTGCAGCAGCACGTTGACCTTGGAGGAGGGCTCGTCGGTGCTGCCCTTCACTGGAACCGGCACGCGCTCCACCAGTTTCTGCCTTAACGTGGCACCATCGTGGTACCGTGGCAAGTACCGTGGCGATGATCATAGGGATTTTCAGGATTATCAGATTTTTTATCATATTACTCCCCGATTATTGTTAGATTACAATCAAATAATGATCAAATGGTTCTCATGCTGTTTTCACCGTGTGACAAATCATGGCTGCCAATAAAGATCGCCAGAGTTGCATCTCGACCTTTTCCTCTTCGCGCACTGGGATGTACTTGAACCTCAACGACAACGACACATGATTCTGATGTCATACCTCCACATCATCTCAGGATAGGAGCAGGGCATTTCGCCAACATCTCAGCCGCTGGCTCATGCGAAAGGGAGAACAAACGCAGCAGTTCAATGTCGGACATCATCGGCCGAAGGTGGTCGTTGTATGTTGCAATGGATGGATGCTGGATGTAGTAGTGGCCTGGCGAAGCCAAGAGCATCGACACAAAAAAATGGGTTCAAAACACGCAGCTGGAAGATGCTGGAAGATGCTGAAAGCTGTCGAGGAAATGCAAAGACAAAGTTAAACGATGTTTCAACTTGCGGCTGGATCACTCGCGACGCGACCAAGAGCAGTCACCTGTGGAGACAAGTCTTCGACATCAATTGATTTCAGGTTACAATCTGTTACAATATGTTACAATGTTTTTGAAAGGCTAAAGACATCACAGCAAGCTTTGCATTCCGCTTTTCCTGGTCCCCAGTTCACAGCAGCTAAAATCTTGGCTCCTACTTATTTTCCTGGTGATCCTTCTCTTCACAAAAAATCATCAAGTCAACCGAGGTTGGAGATGCAGATCATCCACATCCATCCACCAAATTTGGTCTGTGAAAACGTTGCCCAGCCTGAACCTGTCCAGTTCGCTTGTCGTACTTGATCAAATTGTTCTTGTCAAGCATCGTCAAGGCGCTGTGGATCTCGGTGACAGGAAGTCTGCAACTTGATGGAGCATCCATGCTTCATGCTAAAAGGATCAAAAAGGATCAAAAAGGATCAACCAGAGTAGCAAACTCTAGAAAAAATCTCTTACTATTGCAATTGCTATCAGGCAATATGCCAATGCTTCATTATCTCAGTATAAATTGTGTAAATCGTCTCCGTTGTTCACGAGGTTCGGGTTCGTTCCAGCCCAACTATTTGCTCTTCAACTCCCCATCTGGGCCCCCGCACCAAATCGACACGTCGCTGCTCCAGCAGCCGATCCTCTTCAGCTTCATCCGGCGAGATGCCGTACAGCCTGCCATGTGACTTTGAAGAGAAAAATGGAGAAAATCTGGAAATATCTGGAAATATACCATGGAAAGGCAAAACACGGCTTTATCCCCCATGGTCAGTGTATAAAGTGGTGACCAGAATCCCACTTTATAGACGCAAAGGATATCCACTTTATAGAGAGCTAGACATGGGGGTAATGAAAAGGACCCGATGGCGATAGAATGGAGGCCTCGGAGCCCGCATCATTCGCACCTCAATCGATCTGGGCCCATGATAACTTTCTTTGAAGGCTTCACCGCAACGACTTGGGGCTGCGACGTACAGGTACGTGTAGCCCAGCCAATTCACAGCATCCTTGACGTGATGGGGATGCAACAGGTGCAGTCGGTTCAATGTATGTGGGAAGCAGCAATTCTCCTCAAATCCTCAATCGGACCATAACCATCCATAACCTACATGAATTTAGGTAATTTAGCGTGATGTAACAGTGATGTATCACAGTTTTGCCGGTGTCCTGTCGAGTCTGGATAGTTCCCAGCACCAATTCTGCATTCACCATGTCAGGCAGAATGCTGAGCACCTACGGCGCTACGGCGCTTGCACATGGTCCTACCCATCTGGGAAAGGATAAGGGGACGCCGCGAAGCCCGGATAATTTCAGCTCGTGTCTTCGAAAGGCCAATGTAGGAGCCATGACCCATAAATGCCATAAATCATTGCCGAATGAACTGTCGAAAGTCCGGCAGGAATTGTGACGAGCACAGTGTCTAATATGTGTCTTCACACTCTCAAAACCTCAACGCAAACAACTTTCCAGTGTTCAATTCCAAAGTATCAGATTGTTTTCAATAGGTATATCATGGGTATATCATGGGTGTGTCATTGCCGGTGGAATCGTTGCATCCCCATGTTCCCAGGCATCCAGCCTGCGACTCAATGGGCAACTGCTGGTTCATCAGAGACAAGTAGTACCTCGCGGCTGTGCGTACCCAAAGCTGACAGTGTGGCGTTCCAATGTGGCTAACCCCAAGATAAACTCATTTCGGGGTGGCTAGATGTGGATAGTCTAAAGATATCTCAAGTCAGTCAGCATGGGACATCGCATTTTAAACACCACCGACCTCATGATACACAGCGGTCCAAAGACTTTGTCAAGGCACTGCAACTCGCTGTGCTGCGTGATGACGATGCCGTGCCCTGTCTTGTCATACTGCGGTCGTCCGGCTCGACCCAGCATCTGCATCCTTGGAAGTGTCTTTGGTGTTGGTGGTCTGCTAGAATCTTCATTCTCTTCATTGGGTCCACCAAACACATTGCATCACATTACGCTATAAATATAAATATAGATATAGATATAGATACTGCTGCATGCAGGGAATTCACAGAATCTGACACAAAAGCTGCAAAAATCATGGGATTCACCTGCGAACCAGTGCGAACCAGTGGCATGTCCATGGGAGACAACTCATCCCACTGGCCCTTCTGTGGGTTGTACACCTGACGTCCCATGGGTTGGATCATGTTGGATCAACTGTTCCGATCAACTCAGAACCTCAGAACCTGCCTGGGTTCCTTTGATGATGACGGTGTGCGCCGGCAAGTTGACACCTGCACAGCTACTCGGCCGAACTAGCCACCAGCTTGAAGGAAAAATGCAAAAAATGTCAAGTGAAGATGCAGGAAGTCCTAACCTGTCCATTTCTAGCGTTTAAATAAAACCTATTGAGACATAAAGCATCATAAAGCTATCCAATCTATCCATATCTCATGACCAAAGGCCACGCTCCTGGACATTCAAGTGTCTCAGCACCCGACCCCAAGCCAACGTGGCAGTCGAGACTAAGACTTGAATGTGGCGATCCGCGTACAAATCCTCCACCAAGAACCGCCATCATCAATCCATAATCATAACCAAAATCATCCAAAATCATAATCATAATCATCCAGAATCATAACCATCACAATCATCACATGATCAATCCATGATCCAATTGAGACCTCTGGACACCTCTCCTCCACCAGCTTTCGATCCGCACGAGGCAGTCCAGCATGGTGCACCGCAAAGCCATAGGGCAGTAGGTCCTGCACCTGACACCAACGGTACAGTGGAACCTCACACTGCTGGAATCTGGTGGATCTGGATATGGGATGATATGGGGAGTTCCTGAAAAGGGGGGTACCCCATTTTTTCCAAGTCATTAGACAATTTAAGTCTGAAAACCAGTTAAAACCACTCAAGTTTAAAACCATTATCCCAGCAAGAGACCCCAACAGTGTAGGGGGAGTAAAAAGATCATGGATTATAATGTTGATGATCTTAATGTTGATGATGATGATGATGATGATGATGATGATGATGGTGATGATGATGATGATGTGGTGGTGGTGGTGGTGGTGATGATAGGAAGATGATAGGAAGATGATAGGAAGATGATAGGAAGATGATAGGAAGATGATAAGATGATGATATGGATGTTGAGGAGGAGGGGGAAGATGATGATGTCGAGGAGGAGGATGTTGAGGAGGAAGACCGATCCCAAGACCGGGAAGCACACAAACAGGGAAAATGCCAAACAGGGACACTGCCGGACGCTTCCGATACCACCTCGATTGAACACCGGGCCTTAACTGTTGCCGTAAGAACCCTTCAGTGTGGCCACACTGTTTGCGGAATTTAAAACCTATGGTTTTGGGAAACCTCCATTTTGGAACAACTTTGCCCAATTCCTGATTCAGGATGATACCATTCTGAGACTCTCTGAGACCGGGAAAGCAATGGCTTTGGGACCATCAAGAACCCTGTGTCCCCACCTCAGGAGTCTTCATTTCTTGGGCCTGCAGGCGGAGAATCATCAACTAAGATCAACTAAGCATATCTAATTGATCTTCTAATTGTATGTCTTTTCTTTTTAATACTAATTGATATTGGTATTTCCAAATTGCAAAAATCGATGGACGATGATAGACATTATACAAATGAACCCTTAATGGAATGGTCTGTTTTTGTCTGGCCAACTGACTCTGGACGAAGCAGCCTCAGTCTGCAAAATCTCTCGGGAGGCCGAATCCTCCTGCAGGAACTTTGCCAAGGTGTCCTCAGCTGCCCAGTTCATGCTAAGAACATTTTTCAGTGTTCACTTCCATGCAGAACTGAAAAAAATGTGAAAGTGGACTCTGAAGAAATTGGCTTTGCTAAGATATGCCCAGTGTCGTTCTGCATCGCCAAATCTCGAAGTGTCTGTGCCTCAGAACGGCCATGGCGACCACGGTCTTTCTGGCCACTGATGCTACGCTGAGGCTGCTGCCGTCTTCACCGTTTCCTTTCTGGAATGCACAAAGATCAAAACCTGCAACTTTCGTGCAGTAAATCCACCACAAATGGTGAAAGCGATGCATGCAGTTTTGAAGCAGTGGCGAAAGCGTACCCCGCTCGCGCCGTAGCATCTTGGCCTGATTCTTGCCAGCATTTTCCATGAGTTTCTCGTAGCAGACTTCGTTCATGGTGTTGAAGCGCTTGATGGCCTTCTTGTCCGTCACACCTGGACACTGGTGAATGCTGGCGTTCTTGGGATTTCTACCACAAGATCCTCGCGTCACGGGACTGGGATGCCGCGCCAATGTAGGTCTGCTCCAGGGGAACCGGACGGAAGTGATTTCCGAAGTAGTGAAGGCCCTTCTCCGGATTCACCTGGAGTCATGGTTTGGTTTTCACCGAAACCCCATCCATCCCAGGTCACATGTCACAACCACGATTTTTGTTCCATAATTCTGAAAAGCCAAGCATACAGTACTAGGGATGGAATATGGGGATATTGCGGGAAACGAGCTGTGTATACAAATGAATATGCAAATTTATGATAATTTATGTATATAGATGTACATAGTCATAGGATGTCATAGGTATTGTATAGTGGGTATGTAATATCTGGATGGGATAAAGTGAATTGATTGCCAAAGTATGTGGGAATGTCTGCAGAGGAAGTGAATGGGAATTACCCCAGTGGCTAAAAATCCAGAGTTCCTCCAGTGAATGACTCCATATGACCCCAAGGTTATATCACTCAAAAAAATCTGCAGGTCATCCATTTCCCTTCACATCCCTGCTGGAGATGTCTCTGGTGATATGACATGGATGGATGTGGTGGATGGCATGGAACAATATTGTGAACAGTAACAATCTTAGTGATGTAATTTCTGAGACATTCGGCTGAAAATTGAAGATGAGATAAATGAGGTACAACGGATGACAATGGGCAAAATGATGATATTGAAAAAGATAGTGCATTGGAATTGTGGGGGGCGCTGATGAATCATAAATTTTCGGCGGTGCTGATGAAACTGAGGCACCAAACAGGATGACTCTAAGATGCAGACTCTGAGGAAAACTGCCACATCTTCGTAGTTGGGCAGAGTGGCTGACAGTCCAACCAAGCGGATGTGCTCCTGGCTGAACGGATGAACCAATTGGACACCAAAATGGAAAGCCAAAGTGAGGCCAACTAAGATAGCGGGCATTTCCAGCCCAACAGTGAAATTTCATGTGTCATCATGTGTCGATGAACTTTGAATCATATCGAAACATCTCCACATCTTGTGCTGCCTGTGTTGTCTCAATCTGCCGAATGGTTCTGGCCACAATGGATTCAAGGACAGGTCCACGGCTGTCGTGCAGAAGGTGAATCCTCAAGACAATGTCGATTTCCGGCGCCAAAGACGATCATGCTTGGCATTAAACATGACAAGAAAAAACTCAGCAGTTTCTCCTGACTGCAAATTCTATTTGGATCTTGTTCAACTCAGGATCTGACTCATCGATAATCACCAAGCGAACCAGCTGGGTGTAGGCACCTGGCAGGTTGACATGGCATTGGTGTCCTTTCCATTCGCTGCCACGTCTTGGAAAAAACTCGATTGATGCGCAGTTCTGTGCTCCCCGACGCTGGTCACCAGCCTTTCGTGTGATGATGTCCCACCTTTCAGCGAATGACCAAGAAATCCAAAATCTGTCCCAGTATGTCCCAGTCCAAGACTTCAAACGTTTGATCCCCAATTCAAATACCACATGATCCACATGATACCAAATGTTAAGGTCAGCGAATCCCTGGGACCAGCACTTTTCGGGAGTCGTCACAATGATCTGCGTCTCATCGATTTGAGCTTTGGTGAGGTTCACATCGCCACTAAGCTCTCGAATCGTCACCTAAGCCGGACGTGGATCATAAAGCAGCTCAATAAGCAGCTCAATAAGCAGCTCATCAATCATCATCAATCATCAATCTCAGATTATCAAATGTGTTTGACAGCTGTGTGATTCATAAATGATCTCAATTGTGACATCTCATTTAGAGAGTTTTCATAAAAATGCCATAAAATATCCAATGAATATCCAGAAATATCAGGATCCAATGGTGTTTGATCCGGATCCATCCGGATCCACCGGTCTGAGGCCAGCGGCCCCATAGGCCTTCTCCAGGCGCTGGGTGAAGCTCTGCACCACTTCTTGCACCAAGGCCTGGCACTCCGTGTCCCCGGGGAAAAAAACCTGTGAAATGAATGATGAATGATGAATAAATGATGAAAAACCATGGGAAAACCGAAATCGATGTGTAGTCTCTTAGAGTCTTAGAGTCTTAGATGTGGTTGTGGGCAATGTTGAGGTGACCCAACTGATACATCATGATACATCCATGGCCACCAGCACCAGCCGAGACCCTGACCTTCATTGGAGCAACATAGACGATCTTGAAACCAGCCAGGTCAAAGGAACCGTCCTTGCTCCACACAGCGGCGAAATCTGCAGATTTCATCAGATTTCCACAATGCCACAATGCCACAATGCCACAATGCACTCTCTCATAGATTCTCATAGTAGAATTCCCAACTCGAAGTGCCTTCAGGCGGAACTGATTCATCACGTTCAGAATCGTCAGCATGGCCACATTGGTCTTGCCACTACCAGTGGGTGCACACACCTTAAAAGTTCTGGTCGAGATGAACCAGCCATAAAGCCATGGTGAATTGAACAAATCCTGGTGAAAGCTTGATACATCCTAGGTTTGACATGGTTTAACTGAGGTAGCCACCAACATGTTCTCAGTGTGCTCCTCAAAGGCAGTCTTGAACACCTATCAGGGTGCCAGGCACCAGTCATGACGCCGCACCGCATCAGGTCGTAACTCGGCCATGTTGGAATGGAAAATGTAAAAATATTCCACAAATCATTTGGTTTGATTGTGTCACCATCACAACTATTTTGAGTGACAGTGAGTAACCTATCAAAATCATTCGAAATCTTTAGCTGGTAGGTTTGCATCACCAGCTGGCGCCATGCCAAGTTCCAGCCTTACTCTGCACGGTGTTGAGCTTTGTAGCTCCAGGGAATGCCTCTTGGCACCACGTTGGCAATTTGGACCTCGCTGTCGTTGGTCAAGTTGGTGACAAGAAAAACATCCCGGAAGACAAGGAAAGCACAAAATCCGCGAATCTGGGGATGGTGATTGGCAATAACCAATATGACCAATATGACCAATATGACCAATATATACCAATATGACTCATATGAAATTCATATGACTCATATGACCAATGATGAGCCATGGCAGAAAATCTCCAGGTGGGATTCAGTCAGAAAAATCACCACTTTGTTCATCTCGGTTCATCTCGGTTCGAGAGGCAAAGGGATCAAATCCTCGGGATTCACATCTGGGTGCTTGAAAGGCTTCACGTGCACTTCTTCGTAACCCTGGCCGATCAACAGAAGTGACAGCTTCACATCTTTCATGGTGGCTTGGACCGATTAAGTGCCTTGTATACCCTTGTATACCCTTGTATACCCTTGTATACCCTTCTATCACACTTCATCACTTCATGTCACTTGCTTTTTCCAATTTGTTCACATATTCCCAAGATTTCCCAAGATTTCCCAAGCCTTCTTTTGCACTCGGAAGGAACCAGTTGGCAACTGGCACTTGGAATTGGCCATGAAATGGCTGCCTGCGCATCTGGTGCATCTCGACAAGTCAACTTCCACTCGAGGTTGACAGATGGGCCGGGACGGTCCGGGCCTCTCGAGAAGGACAAGGTGTCCAAGTCCAGCATGTGGGACGGTTTCTTCTGCCTCGGAAAACGGTGCCGTTTCGCCTTGTCTACTGAGATTCATGTTGATTCACTGAGACTTTAATGCTTGTCATCTGCTAACATACAGTGACATACTGATCACTGATAACAGATGATAACAGATGATAACAGATGGTTTTGGGTAAAGTCAACATACCATTGACTGATTTTTTACTGGGCCGTTCCGCTGAAGATCAGCAAATTTCAGGTCGCAGCTGCTCCTCTGCCACCTTGGCTCTTCCTCGACCCAAGGTCTGACCTGGCGTGGTCACTTGGATTCCAGAAATATGGTCAGAAGTTTGGTTGACTTGACATGACTTGACCATATTTCACCCGCCCCAATAATCCCAATATATGTCTCACACAAAAACCATCAAAAACCCTGAAAAAAACCCTGACGTTCCCTGAAAGAAACCCTGACCTACCACTGATGAAAAGTCTGGGATCCAGCTTCAGATGCTTCAGGTTGTTGAAACGTCAACACCAGCGTCAGAGTCTCATGCTATGTCCAGCGCCTTCATCGTCCATTCCTCTCTCCTTCTCACGTGCGCCTGAGTACTCAACTTCAGACATGGGCTTCAAAAAATGGGTCTAGAAATTCCTTTCTTGCGTAAAGATGCGGAAAATGCTTGGCATGCCTTGGCAGCCAACACTGGAACTTCGACTTGCTCAAAACTTCGAGCTCTTTTTTACGCTGCGCAGCCGAAGTCACTTCGAGGGAATTCACGGGTCCCACGCAATCGACTTAATCAATCTGTTGTGATATCTGTTGTGACTGTGACAATTGTGAGTGATTTCATGTGATTTCCACAGTGCCCTTGATTGTCCCGGGAACACCTGGCATTGAACAGATGATGCACCCTTTGATTTTCAATGGAAAACACGAGCCAGGAAACACCTAGCTTCTCATTCTTCTCATCCATCTGTTCAACCACGCGCAACCATGTTCAACCTGCCTCCAAAATCGGTCACTTTCCCTCCAACTTTGTCATTTGGCCCGAGTCTAGACACGCTTCAAATGCTGGTAGAATCTTGGCTTTTTCAAATCATCTGGAGTGCATTCAGTGTTTTATAGATCTGTGTAGTGCATTCTTACTCTGCTTGCTCGGCTGCCTTCACCTCCAGTTTCGTCACATTCCCAGAGTTGCCCAGGAAAAATCGATCTGCATGGGCCCAGGTGCACATCGGAACTAACTCTGAGAAGGTTCGATCAATTCTTCCGGTCTTTCGCAACGGCTTTGTCGCAGCAGCAATTCTTCTGGCAAGCCCATGGGGAATCCTGAATCCAGGAGTAGCCGCTTCAGGAAGTCATACCTAGCAAAGAAAGTACACGAGCATCCCAACTGCCCCGACAGCTCTTAAAAACTAGTGCCCAAGAGCAGCAAAATTGGTACATTCAAAAACGAGCACAGATTCTTCAAAAAATAAGTCTGTTCAAAGTTGCTCTGACGACAGTAACACTTTCAGAAGATTCACCAGAGTTGAGTTTCTGCAAAGATCTGTTCTGTGCCCCGGTCGATGATTGTGTCTCCCAAGCTGAATGTCTGCTGGAACCTTGGAAAGGCCCAACCAGCTGGCAATCTGTAGGAAAGTGTCCCAGGAGGATTCACGCATGAAGGCTTGGTGTACAACCAGCAGTCGCTGTTGGAAGAGTTGTTTTAGGTGTTCCACGTGTCTTTGGATCGCAAAACGGCCAAGGAATGTGGGCCCTTGGTGTTCAAGTGTGGACTCAAGTACACTGCTGATGCTTTCAAAGCAGCCCCTGGGCCGCACCAATGGCCCAAATTCTGGATGTGGAAGGGGTGGATCACAAATGTGGTACCACCAAAAGGCCTTGTCAACACGACTCAATGGATCACAAACGACCAGTAACACCTTCAATTGTGGGATCCGTGCCAGCGCCATCCGTACTCGCAGGTGCGCCCAGAGGCTCGGATGTCGCAAACCTTTCAAGGTCCGGTGGCTCTTCCATTGCGAGTTGAACCTCTCCACTTCCGACAGAAACGGCAGCAGCCGGTCGTTCTCAAAAAAAAAATCGTCCTCTTCACCCAAACGACTAAATTCGATGTCATCCAATTGTTGAAGCCAGCGACCCAAGGAAGTGGTTCCACAATTATCAAGACCTGCAATGACGAAATCCAGCCGAAAATGAGACCAATGTGACAATTCTGCTACAGCCAGTTGTGGCTCTGCGGGGACTGGGAATGGAAGCGGACTGTTCAGAACGTGCATCAAGTATCCTCGGCCCAAGAAATTGATCAAAGTATATCAAAGTTAGGTAGTGAAACATGGGATAGTGATGGGATGGTTTTTTTGGGTGAAAACCAAGTGTGTGTTTCCCGGGGTCTTAAATTTTGACCCATAGAGTGGATAGAATGGATGGGATGACATGGGGGTATACCGGGTAGACACTACAGACAACGAACTGAGTTCAAATCCTGCAGATTGGTGGAACTCGGAAATGCTCAAAATGATACGGTTCAGTCAAACACTTGCCAATGGCCGCTTTGGAAGGCCACAACTGGTGAGGTTTCAATAGGTTTCATAGCTTCGTTTGGAGATCAACAACAGATCAACAACACCACGAAAAAGGTCCCAGCATTGAGATCCGAGCAGCCAGGGGCCAGCTCCTCTCTGATTTCAGTGTCACTGCAGAAATCTGGGACGCAAAGCCCAATAAAAATCTTCACAGCCAGACCCTCCACCCGTTGTCGAAGTTCGCTACAACCTTCACATTCCACGGAAGTTCCAAGCTCATGGATCCAACTATCAAAGTAATGCTTGCGATTCAAGGCCAGTTCCCAATATTTGAATCCTCACAGCGACCATGTGACCACCCAAAAGATGCCCAAAAGGTGCCGAAGATGCAAACATGCTGTCGCATGCTGTTCTGTTCAACCGTTCAAAGTGAAACTAAGTCATTCTGACTGCAAGACATCTATACAAATGTTTCATCTGAGATTATACTCTTGTGGGGAAACCCATGTCCAGAATGACGAACCCAATGACAAACCCAATGGCTTTTACCCACTGCCATTTTGGATCAAAAGAAGAGCGTTTCGTGGAGGATGGCTATCTTTGTCCTTGGGACCAGCAATAAGATGCAGATACCTCCGACATGTTCAAGACATAGGCGGCATGCATGTCCATTTCATTGGTCTGCTGCCAATAGTCGATCTTCGCAACGGTGGAAGCACCCGACACACTCTCCAAAGTCTCAAAGGTGCTGGGCTCAAAGAAGGCCTCGCCACATGTCGCTGAAACCAGCTGAAGCTGCAGAAAAGCCTGAAAAGCCAAGGGCAGAGCCTCTGGAAGCATCGACCAAGCTGGTTACCACATGGCTCCACTGCGATTTCTCCATTCCATGGCTCCACTGACCGAACCCTGTCGGTCGCCGTGGCACTTGGCGGCTTGGCCCAGGAAAGTGGAGCTGCGCAACTCTGCGAGCTGAGTTTCTACTAAGCCACCACCGAAAAATGAAAATGTTTGCTGGTAGTGAAACCCTTACATAACCATAAATATACCAAATATCCCAGAATTGATAGTTGACACTAGTTGGCCATACTTACAGACGGTGACTCGAAGCAGCCAACACATGAAGTTACGCTTCCAGCCTCGCAATTGGAGCTGACGCACCTCCTTTCGCAAATCCCTGTCAGAGTTTCCATCTGCAATACCAAAATCAAATGGATGCAGGATGAGTCAAGAGATGTCAAGAGTCACAAACAGTCTAATTTGGATGGTTGATAAGTGTTGATAAGGTACAAAAGTCAAACATTCCTGTTTCGTTCATCCCCGATTTAACACGGTACTTTCACATGACAGCATGGTCATCAGAAGCTCTGGCCTGTTGATATCGCGCTCCCTGTCACGCTTCTTTGATGCTTTGTCCAACTCCTTCCACGGATGAATTGTGAGACAAACTCGGCATTCGGACATTCGGACAACAAATTGTGTGAATTCATATTCACAGATGCCTAATTCAGGGACGGGCACGTCCCTACATCTGCCCACAATCATGTTTTGTGAGTTATGTGCAACTTCAGCAAGACCCGTTGCTCGACCCGTTGCTCACTCTGCTCACTCTGCTTACACAGAGTGGGATCAAGCCTCAAGGACTGCTTGAGCGTCTGGTGTGTTGCGCATGTCTTCAAGGACTGCTGTCTTGTCTTCTTCGGTCTGTGCCTGACCCAAACGGGTACAGTACCTGCAGAGATTCAGCTTGGAGATTGTGGACATTGGTGGACATAAGCTAATGACCTTTGAGATCTCTAATACATATGTATATATATATACATACATGTATATAAATATATGTATATATATGTATATATATTTTTTTGAGGGCACAAGATCTTGAGACGATTCTTCAGCAGCAACTTGGTGAACTCGAAGTTCTCATACTGCAACACCTGCACCAACCTGGTCCGCACCACAATTTGCCACGCTATGCCACGCTACTCGAACGGACCAGCGGATCAGCAAACGATCAAACCACACCGGTCTCAGCAATCCGAAATCGAACGATCAACAGCTCTGCAGGCTCTGCATGGCTCCGCACCTGTTCTCGCATTGCTGCAGATCTTTGATAGGCAGAATGGACAAAATCTCCTTTTCGGTGGCAATACACTTGTTTGGATCCTGGCTGTGGCAGTTGGACGGCAGGAAATGATAGGAAATGAAGGTATCATAAGGTATCAAACACCCAACCTCGACAACCGGATCAGTAAATATCCAGGGTCAGTCGATCCAGTCGATCCAGTCGATCCAAACCTGAAAGATCTTGCCGAGCTCTCGCTGCAGCCTGAGCGATGTCACACATGATTCATGTCACTTCTGTACGTCACACGGACATCCTGTACATCAATATAATTCAATGATATTCAATGTACATCACATGTTTCTACAGGGTCGGCGACACCCATGCGGTCAAGATGGGTCATGATGGGTCAAGATGGGTCGAGAGCATTAGGATCTGTGCTTCAGGGACTTCAAAACTCGCCAGGATCACCAGTGCGCATCGATCTTCTGAATGTCGACATTGTACTTATCCTCCTTCTTTGCTTCTTCCTGGCATGTCTGGGGCCATGAGGCAATGAGTCCATGCACTACTAAGTACTACTGCTATGTTGTGAGTACAAACGACACTGTGCATAGCCTGAATGGAGAGTTATAGCTTCCACTTGAATGTGGTGAATGTGTTGTATACTAGCGGGTCCTCACCAAGCAATTGTTTCGGTCTGGTTCATTCCGTTTCAGGTTATCATAGTGCAAAGGGGGATACACAATTTCTTACAAATACTTGAGTCTTCCATCAGTCAGTTCTGGTTTATTCGGAGAGAAAGTATAGCAGTCTACAACTCTGTACAACTCTACCGAAAGCAGCTTCCAAAGGTCCTCCTCGTCGTCGGCTTCCAGCAGCGTGGCGTGGATTCCCCGGTCGTCCCTCGGGAGTGACGCGTCGTGACACGTCGTGGCACGTCACGTGACACGTTGTCACTGTCTGTGACTGACATTTCAACGCTGGAACCGGAAAGTCATGGAAAATCCATGGCTGTTTCACCAGCTTTCATTATGTCTGAGCTTCGGAAGTGCAAAGAATCAAGTGTCAAAATACAAATAAGCAATATGAAGACAATGCAAAGTAGAATTTCCTAGAAGGACGCAGGATCATATGTAAGAAAATATGAACTGTAAATCGGTCCCAGGATGCCTGTCGTCATCCATTTTGCCACCTTCATCGTCATCGTCATCTTCGTCATCCTCTCCCAGCTCGTGCATGTAGTCTCCACCCTGTTGGCCGAAGTTGTCCAGCTATGCATAAAGTTCCTTCTATCTAAATAAATGTGTATATATATATATATAATGAATATGTGTGTATATATATATATATGTATATATATATTGCCATGTGTGTCTTCCTGTAGTGCCATTGACTTCCTGCAAAGATCAATCAATTTCAGGAGCCTCATCCTCATCGTCCTCGTCGAAAACTACAGCAACACCTGCAGCATCGTCTAAGCCCTCTTTGGTGCGCACAGTGTCATCCTGTTGCAGACAGGGTGTGCCCAGAGCTGGCAATGTCCAATCAACTTCGTCACCAAAGAAAATGCTTGTAATCCAGACGTGACACAAGAAAACACTAAGGATGTTTTGGCCAAAATTTCCCTCTTGACACTCAGCCTGAAACGTAATCAAATGCTGTGTGCCAAGACCAAACTGCAACTGCTTGGGTCCATTTAAGTCGATGCCTGCTCCTCATCCTCCACATCGGCGCCGAAATCTGTGATCTGCTTTGCCAATCTGAGCAGCGAAATCTATCGAAATCTGCTCCTACTCTTATCATTCACACCAACAAACCAGTGAGTCAAAACAAGCTGGGATTCTGCCAATGCAAACAAGAACTGAGATACACTGCAAAAACTCGTTGGAGAAAAAACTCGTTCTCTGCAGGGACGCCGCTCTTTCCCACTGTGACCTGAAGAGCTCTGCAAAGTACTCGTCGGAGATGGATCCAAGCACCTCCTCAACGTCCTGGATGAAGTTTCAGATCAAGCTTCATGGAAATACTATAATATGCATGCATATACATATGTATATATATATATATGTAATTATATGTATTATCATCAATGATTATATGCTAGTGACTCTGCAAGCCTCCGCAAGATATTTAAGCAGTTCCTGTGATTATCTGACACACATTCAGGAGCCGTTTGAAATTCTGACTCATCCTTCGATGGACCTTCGGTCCTTCTTGCGTTCGGAGTCTAGCACGCCTTCTGTCTTGATAGCAGCTAAGACCTTGGCAGAGTGTGCTACGAACACATTTTTCGCAGTAGGACTCTCATTGTGTGAAAGTCAGGCTGTTGGTTGCCGGCACCTCGTCTGCTGCACCACGAAGAACATCGGGTGCCTGACAAGCTTCTGCTAAGTCCAAACGATGCACCCGGCACCCCCTGTCATTTTTAATAAGGCCCTCGTCGTGTCAACAGGTTGGTTGATGATGGCAGGATTTGGAAAGTCAACTGTCAGTCATCATTTGGGATGGCAGTGGCCATGCCACGCTAGCTCCACCACACATCAAAGCGATACTGCAGTCAATTTCAATGTACCAAATGGGCGCTCAGCATCTAATGAATGACCGAATTTGGACCGCTGCCACCACCACCACCAGCACAGTAGTATGTAACAATGCAAATGATATTGATAGTCATCACATGTAACAAGATGTAATAACTAGTCTTATTAGATATGTATGAATCTGCAAAACATACATTACATTACATTACATTACATTACAATACAATACAATACATACATGCATAAATACATACATACCATACCATACCATTACATTTCATTGCATTACATACATTAATTACATACATACATACATACGTACATACATACATACATACATCCATACCATACCATACCATACCATACCATTACATTACATTACATTACATACATACATACATTACATATGTATATATATATGTGTGTGTATATATATATGTATACGTACGTACGTATGCATGTATGTATGTATGCATGTATATAATTATAGATATGTATGTATGTCTGTATGTATGTATGCATGTATCTATGTATCTATGTATCTATGTATCTATGCATCTATCTATCTATCTATCTATCTATCTATATAATTATATATAAACATATACAAATATAGTTATGTATGTATGTACGTACGTACTTACGTACGTACGTATGTGTATGTGTCTGTGTATGTGTATGTGTATTTGCATATGTATATGTATATGTATATGTTTTTTATATGTATATATGTATATGTTTTTATATGTATATGTATATATATATGTATATGTGTATATATATGTGTGTATATATATATATTTAGATATATGTATATATACGTATATATATATATGTAAATGTATTTATATATATATATACACATATATATGTATATATATATATGTATATATATGTATATATGTATATATATATGTATATATGTATATATATATATATGTATATATATATGTATATTTATATATATATGTATATATATATATGTATATATATGTATATATGTATATATGTATTGTTGTTTTGTGAAATCCTCAACCACTTGCACGTGATGGTATTGGATAACCAGTACAACGCGTTGTCTGCAGGGGTCTCTATCCAATGGGAAACAATCCATTTCATGCACTTCAAGGTGTGGCTCAGGTGCAACAGCGAGGGCTTGGGTAGCCCCCAATTTGGATCCGTGTGTCCGCGTTGGAAGCCATAAAAGGCGTGGCGCCTTGCTTTGCGGCTCAGGAGGGCCTTGGTGTTTCTTTGAGTGGAGGAGGAAAGGGAATAGCCAAGGGGCCCCTACCAGTTCTACACTGGTAGCGGAGCTGCCGCGGCTGGAGGTGGAAACCGGATAGGCCGTTTTGCCTCTGGAAGCCAGTGATCCAGGATGTCAGGTGACGGAGATGATCCAATGGGGTCTAATCCAACATTGGCTACGAGCTCAAGTGGCACAGGCCAGACAGCCCTGTCGCATTTGCGCTGGAACATGATACCTAGCTTCAAACCAGGTGAGACGGATATCAACGAGTACTCCAAAAAGCTCGAGTTCCTAGCAGGATTGTGGCCACAGGAGCATTTAGCTTTGTTGGCACCTCGTGCAGCTATGTTGTGTGAAGGGAGTTCCTTCAAGAAGGTCATGCGAATTGACACAACGAAGCTCAAGGTGAATTCCATTGAGGGCGTGAAGCTCTTGGTGACCTCACTCGGAGGAATTTGGGGAAAGAGCAAGCTGGAGGAAAAATTTGAGCGATTTGAGAGAGCGATTTTTTCCACAACACAAAGGTCGGATGAAACACATGAAAGTTATTTGGCACGGCATGATTTCCAGTTTGAGGAGTTGTTACAAATGGGTGTGGGGATTCCTGAGGTCAGAGCCTACATTCTGTTACGAAACTCCGGATTGAATGCAGATGACAAAAAGAAACTGATTGTGGACTCCAAAGGGGCATTAGAGTATGATGCCATAGTCTCGGCCCTCAAGTTGCTGGGATCCCGCTTTTTCAATGAGGTTCAGTCGGGCTCCAAGAATGTTTCCCGATCCAAAACATATGATGTCAATGCAGTGTTCGAAGATGATCTTCCTACATATGTCACAGAGGAGGAACAAGCCTATGTAGGTGATTCCTGGGATGATGGTGAAACTGTGTATGACGAATCTGACCCCGATGCCGTGATTTGCATGCAGTTTGAAGATAGCATACTCGAAGCACTACAGGGTGACATGGAATTGGCAGCCTGTTACAATACCTATGTAGATGCCCGAAAGCGTTTGTCAGACCGCAACAAGAATCGAGGGTTCTGGCAGTCCAAGGGTTCCAACCATGGGTTTAAGGGCAAGGGAAAATCCAAGTCCAAAGGATTCTCCCGATTCAGGAAGCCTCTGGCACAGAGAATTCTAGAGTCGGAGTGTCGCCGATGCGGCCAAAAGGGCCACTGGAAAGCAGAGTGTCCATTGAATCGCAACAGCTCTCAGGGCCAAGCAGGTACTTCAGGTTCAAAGGATTCTGCTTTTGCGGGAACGGCGATGATGGCCGAAGACACCAGCTTTGACAATGACATGATCTTTGTGGATTCCCAGGTGAAGGTGTTCCTCATATGCATGAAGTTTTGGGCCTTAATCAATCGGTTTGCTGTTTTGGGATGAGTGATGAACCCCAGAATATGACATGTTCTCATCTAACGGATCCTCTCCTCACCAGGTTTGTGACAGCTTTGAAGAACCGCCTAAGCCCTCAGCTGAAGATAGCACCTGAAACGCCGCAGTGTGGGATCCAAATGCGATCCGTTGCATCCGAGACTCATGAGGGTCTTTTTCTCAAAGAGGTCCAACCGAGACCTACTGCCGAAACAATGTTTGTGAGTCATGGGCCATTTGGCATTGTTGACCTAGGTGCCAGTCAAACTGTCATAGGAAACCAACAGGTGTCAGAGCTGCTTGATCATTTGCCGTCAGATGTGCAGCAGAAAGTCTAAAGAATCCCATGCAACACAGTTTTCCGTTTTGGAAATAGCAGCACAGTAGAGTGTCATGAAGCCCTGTTGGTGCCGTTGTCCCGATGGAATGTCAAAGTGTGCATCGTCCAGTCCAAGACGCCATTTTTGATATCCAATAATGTATTTCGCACCTTGGGGGCGCAAATTGACACAGCTCAAGACACGATCACTTTTGCCAAGATCGGTGTCAAAATGCCGCTGTCCCTCACCGCCAAGAAACTGTATTTGTTGGATTTTTGTGAGCTTGTTCGCCAGGTTTCCATGCAACATGCCACAAGGTCACAGGTCAATCTGCCGCATGGTGAGGTCATGTGTTCAGTGAACTTAGAAAGTGAAGAAACCCACATGATACCTTTTCCATCAATCACCATGCAGAGTTGTGATTCCAAGCAGCGCACTCCCGTTTCTGACACTTCCTCACCCGCGTGTGTTGATCGTCATGGCCCAGCCGACTTTGGCAGATCGCCTTCATGCAGTGACCAGCCACAAGGATTCAGTGGAGTTCATGAAGATGTCGTACGAGCAACTGGCCAACCAACGGATCTCGTTTGGGGAGGCAAAGCTGGGACAGAAATTCCAAGATGTGATTCAGCAAGACCCAAAGTACGCGACCTGGTTCCTCAAGAAGTACGAGACGTCCCAGAAGCCAGCCCATCAGGCCTTTGCCCACTTCATCGGCCTGTATGTGGAGCGTCAAGAGATGCAGCTGGAAGCCGAACCGTTGGCCCAGCCAAGCAAGTACGAGTTGAAAGCAAAGGCCAAAGCCCAACCCATGAGGGTCCACTATCCGGAGACACCGGACAACGTCAGCCAGGCAAGCTGGTCGGAGGAAGATGTGTCGAAGCCCTGGAGTGTGATTCAGGAGGAGGCCTCGCAGAGAATCCAGGAAGAAGTGACCCACCAGAACAATCGGATCGAGAACATGGAGAACGCCCTCCAGCAGATCACTCATCAACTGCAAGCACTGATGCAGACCATGCTGAATCAGGGCAATGTCCCGAAATCATGATGCAATCCGAAGAGGGACACGCCATGAGATCTCTCATATGTGATGATCAGGGTAAACAGCAACTCCACGAGAAACCTCATGAGATTTTTGACATCAATTATTTCTCTGATTTGGTTCAACAAGAAGCTGGGTCGTCCAACTGGGTGTATCAAGAAATGTGGAATTATTTTCAGAAGAAATTTCCCCACTATACTTTGGATGACATGAAACGCCACTGGAAACACTCGAGATCTCATGTCCTGGAAGTCTACTGCTCCGAGCAAAGCCAGTTGACACGACAGGGGGAAACCCTAGGCATGACCACTTTCAGGTTTGGACTTCGACATGGTGATTTAGCAACTTTTTCAGGACGATGTCGGTTATATGATCTCATTTGGCAGATACGGCCCCATCATATTTGGGTTTCTCCCAAGTGCGGCCCGTGGAGCAGATAGATCGTGACAGACGTGCCGAGAGTGTCCACCTCAAGCTTTGCGATGCTCTGTTCCGTCTTCAAGACTGGCGTGGTGATGATTTCCATTTTCATTTAGAACAACCACTGGGATCCGAGTTGATTTACCAACATGACATGGATAACATTGTTCGCCATACCCTGAGGGTTACATGTGACATGTGCACAGCTGGACACTTAAAGCACCCTGAGAGTCAACAATGGCTCCGCAAACGCACACAGATCTGGACCACTTCCCAGATTATGTGGAGAATGCTGGAACAATTTCAATGCGTTGGTAATCACTCTCACGATCAAGTAGCGGGGTCTTGCAAAGTATCTGGATGGGGTAGGATGTCAGTCACAAAGTACACTGAACTTTACACTGCTCTGTTTGGTAAGCGGTTGTGTCGAGCCATGTTATGCAGTTGTCGAGTTCAAGAGAAAGCACATGGTACCAATGCCGTTCTCACCACCACCACAACAAGCCTTTCCGCCGAAGACCCTGAACCCAAGCGCCGAAGGCTTGCAGGGAAGTGCCACCCGGAACATCTGTATATAGACCCAGCCGGATCATATGAGGCCAGTTCCAGCCAGAGACCGTCCAATGCTCCCATGAGCACACCATTCAAGTCAGACATGATGTCCCAAGTCCGTGAAATCCTCCAAATGGCTGAAAAATGCACACCCCGTGTGGGCAAAGTGGTCCTCCAAGATGGTCCAGTGTTTGACAAAATCCAAGAAATGTACCCTGACAAAGAAGTCAAAGCCATTGATGTTTGCAGAGGTATCAATCGCATGAGAACCTGTTCTATAGGAGGCCGGGGATTTGCACCACTTCGCAGAATGTTGGGAAAACGCCGTTCTGATTTGGAAGTGTTCACGGACGAAGGCTGGGAAGAGTGGGAGAAATTGTCGCACCGACAACAGATCCGTGCTTCAATCCCAGCGAAGCTCATGATGACAGTCTTTGCATCCAATAAACGTTCTGCCCAGGAATCAACCGAGATGCCTGATGCCAAAGAGCCTCGAGTAGAGTCCGAATCAACAGATCCAAGGCCAGAAAGTAACCAGGAACCAGACCGGTCTGAGTCCCAACCACCAGACTCAGATACTACAGTACAGACTTCAGTGACATCATCGAATCAAAGTATTTCACATGGTCCCTTGTTTCAACAACTTCCAACTTATACACAGAATCAGATTCGAAAAATACACCAAAATCTTGGACACCCCGACACAAGGATCCTTCAGATGGCTCTTCGCAGGAATGGCTGGTCGGAATCGGAAATCCGTGGCTGCGCTGACTTTGTATGTCCAACATGTCATGAACAACAACAGCCCAAGCTTGCCCGACCCGGGAAACTGAAGGTTCCCATAGACTTCAACGATCACATATCTTTTGATGGTGCTGAATGGAAAGATAACCAGGGTAAGACATATGGATTCTATCACTTTGTGGACACAGCCACGAACTATCAGGTTGCCATTCCTTATCGACAGCGTACCACTGAGGGCCTTATTGAAGCCTTTTCCAATTCATGGCTCCGGTGGGCAGCACCCCCGAAAAGCATGATGTTCGATAGCGCAACTGAGGCCAACAGTGAGATGTTTTCCATGTTTCTGCAAAAGCATGCCATCCAAAGCTATGTGATCCCAACAGATGCTCACTGGCAACTGGGTAGGGCTGAACGTCATGGTGCAGTGCTCATGCATATGATTTCCAAGTATCATAGTGATCATCCGATTCAAGACTATCAAGATTTTGAACAATGTCTAATTCACTTATGCAATGCGAAGAATTCTATGTCACGACATGAGGGATACACACCAGAGCTCTGGGTACTTGGAAAAATGCGCTCTTTGCCAGGGAACTGCACCGACTTGTATCTGGACAGTGCCAGCTTCATGGGTCTGAATGAACAGACCCCTGAGGGCTCCAAATTCCAGCAGAACATGGCTCGCAGAGAATCTGCCCGAGTAGCCTTCATCAGAGCTGAGCATAGTAGTGAACTCCGTCGTGCGTTGCATGCCAGATCCAGACCAGAACGACTGAATTTCCAAGTAGGTGATTTGATCATGTATTGGAAAGCCGGTAAGGGAGTAGAACCAGGCGCATGGCATGGGCCTGCCAAGGTTTTGATGTCAGAAGGAAGAAACCTGATCTGGTCAGCCACATGACACGACTTTATCGCTGCGCACCAGAGCACATCCGAAAACTATCCTCTGACGAGGAACGGTCCATCTCAGATTTGGACCGTAGCATGTTCCAGCTGCCCGAAAGGAGTGGTAATGGTGTGTTTCAATTCCGTGAATTATCCCAACAACCCACGCCATCAGAGACTGATCTTATGGGCCAACAAAACAGCCACCAATCTAATTCCCCTGTAAACCCAATTATGAATGAACCTGAAGTAATAATCCCGACACATTCACCTAATAATACTCAAGATCAATTTCCATCTAACAATTCCCAAATAGGATCGGAAATCCAACCAGACGCTGAACCCGCTGTCGCTCCAACAGTCAGTGCGATGTTGCAAGATGCTATCAACACTCCGATACCACCTGCCGCCACAGAAGAGGATGACCTCATCCTGGATGAAAATGTGCCGGATCGATGGGAAATCTGTGGAAATCAGCTCATTCGTCATCATGTGAATCAGCGACTCAATGTATTTTTTCCTCATGATACTTTTGAGTGTCCAGTTCCCATTGAAGTGTTGTTGGAAGAACGTGAAACGACAGGGCACTACATCTCTGGCGGAGATTTCCAAAGGCGAGAAAACTGGAGAAACAACGTTCACAGCCATTTACCTCAACCCGAACCATGGACAGGCAAGACCATTTTTTTCATTAACCCATCCTGGAATCCAGAACCATCGTCATGCCATCCCATCACCAAGAACACAATCGCCGAACAGACCGTTCTCCATGCAGAGATCCTGATGGGTTTAGATGATTTCCAAAAGTGTTTGGGCAGAACCTATGAATATCAAGAAAATTTCCTAGCACCCACTGCCAAGCGCCAGAAGATTGAAGTCAAAACCAAAGACCTAACTCCCGAAGAAGCTAAGTTGTTTGCCAAAGCAAAAGACAAAGAGTTAGACTCCTGGCTTGCCACTGACACGGTACGAATTTTGTCTCCATGTCGGAGATTGCAAGAAAGAAGAGAATTTTTTAGGAGTGTTGTTTTGTGAAATCCTCAGCCACTTGCACGTGATGGTATTGGATAACCAGTACAACCCGTTGTCTGCAGGGGTCTCTATCCAATGGGAAACAATCCATTTCATGCACTTCAAGGTGTGGCTCAGGTGCAACAGCGAGGGCTTGGGTAGCCCCCAATTTGGATCCGTGTGTCCGCGTTGGAAGCCATAAAAGGTGTGGCGCCTTGCTTTGCGGCTCAGGAGGGCCTTGGTGTTTCTTTGAGTGGAGGAGGAAAGGGAATAGCCAAGGGGCCCCTACCAGTTCTACAATGGATATATGTATATATGTATATATGTATTTGCCTACGGACCGAAAACTGAGGTCGCGAAACGCTTCTTTTTCGTTGCTGAGGTTCTTGATGCTACGCTGATGATGGGGTGGGGTGGGGTGGGGCATGTTAACGTTCGTGTGAACTTGCTGAGGTTCTTGATGCTACGCTGATGATGGGGTGGGGTGGGGTGAGGTGGAGCATGTTAACGTTCGTGTGAACTTGCTGAGGTTCTTGATGCTACGCTGATGATGGGGTGGGGTAGGATGTCACAAGAAACCGAGAAAAGCTCAAAGCGCACACAGGCACAATAGATGCCGCATGGACGTCCTGCAAAAAATTCGTGCCAAAGAGTTTGCATGCCCGGAGTGCGGACTTGATTCTTTATTGCAAGATGTGGCAATGGAGATTCATCCACACGTACAAAAGCTTGGCGAAAGCCACGGTGTCCAAACTGCAAGAGATGTAAAAATGACGGTGCGGACAGTTGAGCATGCCTGAACTTGTTTGAAGCAGAAATTGCGTTTCGCCTAGGCGAAATACACATTTATCTAAAAAAACACCAAATTCAGACGTCTGAATTTCAGAGTTTTTGTGATCGCTGAATTGTGTTTTCGCCTAGGCGAAACGATGATTATTTGAAAAAAACAGTATTTCACGACCTCACTTTCCGGTCCGCCGGGATGTATGTATATATATATATGTATATATGTATATATGTATATATGTGTATATATGTATATATGTATATATGTATATATGTATATATGTATATATGTATATATGTATATATGTATATATGTATATATGTATATATGTATATATGTATATATGTGATATATGTGATATATGTGATATATGTATATATGTATATATGTATATTTGTATATATGTATATATGTATATATGTATATCTGTATATATGTATATATGTATATATGTATATATGTATATATGTATATATGTATCTATGTATCTATGTATCTATGTATCTATGTATATATGTATATATGTATATATGTATATATGTATATATGTATATATGTATATATGTATATATGTATATATGTATATATGTATATATGTATATATGTATATATGTATATGTATATATGTTTATGTGTATTTATATATATATATATGATATATGATATACATATATATGTATATATGTATATATGTATATATGTATATATGTATATATGTATATATGTATATATGTATATATGTATATATGTATATATGTATATATGTTTATGTGTATTTATATATATATATATGTGATATATGATATACATATATATATATGTATATTTATATGCTATTATCATTGCTATCATCTGTCATGTTGTATTATCAATGATCATGTTTTTCTCCTTTCCTCAAAACTATGGGCCTGATCACCAAGTGGCTGCTGAAGACCTGCAGTTTTGATTTTCGTGTCACCGGAGTCGAGGACTCGACATGACTCGACATGAATCGACATGACTCGACATGACTCGACATGACTCGACATGACTCGACATGACTCGAGACTGAGTGGCGAACGATTTAGCAGCATCTCGTACACTGCTTTGGTTTGAGCTGTCCGTGGTCGGTAGATCTGCATCTCCGTCACATCCTTGGCGCACTTGAAGCGCACTTGGCATTGTGTAAAAATGTGACATCTACAGTGACCTACACCCGTCTGCTTGTCTGCCTGTCTGCATGGAGTCTCGTTTCCATTCCGCTCTTGAAGAGTTGCGAAAAAAAAATCCCTTAAGCATCTGACTGTACTGAGCACAGTCTCACCTTTGTTGATGTCCATCCTAGCCTGTTCGGAAACAAAACTGGTTTGCTGGCTGTGCGACAAAAAGACCTGCATTCGAATCGTCTAAACACACTGCAAATTTCCCCACTGATTTTTCCTGGCCATCTATCCATTGGATGATTCGTTGCAGCGACAAAAAAACGAGTCCAAAGCCTTTTTGGAAACAACATCTTCCTCCTTTCGCTTCTCCTGTGCCGGGAACTGTTGTGAAAAGTCGCTGCAGACTTTGTGCACCAAAATCGCGGGATCCTCGAGTCGCTTCTTCTTTTTCTCCTTAAACTCTTCGATTTCCTGCCGACGCAAGATAAGAGCAACATACGAGCGACATAAGAGCAACATGACAAGACCTTCTGGAAAAAAACTGGCCTTTGGTTTCTCGTACTGCACGAGGTCACCCATCCTGACCGGGCAACTGATGCAACTGAGCAGCTCAGTGCTGATTCAAAACGAAAAAATGCTGAGAGACTCGGAGAGATTACTTAGTTGTTCGAGTTGTTTGAGTTGTTCGAGTTGCTGACTTCTGGTATACCCTGCCACGAAGGGATTCAGGCTCACCTGCAGATTGTCGGGTCACAAATTCAAGCGCAGCAACTACGAGACAGTAAACACAATTACATAGAAATCTAACAACAATAGGAATAATAATTAAAAAATAAGAATAATAATAGAAATAACAATAACAATAACAATAACAATAACAATAGAAATTAATGGTAATACAAATAGTAATCATGATAACAGTGATAATACTACCAAAGGTATGAACCATCGCATGTTTTTAAGAGTCGGTACATGCTGTCACATCATGTCACATCCTCTCGCCTGTTGGTTCATTTTGCGATGGAGCAGCACCTTCTCGCTGCAACACCTGGTTTTCTTAGAAAGTTTCATTTTTTCGCATTGGTGAATAAAACGAAGTTTTTAAATTCAAAAGATTCTGTTCCGTGAGGCAACTGGGGACTTGGCCAAGTTGGAATTTGTGCCTGCGCAGAAATGTGCCAAAAATCATGTGGAATGAATCAGGTTCATTATCTGCAAAACACGTGTTGCAAGACCAATTGCCAACGAGTTGCGGTACTCAAAACGTTTGAACTTTGCGAACTCTTCTGCCATGGCCGCCTTCCAGGTTCACTTTTGCAACAAAATTTGAAGGGGAAAACTGCCGCAATGCCATCAAGTCTCATCATCCAGCTATATTCCCAATGTGAAAACCAAAGCTGTTCTTGATGCCAGGGATTGCAAAATTCAATGCATGTTCCCGGCCTTACGTTTCGGCTTGGCCCACACCCATCCGTTTCTTTAAGCAAACTTTGAACCCAGATTCACCACAATGCAAATGCTGAGCAAACATTGTTGTCATGTCGGTCAACGATGCAGAACAGCATACGCAGTCAATTTGTTGGTTTTAGACATTGGAGTAATGAACACATGGTCACAACCAGTGAGACCATGGGAGGCGCTAAATGCCACCCATCCGATAATATACAAATTCAAGGGAATGATGCAAACCATTGCATTTTTACGTGTTCTATTGAATGTCAAATACACTGTTTGGTTCGATTGGCATCTTGCAATGTGCCTGTTTTTGGTTCAATGAATACTGGGATGCATGGCCAGCCATCGTTCCCACAACACAATTTGATTTAATTTTCCCATCAACGACATTAAGTGACGCAAAGCGTGATTGAGGATGTGCACATATCACGTCGCATCAATCTGTTGTGAGTGAGTCTTGTTCATAGCAAGAAATCGTTGGAGTGGTCGGCAAATTTTCCCGACTTGCCCCACCATCGTTCGATTATTTGGACATGATGAACGAAAGAACGGACAGGCAGTGTGTGTTCCGGCGTTGTTGGTGTTCCCCACATGTGTGGTAATGAAATTATGTGGCGATGTAATCATATGTGTCCGGCACATCGTTTTATTGCCACTTTCAGTATACAACACACCAGATCAATGTTCACCAAGCACATGATATCACCCAGCATACAAAATGTCCAATCGAAAATACCTGACCTTGAATTTTCGGTGACAAGTATCCTGCACACGGCATGTATATCCCAAACCGAATTTTTGGACCACTGAATCCAATCAGTTCATATTTGTTCCCTCGGACCAGACCTTAAATAACAGCCCATCAACAAAACACTGCGAACCCGAGACAAATCGAGTCCTGCACGTGGTGGCAATGAAGGTATTTAACAAAGCATATTAGTGGGCGGTTGGGTAATATCCTCACATGTTGTGTGGCAAATGTAATTTGGCATGAACATGTCCATCCGTGTTTTGGGATATTCTGAAACAGCCAGCTGTCCTTTTCCAGCTATGTGAGCCACTGTGCATGGCCGGTGATGGACATGATTGAACTGCGCATGTTATGTATTGGACATGGTGTGTAGGTGCCACTATGTTTTCACACCCCGCCTTAGAAATTTCCGCTTAGGGAATTTCTACACCACATCCACATCTTTCTTTGAACACCGCAGGACTCATCTCAGTCCTTCAAGTTTTTTTTCTAGGTGTTTTTTTGCACCATGCCTCTCTCACCATTCACTCAATTTTCAGTAGGCCTCGCACTTGGTGAAGGTCCACCAGCGCCTCCACCACGTCGGCCATCATCTCTGCCATCATCCCGTGGAATTGGAAGCCTGTCTAGAGGATCCACGGGACTGTCTCCATCATCACCTTCTTCTGTGCCATGATGTGTAGAACCTTCTGTGAAGTAATACCAATCACGGTCGAATTCGAGCTATCCATGCACGCTCTCAGCTGCATCGACCCAAAGCTGCAGAGAATTGTTCTGGAACATCACCAGCAAAGTTTTGTAGGCTTCGAAGTAGCCTCTGCAGAGACGCACATTCAATCGGATTGCTGCACATAGAAATGAAATGGAAAAGATCATGAGAGTTGGGAACAAGGATAGTCTCTGGACCAAGACCTTGCATGATAAGGTCCCATCGATAGTCTTCAAATGCTGCTTCGTCTCGGGGAACAAGACCAACATCGAAGTAATTGGCAACGTCCCAAGAATCCATCACATAGTTCACAGCATGATCTGGTTGAGGAACTGCTCTTCCTTTTTGCACCTTTTGCACCTTTCGATCCACTTGTAGAAGAACTGCTAAATGTAGTTCCACATCGTTCACTTTCTTCTTCAGCTTGACAAACCATTGCCTCACACAAAGGTTTGGGCATAGTTCTCGGTGTAGGCACAGGAGTAGCTTCCCTTGACCTTGATCTCCTTGACCTTGATCTCCTTGACGCTGATGTAGCAGGACCATGATGAATGTCAGCCCATTCTTCAGGATCTGATACTTCACACTGCGCTGATTGCACGTACCTCTGGTACCGCTCTGACGTAGTCTCATTCATCTCATCAATCCAACTATCACCTCCTTCTCCATCAGCACCACTGGCACAAACATCTGCCACCATTGAACTCAAGGATCAAAAGGATTGTTGCACCTTCTCCTGGAGATAGCGAACTTGTAGGAGCTGGTTCATCTTCTGCATGTCGAGTCTCATCTGCAATTTCACCAAGCTCTTCTGGAACTTCTTCGGGAGGACTTGAGCCATGAATGCCATTTCGCAGGAATGTTCTTGTTGGAATTGCTTCTTCTTCTTCCATGTCATCATCTGTGTACTCATCTTGATCATCTTCAGAAACTGCTGGGTTTTCTTCTTCCCCTTCTTCATGAAACCAAACGCCAGAAAGTGGATCTCGACGCTCGTACACATGTAAGGCCCGGTCGGCCCATTTGCAAGATGCCTTGTGCTTCTGCAACTTCTTTAACATCTTGCTTTTCTTGTACATGATATAGACCACCATGGAAGACAACGCCAATGATGTCAAAGTCCACCATGTCGTCATAGTCCACATTTTAGGATTCAACCATGAAGGACTTGTCAATGATGAAGTCACATCACAACCTTGAAGATTGCCAGCCACGAGCATCCAAGTGATCAACCTCACCATCTGTTTCACCTTGCCATTGGACATCTGCGCACCTTCACTCTCAAAACTGTCACTCAGCAAAGCCATCTTTCTCATCAAATACTCTCTTCTCTCACGCGACAACGGTTTTTGTGTTCAAATCTGCAGGGTTCTCCTTGGCAGACATCCTTTCAACAAGAAACCATTTCAACCGCATCGCTTGCTGGCTCCACAAAAGCCTGGTCGAGAGGTCTTTGGAAAACTGTAAAAATTGTTTTCTACAAAGGAGTCCTGTTGCAGCAAGGATTTCAGCTTCCATTGAAGACACTGAGATTGAAGCTTGAGCACGGCTATGACTGTGAATGCAACAGGAATTGAAGAAATTGAGACCAAACGACGTTGAGCGCCTTGTCACCTTGCAGCTTGCCCAGTCACTATCGCTGTAAAGCTCTAGTTCTTCAACACCATTCCACCTGGTCAGCGTCGTTGAAAACAACTCAGCATGTGGGTAGTGCGTGCGCGTGCGCTGGGTCTGCACCAAATAGCTCCCCAGCTTCTTCAAAGCGCACCAAGATGTCTTGGGACTCGGTCCTTGGATTTCCAGTCTCATTTGTATTGCTGGATCTCGAAGAACAGCTGACGGCTTGGCAGAAAAGAGGAACACTTCGGAATCTATTCTGATCCATCCGGTATATCCAAAATACACGCAAAAACGTGCAAAGCAGACTCCACGGGACTGTCACTGGTGGTCTGGTACCACTGTTGTCTAACTTTCTTGTCAGCTCTCTGTTTAAGTATTTCATCCACATCATGAAGAATACATTTTCCCTTAGAGAGAAATGAACGCAGCACGGTGGTATCCATGTCCTTCGTGAGAGAATCTGCCATTTGAGCTGCACTGTGCACCCATTTAATTATGACTCCCTCCTTCAAGCGCTCTTTCACCACTAGGGCTTCAAGCATCGTACGATATTCTGAACATTGGGGAATGGACGTTTTCTGAAGGAGGTCAAAAAGGCTCTTGCAGTCGACAACAGCAAATGCACTAGGAAGTTTCTTCAGAGTTTCTTCGGGTTTTTTCCATTCCAAGTTGGGATTGAGCAGCCAGGCCCAGTGAACTCTAGTCCAACTAAGCAAGTCGAGTGCACCTGACAGGGCAAACGTCTCGGATGTCAACGTGCTTGACACCACTCTGTTGATCTTTTTGTAGAACCATAACAGTGGACTGACCAAAGCGGATTGGGTTTTGTCAATGGTATCTGTGGTGGCAAGTATCACGCAACCTTTCTGCGAGTGAGCTTTTTCCCTCGTAGCAAAGGCGGCATCAGAGAAGGATAAGAATCTCAGTTCTTGCAGAGGCAGTGCTTGAACTCGAATGGCCGTTTCTGAGAAGCGTTTTGCCTCATTCAGGATTCTGTTTCCTTGCAGCAGGTCACTGACTGTGGCACATGTTACTCTTGCTTGT